CCGTCGTTAGGTGGGTTTGGACGGTAGGCAGAGATCACCACCAAGTCGCGCTGGCCAACGCCTCGTGTTCGGCCCTGAAGACGTATCCAAGCCCATCGCCCCAAGCTATCGTCGCCACTGGACCTAATTCTGTTCATTTTTTAAACTCATCGGCATTGATTGCATGGACCAGAAATACACGGAGAATGACAGAGATAGCGTCAAGGTCTGTACCGGATTCATGGAGATCAAGTAGGATCTGTAAAAAATTGGTAACAAAAACTTCAACATCAGCGTTCTGATCCAATCGGATGTCGATTGAATCTTTAACTGCGTGGACAACATAGTTCGCTCAATTTGCAAGAGTATTAAAACTCTTTTCAAGGACAAGATACAATTTTCTTGCGTTGAATTCTTTTGCAGATTCCAATTGTTTGCTCAAGGGAGATGCAAGCCCATCAGATAAAGCAGCAGCAATTGCGCTAAAGATTGCTTCAGAAATTTGGGGGTTCTTGGCATGGTAATCATCGGAGTCAAGGACGTTCCAAAGAGCTTGTTTGCCAAGCTCAGGCATTATCTTCCGTTTCCAACCTGGACACTGTTCAGTTCGACCAGAGAACACGGGTAGATCAGGAACTTGTAGATTGAACGGGCGGTCCTCAGGTCCAGATCGACTGGAAGATGAACTTGATAAATTGGTCGGAGAGCTTGGTGGAGAGGACAATTCTTTCAGGGTGTCATTGACTTCACTGAAAGTTAGCGAGGAACTGGGTCTTTGTTTCTTCAAGGCAGCATAAGTCAATACCTTATAAAACGTTGGCGGGTCATTTGTTTCTTGAGGTTCGTGAAGGGATTGATGTTGGGATCAAATTCAATTTCTGAAAAATTGCCTCCTTCTAATTCGCCCCATTTAAAAATACCTGCCAAATCGAGAAAGTCTCGAATTTGCGTTCGTTTCGTTGTGTTGTGGTTGACCCAGACTAACGAACTGATTATGTTGATATCATCGTTCGAGAAGGGCGTTGTCGCCAAAGGTGCTTGTTCAACAACTACTTCTTCTTCTGCTTCAAACTCACTTGCATCATCACTCTGTTGAGCGGATTGCTTACCAACTGGGGTAATAGGAGTATTGTAGGACTCATCTATGAGCTCAGACGTATGGTAAGAGCAAGGACGTGTTAATCGTCAGGAACTCATAGGAGTGGTACTTTGGGTGACTCTCTGGTCAGTGACTGTGTTACGTGTGACGGACATACGACTCTATCCTGACAAAATGAAATGTAATGACACCGAAGTTGTTTCATTTTGAACACCATCTTCTACCGGTATATATTTGCTTCTACGTGGTGATCCATGTCACCAGAACCGATGATTAAATTTTTGCATTTCATTTGAGAATGGACATGGCCAACCTAGTGGAGAAGAGTTGAGAAATGAAAAGTTCCACATTGAAGAAATGGCTTCTCGTTTTCATGGGTGCCACCTGTTTCTTATATTTCAGCATCATTCGACTTTTTCTCCCGATAATCAATAATGTCTCCGAGGAGTCAAACCTCGCCGACATTCAAAGACCTGATAAACTTCCTCTTCAGCACTACATACAAGGATGGAATATCACTAGAAACGTAAACTGGTAGGTCAGAGCAGAAGTTACCTTCACCGCGGACGATGGAACATGGCTTGAATCTCACAAAGTCGCTTCTTCGCCAGGCTGTTACACTTTGCAATTGTCGGCTTTCCGAAAACAGGTACTAGCACGCTGATGTTCTACTTACGAAACCACTCTGAGTCAATTTTCATCTTCCCAGACGAACGTTGTGAATTGGCATGGAACCAGCATGTCAAATTGCTCAAAGAGATGTACAAAGAGTACAAACCAAGCTTGAAGATGGGTATCAAGTGCCCTACGAATCTAGAGGTGGACGTTGCGCTACAAAATTACCATATGTTCTTTCCGGCTACAAAGTTTGTTGTCGGTCTCAGGCACCCCGTCCACTGGTTTGAAAGCTTCTACAACTTCCGCATTACAAACGGCTATGATATGCCCCCTGCAGAGAGGTTGATTGGCAAATGCAAGCGAGGATTCCAGAATGTGTGCACGTTTAGAGCAAACTTTTCACATCACCTCGAGAAAATTTACGATGTACAACAGCAGCAAGAAACAGCTGCATCGCGCCAAACTTTTCTATATCATGTCGAACAACTTCGAGATTATGACGTTGCCAGATCATCGGTTTTCTTAAAGGATTTGGGTGGGTTCTTGGGCTTGTCGGAAGCCTTGGAGCAACAGATGATTTGGGTCAAACCAGGGCAACGCCCAGCATCGGTGGAAGAGAGGAAGACACTATCGTCAAGGCGAATAGATATTTGCGAGGGAAAATATTCCGAATTGCGAAGTGTCCTCATGGATCAAGCATCCCTCTCTGCCAGTTGGATAGCTGAAAAATTCGTCAAGAATCCGAACGTCAGAGTATCATCGATTGCCTACTTCTCCCAACTATTGGACAAGTGGCACATAGATCCCTGTGAAGACCGTCAGAAATAAATATACATTGAAATGATTTTATTTCTAAAGTCTTTTAAAAAAAATCAACTTCCAGGGCATTAGCGAACAATGACCTCCCCACGGAACATAAGGCTTGCATCCTGAATCAGTTTCTCGCCGCCCCTAAGCTCAGTGACTGTGGTCCCAGCACCAACTTCTTTCAGTTTCTGCTCCATAAGCATTATCAGTCTCTGCCGTTCTTTGGGATCAAGCTCTTTCTTTTCGTGGTCATGGGTTGGGATGCCGCGGCCATCGAATTTGGTGTATTTGGGATACTTTTTCTTTTTTCGATGACGCTGGTCTGTTGGATCGAAACCTTCTTCTTCTGATCCAAATAGAGCCCATGCGGGAGTCTCAGCCGTATAATCCTTAACAGAAAACTTGAATGATGGGTTTTTCTCCCGATGAGCAACCAACTCTTGAAACTTTGGATAGTCGATCCAAGTTTTCCACTTTCTTGTGCCATTTTCAGAATCATACGCAAATTGATCGACTCGAGCCAATAGGACACTGACCGAGTGCTTATGCTCGCAAGCCAAATCGTACTCTGGCGGAGCATCGGGACCTCCTTCTTGTCGAAGAATATCAAGTTCTTTTTTTAGGTTCCGGACTAAGTCAACAACCTCGTGGTGCCATGGCGTGTTTGACATGTTCAAATTGGAAGCATCCGATTTACCGCAGAATGTTACTCCCTTTACTTCAATCAGAGAGACCTTTCCTAATGCGATAAGCTTGGCATAACCTTCAACTTCATCAGAATTCCAACCTTTAACCACAGTCAATCGAGCAACAGTACGCTGACCCTTATCCTTCAATAGAGTTAACGATTCCTGTAGCCTTTCCCAAGCGTCCGAGAATAGAGGTCTATCTACAGCGATCAGACTCTCAGGCGTTGGAGCATCAACACTGACATAAAGTTGTGTAACTGGAATCAAAGAACTGATAGCCCCTGGATGCTGCCCATTCGTCACCAAAAAGGTAGAAATGTCACGAGTGTGCAAGTCTCCAAGGAATTCGTTTATTCTTGGGTACATAATTGGTTCGCCCACCAATGACAATGCGCAATGGCGGACCGTATGGGCTTCTTTCCATCGCTGTACATTTACACCTGGGATTCCTTTGGTTTCCTTGATCATTTTTACATGCGTTTTGACCGCCTCATCTACGATATAGTGCGGGTCGTCAACCTTCCACTTCCACTCTTTCCCAACTGGGTTTTTGTGGTGTCTCCAGCAAAACACACACTTATTCGCACATGCCAAACTAGGAGTTGCTTCCATACATTGGTAGGAAGTAATTCCATAGAAAGTATGTTTGTAGCATCCGCCGCGACCTCTTAGCTGGTGCTTTGTCCATCGACAAAGCTTGACTGCACTGTGGGTTCCGATCAGCTTATATCCCTCCTTCTTGAGAGCCTTCGCTTGAGTACTTGTAACCATTTCGCGCGGTTCAATGACACCCAACTCATTTGCGCTAGGTTCCGCATGTGCTTCCTTTGAATCGCCATTCATGTTGTCCCCAATATCCTCGATATCCATCACATCTGGTTCAGTCTCTTTCAAGTCATCATCATCGTCTCCCATATCTGTTAGTTTTGGAATAATGTCATGATAAATCCAGGCCTGAAGGACACGATCCTGATTCCCAGTTGCGTCGTCTCCAATTCTGACCTTCGTGCCATACAGTTGTGCTCCCAGCTTTCGGAAACACCGGAAGGCTTCTTTTGCTGGTTTTCCCATGCTGTTGTCTCCATAATCGGAACACCCCATTCCCAACACAGCCACGTGCAGTTTCTTTAGAGGAAACTTTTCAATTCTCCAATCATTTTGCAAATCTTCCAACGCATTTTCTAAGCAAATTGCCGTTTTTGGCCAAGACCCACCGTGGTGCGTCGGCAACAAGATGAGCAAAACGGGAGGATGGACATCTCCGTTAATTCGGGCTACGGGTTCTGTACCATTATCTTCGTCATTGATTAATTCATCCCACCAATCCCATTCATCCAACTTTCCAACTTGGATTGTACGGTTCTCTAGGTTCAATTTCAGAAGCGTATCGTGCAACTCTTTTGCAAGTTTTTCACATGTTCCAGTGACAGAACCATGTGCAATAGTGATGCTATTGAGAGCCAATATTCTTCCCATTCTGGAGCTCTCGTCTTCTAGAACTGTGGTGCTTGTCTTGACTTCCATAATGGGTGCGCTAGTGGTGGCAGTTTCCGACTCTTTTGGAGCAACGGCACTCGATTTCGGTTGTTCTTCCTCATCATTTAATTTCTGCAACTGCTTCCAACGCAAAGCTACGCCCACTACTACGGCAAGTGACACGATTGTTGACACTACATTCCGATTTTGGGAACTAGCCGTCATTTCTGCTGAACACTGTGCGGGTAGGGTTCCTAATAATTTTTTGAAGAAGAAAGAATGAGTGATTGATGATGATCAGCCGGTGTATCGTCTCGAAGATCGCGCGAATTGTTGCGCTCAACGTGGCTTTTGTTCAGTTTTTTCGTTAAGTATCGTTACGTACATGGTACCAGGGTACTACTGTACCTCCATCGCATCAGTTCATGACGTCTGCGAGTCGTAAAGCTGGTCCAAGTAGAGCTACAGAGACATAAACGTTGTGGTGTAGGACCTACCCCCAGTGCTTTGTATGATAATGAATATTCTATGGGTCCTTCAACAAACTGGCAAAGAAATCGGATACGGCCACGTCCTGTGTTTCGGATGCCTTCTCTTCTGCTTTGGTCTCTTCGGGGGCAATAGCTGGCTTGGCAGCTGAGGCAGCCGAGGCAATGGATTCTCGTAGTTGGGACAACCATCCGTCGTCCCCATCGTCTGTTCCAGTTTCGGCTTGAGGTGTCTCGCGTGCGGTCGGCAATGCCACCCACAGACTATCTTTGCTGGCTTCCCAGTGTCCGGGGTAATGTGCATTTCTCAGTAGTACACTTTCAATGAAATCCTCTTGGTGCCGTCCTGGACCGTAAATGGGTGTGGCAACACTGACAGGGGACCCTTCTGTATTGTCATTGTCGTTCGCGTTTTCTTTGTCGTCAGTCTCCCAGATGGGTTTATCTAGAGCTAGTTCCTTCCACAGTTTCGATAGTTCATCGAAGCTCACGGCTGGTTGGGAGGATTCCTTCTGCTGCTGAGATTGTGATTTTGATTGCGATTGTTGGGATTCCTTCATTGGAGAAGATGGATTGTTTTCTGAGGCTGCATCTTCAGGTTCGACAAAACAAAGTGTCGCATTTATGGCAGCTGCAAACCTTCGAAGATGATAGATGACCAAGGCATTTGCCTGGTTGGTTTTGTAGGCGCTTTCGCTGACTTCTTGTTCCTCCACGGGCATTATCGCGCAAATCATGATTGACGTTTTGATAGAGGCTGTCGCTTCACCAATATTCTTTGCCGTAATATTTGACTCTTTATCTTCCACTGCCAAGCCAAACTGAGTTGCTTGCAGTTGATACAATGTTGTAGTGGAGGTTGTTCGTTGCTCATCTTCTGGAGGAGGATTTTCAATCAGATATCGCACCAAAGCTCCTTGTAATTGACTAATGCTAGGTTCCACAGAAGTAGAATCAGACAAATCCACCGTCCAGCAGTATGTTCTGGAATGCGAAGTGACTTTGGCTAAGAGGGAATCCAACAGAGTTTCCCTGTTCACTCGACAATTCCAGACGCCCAAGTCAGGGTTTTGATGTCTATTTTTGGGCTCCTGTTCATCTTTGAAGGCACCCACTTGAATTGCTTGATATGTCATGGCAGTGTAGCCGTTCACCATGGGAGTTGTATCGATCAAAATTGGCTTCGATGTGTAGAGTTGGACAACCGTGGGGATGTTGACAGAAGACGTTTGTGGTCCGTCATCCGATGTCGATAGGGTGGAGAATAAACCCATTTGCAATGACAATTTTTTGTTTGAGAGGAGTCGTCGTCAAGGATTTGTGCCAGTTGCAAATGAGCACAAAGAAAGGAATGTGTTGCGTGGATTTCTGTAACCTTTCTGCAACCTTTTCCTTGTGCAACTTTCAATTGTCTTGTGGACACTGCACAAGTATTGAAATTATTATAAAACACTACTGTAGGTATTGAAATATTCGACGACACTCTATGATAAGTACCGGTACAACACGGCGACGTTTTGGGGGCATGCAGTGCCAACGCCAACTTTCCTCATCCCTACAGTACAGTATTGTACAGCCTACCGTACGTGTAACTGCACTATGTGGTAGGATTTCCACGCCGATTGGCGGTTATGGAACGACGGCTCGGAAGGCAGACGATCAATTGGATTGAGATTTGAGATTTTTTAAAAACAGTCTGAACCCATCGCTCATCATCGCAGAAGACGAAATGGCTTCCTAATCCCAGCGATTCGAGTACAGTAGTCTATTTGAGGTAGATTTTCAATCAATCAACAAGTCAAGTGAAAGGAAGTAAGAAGAAATGACTGGTGACGTCCCAAGTTCTTCATCATCAGGCCAATACGTTGCACCAGACCTTATGAGTGGTATGGCAACACCCATCGACCAGAGGCTGTTGCGGGACGAAAATGGTTACCTTCGGCAGGAAATTGCAAGCTTGAAAGAACAACTCGCAGTGCTCCAGTTTAGTATACGTAACGAGAGACAAAATATACCCAAAGCCAAGACTTCTGGAGGCGCTATTGAGCTTCCTGCACCCTCTGTCGTCCAGAATATCAATCACTCCCACAAGGCCAAAACTTCTCCAGCTTCGGAGCGACATGTCATTGACGTCGAATCTGGTTCCAGCATTGCGTACCACGAGAGCTCTCCAGGACTGTACCATCGAAACAATCGGCCACTTCACAATGTTTCAGGACCATCAATTCCAAACAAAGATGATGCAAGTCCAAACGAATATACTGCATTGTCCCCTCCCAGACCAACTCCACGCCTGACACCGGACGATGGCCTGCGTCGAGATAGCCCCGGCGTCGACGAAAACAATTTTTTGCAGTCCGTTGTTGATCGGGCGGGATGGTTGGTAGGATTACTTATCCTTCAATCCATGTCTTCCTTTATCATCGCACGAAATGAGACCCTCTTGCAACAACACGGAGTGATTGTCCAGTTCCTGACCATGCTAGTTGGGGCTGGTGGCAATGCGGGCAATCAAGCTTCTGTCCGAGTTATCCGAGGATTAGCAACGGGATCGATCGATCACACCAATACCAGACCATTTTTGAGACGAGAGTTGTTCATGGGACTGTGTTTGAGCATTATTCTGGCAGTTGCTGGATTTGGGCGAGCGCTCGTATTTTTCACACCATGGCCGGAAACCTTTGCCATTACCATATCATTGTTCATTATTGTAGCTTGCAGTGTGGTCATTGGGTCATTGTTGCCACTTGGAATGAGATCCGTGGGTATTGACCCAGCGCACTCTAGGTACGTCCATAATTTCTGCTTTTTGCTTTACAGCCAACCAACATGGCTTGGCTCAGATTTGTTATATTCATCACAATCGAAACTATCAGCACGACGATCCAAGTCATCATGGACATTCTTGGGGTCCTAATAACTGTCAAAATCGGTAGCTGGATATTGGATTCCATATTTGCAGGCGGAAGCAACAACTAAAATGCCATGTACGTTACGGTGCTGAGTAGAAGGAATAATCCGTCATCATGGAGACTGTTAGAATTGCCCTAAAATTCCAAATTAATTTGATAGAGACATGATAGAAATCAATATGCAATTCTACTGCATGGAGAACGTTTCCATCTTCAACATTGTTGCCGCATCCACTTGTGCCTGAGTCAACAATTTCATGCTGCACAGGTCTTTCATTTCGTCCTTTGTCCGACAGTATGTTAAACCTTGGTCGTAAAGCTTAATAACTGCCCGGGCCGAATCCAAGTCGGTGGCCATTCCCAACTTCAATTGGCCGAGTTGCACGTAGGCAGCTTGGAATTGTGGGTCTGCCTCAATGGCTTTCTCCAACAACCTGCAGGCTTCCTGTGCCATTTCCATTTGCATACCAGGTTGGGGCGGGGTGTTCAATTCAGCAAGCGCGGCGTTCACATACGGGGTTGGATTCTTCGGTTCCAGTTTCATAGCCTTTTCGAATTGTTCTTTGGCTTCGGCAAATTCATTCTGCGTAAACAGCAATTCTCCACGGTAGGATTGGACTTCAGAAGATTTGGGATCGATGGTTTCTGCCTTTTTCAAATGTCTCTTGGCACCAGCAGGGTCGTTCTTGGATGTCAAGACTGCCGCCAGTCGCAAATGCGCAAGAACATGGTTTGGACGAATTTCCAAGCATCGTTCTAGGTCCTTTTCGGCTTCCACAAGATTCGCCTGAAGCATTCGAAGATTGGCGCGATGCAAAAGTGCATCAGCTGCTTCCGAATCAATTGACAGTGCCTTTTCAAAAAGTTTCAAAGCCTCGTCTTGGTTTCCCCCATCCATTGCAACGCCAGCTTGCTTTACCACGATTTCAGACTTGGATATTTTCAAAAGAGTGATGATGAATGAGAACAGGTTAAGCGAGAAAATGCTTCCAACCGAAAAAAGCTGCACTTACATTCAAGGGTTCCAGATCAGAACATTCTTGATAACATTTCGAAGCCCCCTCCAACTCATAGGTCCAGTGCATAACCATACCTGTCCACTCCAGAAGACGTGCGTAGTCGTCACTGCTCATCACATTCTGTACTTCAATTTTGCCCTCAACAAGCATGTATGCTGCAAGGAGAGTTTCTCGTGCATTGCTGTATTTTCCGTCGTATACATGACGCCGACCAATTTTCATCAATTTGCTAGCCCGATCTGCGATTGCAGTTGCTTCTTCACTTTGTGGAAGGCTCTCTAACTCCTTCACCAACTGTTGCACTGATCCATCCTTTGCAGCTTGAGCCATCCAAGAGTTGTATCCAGTGTAAGACTTGAGCAATTGAAGAAGGGTGTAATCGGATGGAAGCATTTCTTTCTTCTTTTCTTCCGCGATTTTGGCATATGAATCCATTTGTCCCGGCAGTATTTTGGTAATCAGCTCCTCCAATTTCGATTGCGGTACAGGTGGTTGCGTGGAAGGCGGAAGCCCCATGCGAAGGGTATCTCTGTGCTTTTGCATGAACAGCAGTTGCAAGGCGCAGACTTCGACAAGTGCTGGATAAAACATATTGGAGCTCTCCAACAATCGAAGTTTGCGTGTTCTTGCCTTCGTGTGCGTCATATCGTACACCTCCAAAATTTTACTACAATCTTCCAAAGCAAGTTCTGGTACACTGCCCTTTTCATACATAGCAGAGCGGTTGTTGAAGAGTGTGATAATCTGCCTGTTCAAAGATGACGTCTGTGTTGTGTTACTCCGATCAGCCTGAGTCTCAATTAGGTCAAGAGCTTCGGTAAATGCTTTTGCTGCTTGCAAAAACTGTTTCGATTGCAAAGAAATGGCGGAAAGTGAGAACGGTTCTTTCTTTGAATTCCGCAATATGATTCGTCATGATCATCTCTACTCACTTGCTTGTTTTTGAAGTATGCTTTCCCTTTTTTGTCTAGCTCTTCTATGGCCGCATGGAGGGCTTTGTCATCCATATTGGACTCTCCAGTTGCACTTTCAGCTGGCGTCTTGATGTTGGACGTCTTGCTGGTTTCTTGTGAACGCTTTGAAACAATATCATCGTCCCCCGAGAGAAGAATCTTCGTCTCAGTGGATGGCTCTGTTGATTGGGAGTATGCAAAATACAAAAGTCCAGCAGCTGCAATTGCTGCAACTCCAAAATATATAGCCTGTGTCTCTTTGTTGGTTCCTGACATTTTGGATTAATTCGTAGGCCACAGACAACAGATTGGGAGAGGTACCTTGTACCTGGTACTGTAAGAACTAAACGGTCTCTAAACCAAGAAGAATGAGATGGATTCGATTCGCGTCACATTTACCTGAAGCGGTCGAATATCAGACGAGGAGCAAGAAAGGGGATGTAAACGGGGGTAGTGGACAGTTGAGCTCCCTTTTACGTACTGTACATACGAGTTGCAAAATGACGAACAACTCTACCAGTGTTACCGGTATCGAGGTGACAGAATATCAATCACCAAACTGTACCGCTGTAGGAACAAATCTTCTTGGTTTCTTTCGAATTAATATTTCAAACAGCTATTGTTGCAGATACTACCATGGCAGCGCCACAACCGGTTGTGCCAATTGGAGCTTCGGTGGTTCAATTCATTTCCTCGGGCACCAAACCTCCATCCGACGATCAAATCTCAAAAAACGTAACACCTCCCAGAGTACCTCTTCCTTGTCTCTTGATACCCGATGAGAGCAAAGGTTTCAAATCAATGATTTTAAATGGTCCAGAAAACAGTGGAAAAACTAGCATGGCGATGAATTTGGCCTGCTCTTGCGCAGCCTCTTCGGACTGTCCGTGCCTAGACAGAGCGGCTTGCCGTTGTTTGGCTTCGATAGTTTTTCGCCCTTCCACAGAAAGGGAGACCTCATTCCCCCCTGCGTGCCACCTCTTTCCTTCCACCGACACAACATGTGAGGTGCCCTCTCTATATTCTCAAATTCGAGAGAAATGGAAAAGTGAAGGCGATTATTTCCATCATGACATACTTCAACGGATTCGAATTGTATACGTCGACTCGGTCGTAGACATTATAACAGAATTGCTATCTGTGCTCAAAGAGGAACGGGATCGTATTCTCTGCATCATAATTGATGACCTCGACAAAATTGCAAGCAGGAGTGAAAATAGCACATCTGCCATCTTGCAAACAGGTAAGCCAGACCCTCTAAGTCAAGAATCCTTTCATTCATAAGCACGATCTGATTTTTTTGTTAAAACGGTTTCTTTCGGATGCCATGTTTTAAAAGTTGCAGCGACAATCGAGACAAGAAACGCTTTGGAAAATATATATAGTGCTGCACCCTCGGTATTGATAACTTCAACTGCATTAATCAATGCCCCATGGATAGAAGCAAAAGTCTCACTGCGATTGGAAAGAAGCCCCCCAGTGTGGCAGAGAGAGGCTATTCATCAAAGTGCACCTATTAGTCATTGGAAGGCTACTATTCCGTCAGGTTCTTGGAATGATACATCATCTTCCAGCGTTGATTACCTGTTCACGAGCAGACCAACAGGGGAAGTTCGAATCTACTGGAGGAGGGTGTAACTGGATGCTCCTTTGCTGCCTTACTAAGTCTCATTACGCTTAATGTACTCTTACTCTTTCCGTAGTGGAGCTGACTTTGACCAGTTCGAGTGTTCGCATCTCTGTATTTTTTGGTACCGGTACGTACGAGTGTGCGAACAATATTTATTGCACAGTACCTACAGTACCGTAGGGTAGAGCATTCTACGGGAAGTTTCGTTGTCATATTTACCAGTACGTCTACTACGGTATCCCCTCAAATTCTGAATCGAATTCGTCCTCATCGTGTCAGTTGATTTCCAGTTCGCGAACTACTAGATTCACTTTAAAAGTCTTAGGTAGCATTCATACCAATAGTCCCAAGACATTGCTTTTATTCTCTCCATCTTTTCAAGAAGGGAGACATCTCGATAGTATCGTGTTGCCTTGAAGGTGAGAGCTCCTCAGTCGGCTTTTGCATGTCTGGCATCCATTCTGGCCTACCACAGAACAAATACATATTACCACAACTTGACACAAATTGCGATCTTCTCTCAAACTTTGCATTACGTGAGCAGCAGCCCGGAGAATCTAGTCTACTGCACGCTTTATCAAGAAGGAACTGACTCTTCTCGGTCAAATGGAAGGATGAATCTCAGCGTTACCTACTCACAGAACACAGGAGGGTTGGCAAGTCCATCGCGACCACCATTCTCACCCCATTACAATGGCAACGAAAGACTGACAAGAAACCCAACTTTTTTGATTGGACAGGTGTCAAATTCGATGGTCTACTACAACCGTTCCAGCTCCGAGAGGCTGCAGGTGCCTAGTAGAAGAAGCTCCCATTCTTCAAGGACAATGAGACGACGATCACATTCTGACGAGCATACAGGTGTAGCGAAAGCTTGTATGACAAATGGCTCGAATCTATCTCACTCTACTTGTGCACAACAGCTTAATGATTCGATGATATACATGGATGGACCGCAAGTTTACGCCTGTGCAAAGTGCAGAACTCATCTCACAAGCCATGACGAAATTATTTCGAAGAGTTTTCATGGGCGCCATGGTAAGCCAATCATTTTGCTTCATCAGATTGCTACTAGAAATATTATCAATAGCTCACTTGTATAACTCAAGGTCGAGCTTTTCTTTTTGACCATTGCGTGAATGTCGATATTGGACCTGCAGAAGAAAGGCCACTAATGACAGGCCTTCACAGTGTATGTGACATCTTCTGCAGGCGTTGCAAGGGCATGGTGGGTTGGACGTATATCAAGGCATACGAAGCGAGTCAAAAGTACAAGGAAGGAAAGTTCATTCTTGAGGTAAAAAACGTGATTTGAATTGTCTTCTAATTGGTCTGTTGAAATCTTTTTCTGACTGTCTTTTACTTATATCTCTCTCTTCTATCGGTTCCATCTTCCTTTCTACCCTATCATCACCTCTATGCACGTCAATTTCTCTTCTGCCCACCTACTCTACCTACCTACTCTACCATCGACTCATTCTACCTGTCTGCTAATGCATCATTCGGCGTCACCCCACTCTTTCCATCCCTTGGTTCGCTTTCACTCCTTTCTTCCGGCCTCCTTTCGTTTGATATCTCTCAGAAAATAAACCTCCACCTCGAAGCGAGCGACCATTACAGAGTCGCCCCCCCACCAGGGGAAAAAAATGATCGATTCCGAGCAAGATCGATCAGTTGGGGGAGCAATCGTTTCTCTCACTTGCAGCCCATCGAAGTCTACGAATATGATGGTGCTTCTAAAATCCGTGGATTGGATCTCAGTGATTCGAAGCAGACAAGCGGGGGAGACTTGTCCGAGCAATGCACTGTGCCAAAATGTGACACTATGCCACGCCTCTGAACTTATTTCCACTCGTCTACCAAGTTCACTATAACATGTACTATTGCTCGACTTCGGAGCTGTGTACTGTATTCAATAATTGCACATATATATCATTGCATATAAAAGTATTTGACTCACATTATATTTATTAAGTCTTTATGAAATTAATGGAACTAAGCATTTTGTCATAGTTATTATACATGAATTCCGCTTCTTCATTTTATGCGAAACAGAAATCGAAGACATTACAGATCAATGAAACTCATGGCTGGTTTGGCGCCTAGCATCATATTGCTCAAGAACCATTTTACTCTTAGCCATCTGTGAGGACACACGGTCATGCTGACCAAGAGCCTGTTCCAAAAGAATCCCAACATCTCGCCATCTCTCGCAACTTTCGAGGAGGATGTCATTCAAACATTCGCTTTCATGTATACCAGTATTTATTGATGCACCGTCCTCAGCTTCGCGCACCACCATCTCAACAAAGGCCTCCCCAGTACTGCCACAGTCATCGTCCCCTTCCTCAAAGTCATACTCGATGTCTAATTCTGCTGGCACTTTTTTGCCTTCGCATTGTCGAAGCACCATTTCAACGAGTCTTTCGTCTCCAGTGATCTCTATTGATTGATCATCGATGCCACCACAAGTGCTTTCGTCGTCACCTAGCAACATATGAGTCGGGATCTGCGCTTTTGTCATCTCGACAACGGCCGGTTCAGCCCGAATAAAGTCAAAAAGGGTGCTGAGAATGTTGCGCTCTTCCTTCTCATGTCGCTGCCGAATCAATCGTGACTTCTGGGGACTTGAAAGGGTTGACCAATTCACAAGGGATGACCGCGCTTTTGCCTCTGATATAAGTCTTAGAGTTTGGTCTGGAGTGCGGTCTCGTTTCATGGCCAACATCTGGAAGGGCAACAATCCCGTCTCCGTGTCAGTAGCCAATAGTAGCCGTTTCTCAACATTCGCGAGCTGGCACAATTCTTTTCGAGACTTTCTCTCCTCGATGGCAATATGAAGCGCTGATCTTCCCATACTTGAGTCGATTAGAATACTGCGGGGTGTCATTTGGCTAACAAACTCCAAAGAGGTGTTCGATATCGATGTTTCAAAAGACTGCGGAACATACGCTGGTGTCGATGCTGCGATGTGCACAGGATAGATTGATGTTCCCGGGAGGGGTATTGAAACGGTGTTTGGCATGGTCATGAGTAGAATTTCGATTGCAAGTGGTGGAACATCTGGATTGGATACCGCACAATGCAGCAAAAATTGATCGTCTCGTTTATGCAACCCAAGACCAGAAGAGGATTCATTCCATATTAGCGTGAGAGCCTTTTGCCAGAAACCATGCATTTCACGAGGTATAGCTGAAGTGGCTATAGCAGTCTGAGCAAGTGCCATTCGTTTTGTGGAAGCGTACCATCCTGATTCTCCTTGATAGTTGTAAAACCAATGAATAAAATTCGAAGCAACTATTCCAGCGTCAGTGAGCTCTCTAGAGTCGTGAATCTTTGACCTTTTCATTGCACCGACGCCAATAGCGTTTGGATTCATCTTCATCAGCTCGAAGATGGTTGTGAGCTTATCTAGGTCTTGGAGTTCACTCCTATCCATATTGTGACGGTGAAGTGACTGGGATTTTGTAGAATACCATGTCATTGCAGGTTGTCTTTTTGCTTCAAAAATACTGTCCTTTGAATGTAAAGTTTCGATTGTTTCTCTTTGACCTCTGTTGGTCTCTTTAGAACTATCGATAGCGGCAAGCTGAAATGGAAAGAGCTTTGTATAGGGATCGCGAACAAGAAGTGTTTTGGGATCCAAACGGACTAAGGGCATGGTGAAAGAGTGCATCTTTCCACTTCCCAAAGCATGGTGAAGTGGTAAGCGATCCTCAAAGCGCCGCCAGACCCAATGAGAATTGTGTTTTCCCATGAGTGTCTCGAGGATTGCAGCATCATTTGCAGCACTATCCCACTTGGTAAAGCATGCAATATGCAGTGGAAGTGCCCCTGATCGGGGATCCACTCTTTTCCGTGAGTGCGGGTAGATCTTCACGATCAATCTTATCAACGAGAGCGGCGATGTTGGATTCGATAGTGCAATATGCAAAATGTGCTGGTTTGTAAGATCTTGAGGACGCTCAGTTGTTGTGTGCACAAGCAAGAATGACAGCATGTTGAACCAATCTTGGCTTGCGTTTGTCCTCCCTAATGATGAGTCATCGTCTCCATCTTTTCTGTCCGTTCTCGATCTGCGATGCTGGTGCCACACGACTATCTCTTCACTCAAGGTAATCATTTCGCTTCGATTTGATTTTATCTTCATGAAGCCGTATTCATAATGATTTCTCAGGCCGCGTTGAAGAGCGAACAAAAGTTTCTTCGGAGGTTTCGCTGGATCGTAGGATGCTGCTTTCAAAACATTTTTCAGGATGTTCAATGGAAAAGAAAATTGAAAGACGATATCGACACACTTGGCACAAAGAGCAATATTTGGTTGGAATATTTTGTTCTCTTTATCCCTCCGACTGCATTTGATCATCAATGCGATGACTGATGGCGGGGCACTGTTGTTCATTGCTTGATAGATCATCATCCCTTGCTCTCTTGGATGGATTGCCTTATTCAACCTTGTCATTACTGTTAGTAATATCTCGATCTTTCCCCATACTATTTTCTGGCGTCTCTGCCAATTTATCTCCTCTTCATCATATGACGCACCCCATCGAGCTTTCTGACTAGAGATCGCAGTTGATTCTACGAATTCAGGCAACCGATCTATTGCAAGAGATAAAGGCGAATTTCCCTTGCAATCAACAGCCAACAGTCCCCGAGGAAACGCCGAAGCTATCGTTTGAATATCTTCTGCTGATACTGCTGTTCCAGCAGCAATATGAATCGCATATTGTCCCTTTGCGTCAGCCACAGATGCAGCCTCAGGTTGAATTTCAACAAGCTGCCGCAAAATTGGCGAGGGAGCTTCTTTCTCGCAAGCCAGTTGAAGAGGGGTCCTACCCTCTTCATCTACAACCAACAAGCAATTGCTACGTAATAATTCCTTGGTTCCTTTAGCAACAACTTGATTCGAAGTTTTCGATGTCGATTGACATTCCTTTTCCCATTTCATTTGCTTCAGTCGGAACTTCAGTAAATTCCAATTCAAAATGTGTATCGCTGTATGAAACTCAGTAACGAAAACTTCATCTGACAACTCAGATCCAGAGGTGGAAACTGCATCAATGGAGATAGATTCATTATTGAACGAGGAATGCAGATGACGTCTCAGCCTATCTAGCTCTTCCAACGTGTCTGCTGATACTTCGGACACTTCACTTTCGTCGTGGGATTCGTTCCCGAATTCAATTTCAACGCCCTCCATCCTGTTTGTCATCCTTCTGAATAGTTTTCTTATCTTCGAAAGGGTCAAATAATCTCCTCTTCCAGCATCTGCATTTGACGGATCTTGACGTTCGTCTGCAGCTCCTGTGCATAAGGAAACCACTCCAGTTGTCCCGACGCAAGGAGCAAAAAAGCTTTTAACAGCGTGCTCAAGCATAGATCCATCTTCTGTAGCAACAGGACTATTTTTCGCTTGCTGTAGGATGTTTTGTGGAAGCCTTTGGGGCTCTTTTGGTGTTGCGGCTCCCATTTTGATCACACTATCTCTTATGGTTTCGTTCCCAAATCTGTTTCCAGGAAAAAATGATGCGAGGTTGATGAAAGGGAATCCTCATATGCTAGCGCCACCAAACATGTACGACAAGATTAGTAGAAAAAGCGTTTGTCCAAAAAGTAAGATTCCTATCTTTGGCGCGCATTCACGTCGTGTAAAAATTTCCCGGCGGGACTCTTTCAACGTGCCAAGCGCAAAAGTTTACGTTTTAAAGTTACCGTTCATTGAAACGTATTTTTAATAAAGGACTAATAAAGTTTCATGTGTCTTCACTATGCATGAGCGGTTTCGTGAGCAACCTTTCTCTTGCTGGACTGGTTTGGGTTCATGTCAGCATCTTCCTCATCTTGCTGACCTAACATTTTGAAGAGAGAAGCCTGTATTTCTCTCTGCCGTTCTTGAGTCATTCCAACGTTTTCATTGTCAAATCCATTCTTATCCTTGTCCGATCCGTTCATAGCACGACTGGAAGACTGTTTTGGCACCCGACTTCGTTGTGATTGCTTCATCGATCGGTTGTGGTACATTTCAAAGTACCAAGGTGGACACATGAGGTTCATAGAGGGGGGGACCGGCAGTGCCCAATTGCTAGGGATCTGCAAACATGTTTGGAGAAAAATTGCTGCGGAATCGAACATAAATTTGGGTCTTGGTGAGTTGTGGTCACCTTCAACAACGATAAGATTTTTGTCACCAGCGTATTTCTCGTAGATTTCTTCAGCATGGTGCTTCTTGATAAAGTCATCATGCTCTCCGGCAACAAATAATGCTGGAATGAAGCATTTGTCGGCATGTGCAATAGGGGATATTTGCTTCATATTGACATTAGCCTGTTTCTTCACAGAATTCTGAATCATTCGAAGCGCAACACTAACAACCAAGCTCGGAACAACAATTCCTTGCTCTCTACCTTTTTCAACAAGTTCTTCAGCAAGCTGTGACAAGTCAGCAAACGGAGAGTCCAAGATCATGCAAGCAATGCTGGGGTCTCGATCTCCAAACATGAGCGACGTTGCAGCGCCCATAGATCGCCCCCAAAGCGCAATCGTAGAGACAACATTTGTGGCTCTCAAATGCGCAATTACACAAGCAAGATCTTCTCTTTCGTAGTACCCCAAACTGACATATTCACCATCAGATTTTCCCGATCCAGCGAAGTCAAACGAGAAGACAGCTACTCCCAGAGAGAGTAAATAGGACAACTGCGGAAGCACTTCAACCCGTGCTGAAGAATTTCCATGCATATAGATAACAACTGGGATTCTATCCACAACCCGTTCGACGGGCTCCCAGTGCGAACACTCCAAATTATAACCCCGCTTCGTTCTCAACGTGAAATCAGTTCTTGTGAACCTTTTTCCACAGAATGTAAAAGCTGGAGGACCCAAGGCTTCCATCTACAGCAATCCACCAATACATTCGTATCCAACATGATTAGAGACAAACACATTTTCTTTTGAAACTATTCTCGGAACAAAAGCATGACTTACCTTGTAATCGGCTCTTGGTGGACGAATAATTGCATTGACAAGTTCTTGATAGCCCATGCGGGCCATCTGGAAATAGCTTAATTTTCGCTGATCTTCCTTGACATTCATATTCTGATTTGAGCTTTGACGCCTCCGCCGATCGTCCTCGCCTTCCGAAACGGAAGAGCCACGGTGATTCATCTGCCTTCCATCCTCTCCGCCTATTCCTTTGTCGTCCCTTTTGAGTGCTTCACTGGTGTGTTTGGGCTGACAGTTGGGTGCCGCAGTCCCAGAGTTGAAAAAACCATCCGCTTCTGGGGATTCCAATGACATACTATAAGCTTCTTCAAGAAGTTCATTTTCTTCTTCTTCCGATAACGCGTTTCCCATTTTGAAATTTGAAATGTGAACGCGGTGAAACTATGGAAGCTGGAATCAATCGAGCACTCCTTGACTTTGAATCCAGTCGAGAGTATGCTGCTGTATTAGTTTGATAGACGAAGCAGTCCAGGGAATTTATTGTGGAAACAAAATAGAGAGAACGAGGATTATTGTGTTCGGCATCCATGGCTTGCTCGCTCTCATCAAATAAAATCGAGCAACGGTCCCCAAGGGCAGTATTTGGACTTCTTTAGTTCGTTATTTTGAGCCTGTGCTAGTACTATCCAGGAACATCGAACAGAACAATTGATCAAATCGAAGCTCCTGGAAGACAATGCAAAAAAATGAAGATGATGTTTTGGTTCACTCTTCTTTTCATAGTTTGCCTAAAAGAACATGCCTCGTTCGCTTTTCAGCCATCGTTGATCAGGACACCGTTACAGATACCGGTACGTCCGTGTAAACCTTTGACGCCCTACGAAAATTTTCAGAAAATCTCTCTGTTACGATCGCACATAGATGATAAGATAGAAAGTGAGGCGGGAGATCAATCTAATGTAGCAGATGACTCAACAAAGTCAGCATTGCAGAACGCTCTCGAAGGATTCCCGTTGGGATTATTTCGAAAAGACGGATTCAAGAAACTGCCACCGCTGCGCTTTGAAGATTTGGATCTGCTGTTCTACGACGTCTTTCTGGTAGTGAATCTTTCTCTTTCGATTTCTTTCTGGGTGACCCATCGGGTAGACTTCTCGTATCTGCCGGTAGCTCTGAATGAAGGCTGCATTTTTTCACTCTTCTGGATTCTGTCTGGTATGTGTCTCGGATTTTCACAATTATCGCTCATATGAAATTTTGTCATTCTAACCAACCCTACATCGAAGGTCTGTATCATGGTGCTTTCTTGATGTCGGCTGTAGATGGTCACTATGGTTCTTCGGATGCAGCAGGAGGACCCAAAGCTGCGGCTGCTCTTGGGCTGAATACATACATTGGTGCTGTCAATATGAGACTTGTATTTGCGTTAGCATCTGCTGTATTGCACCATCGCGAGGTGGGTGTAAACGCAATCGAAGAACTCATACCACTGGAGATTGGATGTGGAATATTTTTGATGACTATGTGGAGAGCCTTGCATTCATACGTCGCACCAAGAGTCTGAGAAGCATCTTAATCAGATATGCCCTCTCCAGTGACATACTTTGCGAGCGAGTGCGATGTTGCAAGTCGCCTATCCAAATGGCTAGAGGTATTTACCTGCGATCTTGACGACTGCGACCTCCGACGAGAATGCTTTCATATCGCAGCTGTACTGTACGCAATCACTTTAATGTGCTGCTTTCGCTGGTACACCGATTGGGTCGACACGACTATCAAGATACAATGCCACCTTGAAGTCCGCAAAAAAACCAGGCACAATGAGTTATAATAGTCTATCTACTACTTCATCCGTACAGCTCGATCGATCTGTATACAATGTACGATATCGTTTGTTTTCTCTAACGGAATGGCGCGGATTGTTTGAAATATCATGACCGAGCTGGTTTAGCTGATGATGTCCATGATGGGGACAGATCCTGGAAGAGCTTCATGTGCGAAAAGAGAAGCCATGGCGATCATAGCTGCTCTTCCGTTCTTCATTTCAACATCTTCATATCGGGCCATCTTTTGTGGGGATGCCTTCTTCTTGATTCCAAGATAGTCAAAGTTAAGATCTCCAGGGGTCTTAGTGGACTTGCCTCGGAAGTTGTCGCCACTGTGACCTACACTCTCTCCCTCGGCGATGGCGATGAAGGTAAGAATACCGAAGAACCAAGCTGGTTGTTCAGAGGCGAAAACTCCAAGAGCCTTGGTCCAGTCGGGCTCCTCTGGGAATCCAGGGAAGTGAAGTCCAAGTCCGAATCCTCCCTGTGGCAAAAAGAAAATGAGAGGAGATAGTTGGTAAGAATAAATGTGTCAGAGCCTATCAGATCCAAGGTTCAACCTACCTGAGTGGTAGCCCAGACACCGGTCCATGCAAGCATGGCTTGACGGCCGTGCTTGAGTTCGGCTTCCTTCAAAAATTGTTCATTGGGGAACATGTTAGGGAAGGTGTCGAATGCCTCTCCAGTTCCAAGAGTTCGGAGGCTCAGAGGATCCCAGACTCCATCATCGGCGGCCATCAAGGCAGTCTTGGAGAGAACAGCCTGTTGTGGGGCGAAAGCAGCAGAGCTTGCGACAATAGCGGAGAGGATGAGGGCGGAAAGCTTGGCCATGGTTGCGGTATCAAAATGTACCTATACTGTAGGATCGTCGAATCCGTGTTTTGGCTTCAAGGATTTGACTTCAAGTATCCATTCTCTCGTATGTTTGTACCAACTTCGTGTACGTCAGTCTGTTCTTCGATCTTGCTTGGTCTGCCGACTTTCGCTTGGTACTTATGTAGCCTTCAATCTGATCTAGTCGAAGATCACAATAGGGGCACCATACAGTACAATACAGTCGATACTGTACAGTCGAAGAAATCACAGTAGGGGCACCATACGATACGATACTGTACCACTGTAGGATACAGTACTGTACAGGATGAATTTAGGTATCCACTCTCTGATCCAGGATCCAAAACAATTCTCCCAGAAAGGAGCATACCAGCGTATATTTTGATATTGCACAGACGAGAAAGAAAGCGAGAGCGCTGACAATCATACTGGATGCCATCAAAGCAATAAAACATCATGGATAGAATCTAGCACGATGTTACATGGAGGAGCCTACAGGTACAGATAGTTCTTCCTAGCGCCCAAGGATTTGCAAGGCTTGGGCGAGACGCTCTGCAGCCAAGTCAGAATTCTTGTCTTCCAACGCAGCCAGGGCGAACTGAGTGAGTTCTTTTGCGTCTGCAAATTGAGCTTTTGAAAGTTTCTTTCCTTTGGCTGCGCCCATTCCAAAAAGATAGGGCTTCTTTTCTATTGCTGGTTGGCCAACGGATGTTGTGGCCGCACGGGCTGGGATGGGAGGTGGTGGCGCAGGAGGGTTGAATGTCATTGGTGGCCGCAGCGGTGTTGGAGCAGGGGGCGCCAGGATTTCAGGCAGGTCTGTCCCCGTTGGATATGGAGGTGGTGGTGGAAGACCTGAAATATCCGTTCCAATTTGCTTTGCTTTCTCAGAAACATCATCTTTGTTTTCGTCGGCTGGTGGCGCCATAGGAGTGACAGGTACGTCCTCTACTACCGGTTCCGAATCCTCTTCCTCTCCGTCATCTGATGCAGTCTCCACTTCTACAATTTCCGCTGTTTCTCCTTCCTTCGTCTCTGTTTCAGTCTCTTCTTCTTTCTCTGTCACTGGCGGCTCTTCTTCGGCCAAGTTCTCTCCATATCCACCTGGAGTTGGTTCTCGGCCCTCTTTTATCGCCTTCAGAATGTCAGTGGCTTTCCATTTTGCATACTTCGATTTTTCCTTGACTTCTAGATACTCTTCGGACTCGTCGTCATCCTGATAGAACTGCTGTAACATTTCAAGAAAGCTTGCAGCTGCATAGAATGTTTTGGCAGTATCGCGGGTGGCCTGCCCATTTCTGTCTTCCGTATCAGCCTTGGAGAAGATCTTGCCCGCAAAGGAGGAGCACAGAAACTGTGTTTCGTCTCGTGTGAAGGAGTCCATGGCCTCCTTTTCTCCCTCCAACGCGCCGAGGATCTCACCAAGGCAGTTCTTCGCAACGTCGCTTTGGGCAATCGCGATTCCTGTATGTACTGCATACTGACGACAGTAGTAGGCAACTAGCCGAGACTCGGCATTCGATTTATCTCGATCGAGTTCCTCCGCTCTTCTAATGTACGGGGTTATCTTTTTCAGCTCGGCTGGAATTGACAATGGCATGGTTCTATAAAGGGAAGAACTTGATTTGTTGAGTGAAAGATGTTTTCGTTCTTTTTCTTCAAGACTCATCACCAAAAACGATATGGACTATACTAGTACCATCTGTACTTCGCAGCGTTATTACCAATGGAACTGATGTTGTGACTTGCCATGGAAACTGCTAATAGTTGGATGTGGATGTGAAGAAACCAGTGTCAACATGCGAAACACCATCACTATTACAGATGGACGAGTGAATGAGCGTACATCCTTGGTGCCACAATGTGATGCATCTTGGAGCGTTTCAGTTAGATAAGTGAACATGGTGAATGATCCTTGGAGGCATTCCGGTATTTGAGAAACGTAATGTGAGACAAAATTTTTAAATTATCTACAATTTACAGAAGCAACAGCTCTGGTTTGCTAATGTAGTGCTTGAAGGCTGACATGAACAAGGAAGCTGTTGCCTCATCAACAACTCGCCTGTCTGCGCTCAGTCGTGCAGTCATGATAGTCTTGATGGATGGTTTAGCCTGTTCTTCAGCTCCGTCAATGTATGGTGTAGGAACCACACGGCGAGATCCGCCTCCGACGGCCAAAATTGCTGCTTGCGGTGGATTGATAACGGCCGAGAACTCATCAATGCCAAACATACCAAGATTGCTGACGCAGAATGTTCCACCTTGATATTCTTCTGGTGCAAGTTTTCCCTCCCTTGCTCGTCCTGCAAGATCGCGAACTTTGTCGGTGATCTCAGAAAGGCCAAGTTTGTCTGTGTTGGGAACGATCGGTGTGATCAATCCAGCTGGCGTTGCTACAGCTATACTGATGTCAATAGAATTCTGTAGCTTTATAGCGTCGGTTTTTGGGTCGTAAGTGCCATTCACTTCTGGGACGTCTCGGAGTGCCAACGAACAACAGCGGATAATGACGTCGTTGACAGATACCTTCACATCATGATCTGCTACGAGTTGTTTCCTGAGCTTCAGGACGTCGTCCAATTCAACTTCCATAGAAGTATAGAAGTGGGGAACCTCTCTCTTGCTCTCAGTAAGTCTTCGCGCAATAACCTTTCGCATGTTGTTGTTAGCAACATCCTCAAAAGTACCCATCGTGTCAACCGGTGGAATCTCCAGATCGGTAAAAGGTGCTCCTGGAGTCGCGGCAGCAGGTTGCATAGCAGAAGCTGCCTGGACTGGTGCTGCTGACTCCTTCGCTAATGGGGGCATGAAAGTTCCACTGGCAATGGCGGCCAAAACATCACCCTTTGTAACCCGGCCTCCCTTTCCGGACCCAGGCAAACCAGTCGCGTCCAATCCTCTGTTTGATCAAAGATTCAAGAATAAGTTAGAATTGACAATAGCAATGGAATTCATATGGCGATGGTACATACTTTGATTCAGCCAAAAAGCGAGCCGATGGGAGCAAAACATGCTCGGTAGATACTTCTCTTCCAACAGGCGCTGGAGTCGACGATGAAGTGTCCGGTGCCTTAGATTCACCAGCTTCAGGTGCGGCTGTGACAGGGACTTCAGCTTCCAGCACATAGTCTGAGAAAGCACCAATGTCCTCCTCTTCTTCCACAACGACTGCGATAGGTGCGCCAACAGGAATGTCGACAGCTCCAGATCCTTCTCGCAATATCTTTGCCAAGAATCCATCATCCTGTGACTCAAAATCCATCGTGGCCTTGTCAGTCTCTACAGAGCAGAACACACTTCCAGCAGAAAACGAGTCTCCCTCTTGTAGCCCCCATTCAGCAATAGTCCCGCTTTCCATGGTTGGACTCAAAGCAGGCATCGGCAGGAGAGTATGCGCAGGATAATCCTTCGCCACAAGGAACGAAGAGTGAATCGATCTCCTGGCTATCAAATCTCTCGTCAAACCCCTTTGGGCGTAGACGGAGAATCGTAGTCGGAGTGCAGTATTCATAGTTGGCCAACTGTCTCTCAATAAGGTACACGGTGAGACTATTTCCTCTGCCGATCCAGAAATGCAGAAGTTCGGTCTCTTCGGTTCTCGATGCCGGAAAACGCATGGCGGACAGAAATAGGGGTAAATCTACAGAGTGAGTCCCCCCAAATGAAAACAAACCCGATCACTTTTAAAAAAGTAGATATAAAATATCATATCGTATGTAATACCGGTAGTACAGTAGTACCGTATATTGTACCTACAGGTAGTAGTATCTTAGATAAGATCCATGATGATATTGAATGATCACCAGATGCACTTGACCCAAAGTCATGCTGCAGTATAGTTCTGATTTCTCATCAGGAAGATGCGGAAGATTTTTGTAATGCTGTAAAGTAGCCACTTGCATTTAGCGGGAAGAGGAGCTGGTATTATATAAATATTACAATTAACAAATTGCTTTAACCGCTTGGTCTCAGACGAAGGACTACAGGTATAGTGCCCGTTTTTTCGTTTTCATCCAAGGTTCACAAACCAGAATTCCAGACAATTTGGCTTTTGACTCGATGAGTTTCTGAGCATCTGCCACTTTGGCAAGTGGAAGTCTATCTAGCACTTTGGGACGAATTTTCTCCTTCTCCAGCAAGGCAATCAAGTGTTGCATGTCCCGTTTTGATACTTCTAGATTTTTTCCCCATTGATCATATACGTCGTAAACAACAACTCGCCTTTCCGATGATTTTGCGAATTTCTTGGGTTCGTCGCACCCACAAATAATTAGACGACCGTTTTCTCGCAAAGCTCGTTCATGGAAAGCTGCAACTCTGCTCGGTTCTTCCATACCCACAATCAATGCTAGATCGACGGTTCCCTCCACCCGATTCAGCCATTCTGTGGAATCGTCTGGGAGAGGGATAATCCCGAGTCCCAGAAGCATTCTCCAGTACTTTCTTTTTGCTGTCGCAAATACGATGGCGGCATTCCCATCTACTGCCAGTTCCATCACAGCTTTTCCAAACGTGGAGGCTATGGATCCAATTATTAGCACGGTTTTCCCTTCAAGCGACTTCGCCGCATATCGAGAGAATGCAATCTGCCCATAATGCAGACTCTGGAATGCTGAAAGGTAAGTATCACACAGACATACAACCTGCGCGGGATCCATACCTTCGGATACTTTCACAAGTCTTTCTGGATCGACTGAAATGTACCTTGAGTTGCCTCCAACTTGGACGAGTGAAAGCACACTTTGACCGGGGTATAGTGCAAAAGAAGAAGAAGTGCTTTGGGAAACACCGATTACCTTGCCCACAACATCTACTCCTGGTGTTACAGGAGATGATCCGTATTCTTCAATTTTCAGTTTCCCTTGACGAATTTTGCAGTCTCGAATAGATATCGTAGAAGCTTCAACTTGTAAAAGAACCCTGTTTCCATCCTCTGGTTTTAGAGTTGGCATGAATTCAAATTTGCGGAGAGCGATGCATTCATGTGGGTCGTCCCCAAACTTGGTGTATGAAATGTCCATGTGAACCCTTCCTTCATACTCATACGAATACAAAGACTGCGGTCCCTTCGTTCCCAAAAAATGATCAGAAGGGATCCCCATTACGCCATTTTCAGCGCTCATTTGTAGACTTATTGGAACCTGACCCTCGAGGTCGGATACCATTCTCGCAGCTGGAAAAAAGAACCCCATGTCGTCGTCCAATTGATGAATAGCGTCCAATTCATTATTCTCTATCTTTGCAAAACAAGCAAACTTCCGTGTGAGCTGGCTTGGGCCATCATCGCCGTCCTTGCGTCCGGTGCCACTTGAATCTTTACCATGGCCTGCGTCTTCTTCAAGTGGAGACGAAATCGGAATGCGGACAACGCTTGTCCCCGATTTTGGATGATTCGTGTCCTGCGTCGTTGTTTTGTGTTCTACCTGGCGAACGGCTGGCTTCTTAAAACAATTCTCCATACTCTTTGATCCGTTCAAAAAGGATTCTGGGTCATCATACCCGTCCCTATGATGATGGCGCCCAGAGGCTCTCTTTGCACTCTTATCAACTCGAGCATCATGGTGGGAAATTGAGTCGTCTTCGGCCGAATTGACACTATACCCCTTGCTTTCAGAATCCCCACATGACGAATCTGAAGAGCTTTGACCTCCGCTGAGCACATGTCTTGGTTGAACGACATCAAAAATATTGATCATGTGCCCTCCCACTTCTTCCCACTTCACTTTCTTCACACCTGTACTGATGGCTACTGCTGCCATCGAAGCTTTATCCAGGATACTTTCGGCTGTCAGCTGTTGGTCCTGCTTCTTTGCCATTTTACTTTTTATTCCAAACCCGCTCCATTTTACTTTTCGGCTTTCATTCTTTTCTCGCACATCAAGCTTTCTCTGGTGTCGTCGCCAAGGGTAAATGCTTGAGCCACTCTCATCTCTTTCTTCAATCACATGAGTCTGAGCGAAATCTGATATTTCTTTTGCAGCTTTCATCCATTGATCCTTTAATAGAGTCATAGACATCACATTCTCCTCGGCCGTTTCGATTGTTCCTCGTGTAGACACTGTTGGGACAGTATTATCATCATCGTCATCCGACTCAAAATCATCCAGAATGTATTCCCACATTACATCCCAAGGAGATTGTGGCTGATCTTTTGTAGAAGCCTGGTCCATTATGGACTCTGCCGACAACCCCAACATTTTCATTCTGAAATTGTGATGTTTTATATAGTTATCATCATTTTCAATTTTTATATAACGGTTTTTAAAAATTTGAATAATAGAGTCAAAGTGGTCGAATAAATGATTCATGCAGTGTGTGTGTACGAGTAGTGTAGTGTGTTGCAGTTTCCATGTCTCGTCCTTGGTCTACATTTTCATTATTGATATTTGTAATCTGGGAATTCAGATAACACTGTAACCTTATGACTGATAGACGCCCCGTGTCTCCCAGAAAAGATATAATATCAGGCTGCATGATGAACATTGCTAATCCTTTTTCGGTTTCTTCTTTTGCTGAAAGTCTCGCCAGTTTCCAATCCGCTTATCCACCCGACCCTCGTCCCTCCACTGTTTGTCGAACTGTCGCGACTTCCTCTCTTTCTCCATTTCTTGATCCTCTTGTTGTTGTTCTCTTTGCTGAAACTGACGTTCACGTTGTGTAACTTCTTTTCTTTTTTGCTCGACCTGTGCGAATAGTCTCATTATTTCACGCTCCTCTACTTCCTGCAAAGTTCTTTTCTCTCCAGCCTTTTGAGTTTTCCAAAGTCTTTGGCCCACCTTCATGCCCTCTTCAATCAGCATTCGAGTATGTCTTGTCCGATCGGGGTCATTCAAAGTGTTCTTGGCCTTTTGAACCTGATCGTAAGCGAGTTGTGCGCGGTCGGAACCTCCACTCTTATCCGGATGCAGCAGCAGTGAAAGTGCCTTATATCGTCGGGAAATATCGTCATCAGTAGCTTCCACAGGCAGTTGAAGTACGTAAAATGGATTCAAGTTCCGCCATTCGTAATTGCTTTGTAGCAGCCGATCCATCTGTTGCTTTGCACTTCCCAATGTCTTTCTGTCGTTCTTAATGAAATTCGTTGCCTTGTCTGCTTTCAACTCATCTTCCTTTTTTGTCGTAACCTCTTCAACTTCGTCGAAGAAATCATTCAGTAGATCATCTTCTGCCTCCTCTGGGGACTGCTGTTTCTCTTCGTCCTTTTCCTTTTCTAGTCCCTTTGATTCTTCTTCATCCGCTTGTTCCTGCGCTAGAAGCCTTTCTTTTCGATCTTGCTCCAATTCAAATGCCTGTTGCTTTATCGCTTCTAGTGCTTTGGCACACTCGGCAGCTCCCTTTTTAGCTGGTGGGTTGGTCGCGTCCAGTTTGAGAACTTGATTGTATGCATCGTGAGCCTGCTCGTATCGTTTCAAAGAATGTAATGCAGAAGCTAATCGAGAGTGTCCCTTGATGAACTTGGGATCCAGCTCTACACACATTTGAGCATCTTTCAATGCTTTTGATTTCTCTGAGTTTCTCAAGTAGGCAGCCGAGCGGTTGCTGTATAGGACCAACAGGAGCTTCGACACTGCCACAGGCTTTTGAGCTTCTTCAACTTCTTCGGAAGGTTTTTCCAAGTCGATACTTTTACTATATTCGGCAATGGCAGTGCGGAATGCACCGACCCGAAAAGCAGCATCCTGTATGAATGCAAAGAAAAGTCTGTTAGTTCTCTGTTGGCGACATGATACGGTAAGTTGATTCTACTTGTACCTACAGCCAAGCTTTTGTGGTAGTCTCTTTGAATTTCCCAGTCCTCTTTCTCCGTTGCATTTGCAGTTTGACATTCTCCATTAGATGTCATGGTGGATTGCTTTTGTGCTTTTTTGGTTGTCGAAACGAAATGAAAAATGTGTTGTTTGTGATTCCTTCGACTCCTCAATATAGAAAGAGAAAGGCAGTCTTATTTCCAAACCCAGATCAGGATCAGTATCAACCATACTAATAATACCAACGATTATTCCACATTAACAACATAGCATACCTAGGTATTGAAGATGTCGGACGACGAATACTCCTATGAATATGACGACGATGATAATTTCGAGTACACAGACGAAGAAGAAGAACAAGATGACGCGGAAGTAGCCCTCGAGAATGCATATTACAACAGCAAAGGATTACGAGAAACGGATCTCACCGAAGCTGCCGAAGCTTTCGAAAAGGTGATCACACAAGAAATGGAAGAGCAATCGTCGAATGGTGGCAAGAAGTACGGCCAATGGTCTTTCAAATCGATGAAACAACTTGTCAAACTACACTTGAGAACCGGAAACGCAGATGTGATGATGCGGCACTATAATCGTCTCTTGGAATGCATTGCCGAAGGAGATGTCAACCCAAATGCCATTGAAAAAGGCATTAATGGGATGCTGGAACGCGTCAGTTCTCTTTACCAAGGCGCTGGAGCACGAATCACAACTGAAAACATGGATCCTCAGCGTCTTGCTCTTGCAGTGTACGATGCTACATTGAAAGTATTTCATCCTACTTCTGGTTCGTGCTCCAATGAACGTCTCTGGTTCAAAACAAATCTAAAGTATGGTCAACTTCTCTACGAGATGAACGAAACTGTCAAGCTACAAAAGGTTTTGAAGGATTTGAAGTCCGTCCAACAAGGTAGTGGCGATTCCTCCACAGGTGGATCTTCTACCCAATCCATGGAAGTGTATGCCCTCCAAATTCAACTCTACAGTCGTCAAAAGGATAACAAGCGCTTGCGTGACTGCTTTCATCGTGCCATGGCAGTCCGCGGTGGCATTCCGCACCCTCGAACGCTAGCATTGATTCAAGAGCTTGGTGGCAAGATGCACATGGCTGCCAAGGAATACGAAGCAGCCGGGAAGACTTTCTTCCAAGCATTCAAAAGCTACGACGAAGCTGGAGACCCAAGTCGATTGCGCTGCTTGAAGTACCTCGTTTTGGCCAGTATGCTCTATGCCTCGTCCATCAACCCTTTTGACTCGCAAGAAGCCCGGCCCTACCGAGACGACCCTGAAATTACAGCAATGACCAGTCTTGTCCAGGCATTTCATAACAATGAAATTCACAAGTTTGAACGTATATTGAAGCAAAACAAGGGACGCATTATGGAGGATGAATTCATCCGTGACTATGTGGAAGACTTGCTACGCACTATTCGAACCCAAGTACTTCGCCAAGTCATCCGCCCATATACACGCATCTCTCTCTTAGCCATTGCTCAAGAATTGAATAATATTCCGGTTGACGATGTTGAGATGCTCTTGGTAAGTCTAATTCTGGATGGTACATTGGATGGTCAGATTGACCAAGTCGCAGGAGTCCTCGTGAAGAAGGCTGAAAGAGGTAACGGCAAGACCTCGGATCAAGGAAGAACTACACAGACCGAGGAAGACGTTGTAAAGGCAAAATACATGGCAATGAATCAGCTTGCAAAAGCATTGGAGAGTATTTCTGGATCTGTGACCAGTGCTCGGATGAAGGGGGAGTCAACACCAATGCGTGGTATGGTCCACTAGGCGAGTGGGAACTATTATCGTAGAAAGTCTACTGTAGACTGAATTTGAAACTTTACAACTTGATATCATGCTGACTTGAATTCTACTCTATACTTGGTATTTGCAATGCAATCATGATAGATAGAAAAGGTGTAGTGCCCGCCCCGAATGGCCAGCAACAGCGATTCAGGTGATTGGAGTGGCATCTACACTTCACATCTTTCTTTTCTTCTTGTTAAGAGCCTCAGTTTGTCCAGTACCCCATTGTCCGGCATCGCGGTCTCTCATTTCATTGAAAGCCTCCTCTCCACCTTGCATAAAGACTGGGACCGCGGCGGTCAAGATTGCAAGAAGGCCACCTGCCACCGCGATGCCAATGGGGGCATCGACAGATCCATATTCGTAATCATCAGCTTCCTCAGCAAGGGCAACGAGGGGGGAAGTTGCGACTGCAGCGGCGGTGGCAGCGACAAATTGGGAAACCCGTTCGCCGAGGGGCTTTGAGGCGGACTTCAAAGCAGATGGAGCGCTGAATTTTTGTTGGACTGGGGCAAAACCCATAGCAACTTGAGCAATAAGGAGGAAAATGGTTAGCTTGATAAGAGAAGACATGTTGGAATCGGAAGTATTTGCTCTGATGTTCTGGAACAGTACTGTATTCAAAGGATGCAGAAAGTACCTGGTAGGTGTCACAGTAGCGATCTTTTCACCAAACTGACGTGGGCTGGTGAGGCTGATTCAGTCGAAGGAGTCATCTGATAAATCAAATCATTCTTCGCTTCGTGATCACGGGTACAATAATACCGGTACATACCGGCACACCGATCTATCTCAACAGCCTGAAGCAACTGTCAAAGAAAGTAGCAAGAGTGCTCAACAACAGTAAGCATTCACAACGGCAGGTACGACATCGAAACATTACAAGCTTCTCCATGGATAGCGATTCTTCACAGAGCGACAAGTCCAACGATCCTCTTGAAACAGCTCGGTGGACCAACTATTTGCCAGAAACTTTTGGAATTCGGGATGCGGTGAAACAATCCTCTTATCGTTGGTGTGTTAGAGAAGGGTGCGTCATGCAATCGTTTTTGCAATCCTATTCATTTGAACTTTTTGCGCTTACTTTGCAATCTTCGCCTTCAGAGGAATGTGGGGTTTGGCCACAGCTTCTGGAATGAGTTTGTAAGTACAGGAATTCACTAAATTTGATGGAACTAGAATGGTGGCCTCACGATGTTCGGAAATAAAGACACCGACTTAGAATGGGTTCACGACCAATTGTTGCAGGACATTTCTTTTTTGGAACCTTTATGACAGTCATGCTACCATCCTACTATTTCTGCTATCGACGACGAGAGCATCACGAAGAAGTTATAGAGGCAATGATGAAATATAACAAATTTGGGCATGCTAAGGAAATGCCTGAAGAGATCCCACTCCAGGAGCATCCCTTCTGGGGTGAGTCAGATGGATCATCCGAAAGCAAACATGATCGAGAATTCAGAGGCATGATCAAGGAACGAAAGGAATGGCAGAAACCACAAGATCAATCTCTCGAGGAGATTTTCAAAGAGAAATAAATATTATCACACTTGAAGTATTCGAGATTGAGTGTAGTTTGTGCTTGAATTATTTGACGCACGGGTCAGTCAAAGAATCATTATTATGGGTTAAGCAGATCTATGATTGGTAGCCACTTCGTCATTCATCTCCAGTACCGGAGAGAAATAAGTTGTCGCAAAGACAAATTTAGTCCTCGATCTTTCCCTTTCCGGTCGCCAATCGGTATGCCGCGATAGTGGCCTTGGTGAATCCAAGAGACGCAAGGAGGAAACCGGCAGCGTTGACGAACTTGTCACTGGGTTGCTTCGTCCAAGTGGGGTTGGACTCTCCTTGCAAAGTTCCTCCAGCGCATTGGACTTTCTTCATCTCAGCAACCTGGAAAACAGAGAGGCAACATTGAGCCAACACGTGCAAGCAAGAGGTCCACTTCCGGGTCCACTTCAGATTCGCATCGCAATTCCAGATTGATTTTCTGTTGTCTTACCTTATCTGGGTAGTTGGTAAGGTAGTCGACGATGGTTCGCTTTTGTTGTTGAACAGGAGCCTTGCGGCTAACGCTCCTTACGGCGATGGCACGAGCAGCAGAAAGGGTCATGGTCACACGTAATCCGAATGTGTCGCGATTATTGTTTGCTTGCTCCTCGTTCTTTCCTTCGCTCGTTGCCGCTTCGAGATGTCGTCTGGCCTTCTCAACGCATTCGAAAGACGGGAAGACTGACTCACTCGACTGCACAAGTTTCGAGCTAGGAAAGTCATGTCCGTTGACGCTCGGAGAGGTGCGTACTGTATTCGTACCTTGGTGGTACGTGCTTGTACATGGTACTGTTATTTAGGCGAAAGCTACGTGTGTGTCAGTCCAGCCACCCTGCACCTCTGCATTGGATCGTGCGATTTTGAAATGAATAATATTTTCGATATTTACTTATACAGATACGAATGCTATTCGCATAAGTATGGACAAAAATTAGCAGGTCGGCTGTCATTTTTTTCACCAGCACCACGCCGACCACTCCCACCATGTTTTGGTGCAGCCAAGTTGACGACACAAATTTCTAATTCGCTTGTCGGAAGTTCCATCTTACATCGTAACCATGGCCCAAGAAAAGCACGACCTTCAACTTGAAGATGTTCAAGATTACACCTCTGACTACCCTCCTGACTACCCAGGAGCTGAGGGTGCCGAGACCAAGCGTCGTGGTCTCCTTTGCGGACTCATCATGGGAAACAAGAAAATGACATGCTTGTTGGCCCTTGTTTTCATTCTCGTCATTGCCATCGTCACAATCCTTGTTGTCGGTGCTGATGAGAATGCCATTGAAGGGTTCCACCAACCTTTGATCATCATTGATCCCTCCACTCTGGATGCTTCCGTGACCGGTCCTTTGATGGCTAGTCTCCTTGCCATGTACGACCGCAACGGAATGGACTCCACTCCTCTAGATCCCTCTTCTGGAGACGACACTCCCCAACGTCGCGCATTCTTTTGGTTGGCCCATGAGAACCAAAACTTGGACCACTCCACCAAGATGGCCCGTTACGCTCTCGCCGTCTTCTACTACTCCACCAACCAAGTCCCAACCGAGTTCGACGAAGAACCCGAGACCTGGTACGTTGCCCGCAGATGGTTGACCAAGGCCAGCTACTGCGAATGGCACGGAATCGTCTGTGACGCCCAAGGTCGTGTTGAAGCCCTCGAAATGGACCGTAACTTCTTGACTGGAGTCCTGCCCATCGAGCTTCGCATCTTGGAAGACACCCTCTACTCTATTGATATTGCTGACAATGGTATTTCCATGTCCGAAGAAAACTTTGACGTCTTCCTCAACCTTGTCAACCTTGAAGAATTTTTCGGTGACAATAACTACCTCGAGTACAGCGAAGGTTTGCCACCACAAATGGCTTCTTTGGTCAACCTTGAACAACTCACGATGTCCTACAACTTGCTTGGTGGTGACTTGTCTGTCGACAATGTCATCCCTGCCATGGGTCAATTAACTCACATCGAAATGGAGGCAAACTACTTCTCTGGCCCAATCCCAGACTACATTGGGGCCATGGAAGATTTGGTGTATTTCTACATGCGTCGTAACAATTTCAACGGCGACTTGTCATTCCTCGAAAGTGGTGCCATGACCACTTTGTGTAAGTTTATATTTCGTTATTCATTCTTATTTTTTAATCTTCTCACAAGCCGCAATTTTCGATTACAGTCGCCATGTGGCTTGATGGAAATGACCTTACAGGAAACATTCCCGCACAAATTGGCTCGCTTCAAAACCTCGCCTCCCTTTCTATCTCCAACACCAAATTGAGCGGACCCATTCCTGCTGAAATGGGAGACCTTCTCAAGCTTCGTCGAGTGTGGTTGTACGATAACCAACTTACCGGAGACATCCCACTTGCTCTTCAAAAGTTGGATAAATTGGAAGTTCTCGAACTCCACAACAACAATATGTCTGGAAGCATGCCTCAAGGAATTTGTGATATCTTTTCAGGTGTCGACTATGACTTCAAGGCCCTCACAACTGACTGTAACGGAGCTGTCGCCTGTAGCCGTTCTTGCTGTACCAAGTGCTATTAGATTGCCAACAGAACAGTGAACACGTACTCGTCCACTCTCACCTAAAGCAGATTTTGCGCTCCTTATTGTGTCATTAAAGAATTAAATTAGACTGCAATTTATTATTTTCATCGGGTTGAATGGTAAACGGAAGACCCAAAGATCATTGAGTCTAAACTACTGCAGCAAGTTACTTTATCCGGACACTTTGTGTTAGCCAGGAGTAGTTCAAAGGCTGGCATTTGAAAACTGGCTGATTTGCTGTTGCATCTTTTTCTATGCCTTTTCGATTTGTCGTTGTTGATGACTCGCCACAGTGGCAACGTGCCCTATGATTTCTTGTTGTATATATTGTGGCTGCAGTGTCGTCTCGTACCATCAGCTGGGTCCTTTCTTTGACCCGTGTTTGGAGTGTTGCAACGCCTCTTGTACATGAGGGTGATAGAGCAATCGATGGAAATATAATATGTTGATTGCCATCACCACCAGAAAAGACACTACAAAAGCGCCATGGATGTGTTTTGCAACCCCGGGAACCAACATATTTTCCAGTTGCCGTAACCAATCTTGAGATTCTTCCAACGCAGAGTATCCAATCACAAAAGGAAAGATATAGAATCTTGTGAAACAAAAGAACGGAATAACAACTCCTCGATGGAGGAGCCGAATGCAGGAAGGAGTAACTCGTTGTGAGGAGTCATTGATGCTGAGTTGCAACAAATGAAGCGCCCAACTGCTTGCATCAAAACTGAAGATCCCGATGGCACCAAGGCGTCGCAAGGAGGAGAAGAGGAAAATGAAGGTAATCAAACCCACTGCAAAGCAATGTTGCAAAAGGGTTTTGACATTGTTCAAAGTGATCATCCCGTAGGGGATGAATCCACAAAACTTGGCCCCTTCTTCGTCTCCTTCTTCTTGGTTCTTGGGAGAAGACGATACAAGCCAAAGGAGGATCGCTGTAAATGATGCGAAAAAACCCGACTGCACGTGGTACGACGCTTGCAACAAGAAATACCTTCTAAGAACTGTATTGTGCTGATCGAAAGATTCCATTACAGTTGGACCGACAGACGATAGATTCCAGCAATTTTTGGTGTTCCCATTGCCTCCAACAGCTGCTGGCCAAAAATCAGCATCCAAGAAATAAAAAAGGGCTATTGTGCAACTGATGGTACAATAGAAAAGTCGGAAAGCTGCCGTTGCGAATTTGGGGGAAGTGAAGCTTAATAAATCATCCTGCTTGAAACTCTCTCGTCGTGCTCTTGGGCCACCTGGGTTGACTTGATGCAGGAGGGCCTGGAGTGAGTGGGCCGATGACGAAGAAATGAGGCCTGAAGAAACTGCGGGGGGTGGTGGTGAATCGTCATCGTCATCGTTATCGTCCTGTAGAACATCTAGTGCTTGTTCCCATTGCCCCCACAGCTCTTCCTTTTTTGCTCCTCCTAATGATTCATAGTCCAGTTTAGAAGTCTGAATGGCAGCAGGTCCCATTCGTTCAACTCTATATTGGAAAGCCACATTGGCGTCAGCTTCAGAAGTCGCAGAGTTGGTACTGTCACTATTCGATATTGGATTTGGTTCCAGAGACGGCATGTGTGGCAAACTCGAAAGCACGGAATCATCAATTGCCTCCAACTTGAGTGGTTTCGGTGTCCCATTTCCGGTGTATTGAGAAGATAATAAATGAATTGACTTGCATCGGACAAAAGCCCGCATTCGCTTTGGTTGGTCATACCCAGGCACCAAGATGTGCACCAAACCCAATCGAATAATGGCCAAGGATATTGACAAGAAGACAACTATTGCGACATCTGAGATACCAGCATCAGGTGCGATTACAGCCGTCAAAGGTGTGGATGACGCATCATGACCATGTGTACGCAAAAGTAGCTGCTGACAGTATTGGAAACGATTCAAAAAAGGGCCTAAACAAACTTCAGTTGTTGCTTTGCGGAAGACAGCGTTGTCTTCCAGCACTGATTTCAGAGCGCTTCCAATTCCCGATACGATGTTTGGCAATATGATGCAAAGAACATATAGCGACCCAGCTTCAATAAAAATTTGAAGTGATGCATTCGTTCGTCGTTTTTCCTTCGCTTTTTGCCCCACAACTCGCGTATAGCTGCTTCTTTGCCGTTGCTTTGGCTTTCTCACCGCTAGCTCTCCTGTCCCTGACAAAAGCGAATTCCTTTTTCGTAGTGCAAGAGATACACCAACTTCTGGCATGCTTGTATTTGGTGACGAAAGGTCAGGGTAGGTATCGGGGGTCAAAAGGCTTTCAATTTGGAGATACACTAACTTCTGGCATGCTTGTATGTCGAAAAGGTCAGGATTGGTGTCGGTGTCAAAGGCTTTCAACTTGGAACTTGTTCTGCACGTGACCAGGTGGTACTCGCAAAGAGGACGGACGGTGACTCCAACTGATGCAAAAACGTTTTGAAACGGTGCTAAACTCCAATTTCACGGTAAACCAGCGATTTGGGACATGAGAGACAATGCCGCGGAAAAAATTGAGAAGGAAAAGATTCATCAAGGTCTTCTTGATCTTTGATTATACTGAGCGACTTCTGTAGACATCCTCTTCCAACAGCAGTAACATGAAGTCTCTCATGAACGATGTTTCATTGTAAGGATTGGTTTTATGTCTTTTGTTGTTGTTTTAATGAAGCTCGGTCTGAAGTCATATTCACCTTGGATTGCTTCCCTCCTCTTCTCTTTTCTTGGCGCAGCGTATGGCTCATGCTTTGGATGGCCAACAACATTGGAGTTACTCTACTGAATAAGGCATCCTTTGCCACCGTTGACTTTCACTACCCATATTTCTTATCGTTCATTCACATGGTGTGCAACTCAATCGGATCCCTTGTTATTTTTCGATCGATAGAACATGATGCAAGAACTGGGACGACGGGCTTTTTCCAGTCTCTCCTTGGAACAATCAATCGAAAAAAACTCGACGATAAAGGTCGAAAATACATTCTTGGCTTCTCGGTCATCTTTTCATTGAATATTGCGGTTGGAAATGTCTCCCTTCGATATGTGTCCGTCAACTTTAACCAGGTCATGAGATCATTAGTACCTGCAATCACTATTGCCATGGGTCTATGTTTGGGCAAAGAGATTTCGAATAAACGTATCATCGCTGTGGTTCCTGTTGTTATCGGAGTAGCAATGGCCACATTTGGAGACAACGTTTTCACTGCACTTGGATTTGTCTACACAGTCTTGTGTATTTTGCTGGCTTCGTTGAAGGTTGTGGCCTCTGGAGAAATGCTCACTGGATCACTCAAGCTGCATCCTGTAGACCTATTAGGACACATGGCACCCCTTGCGATGGTTCAGTGCATCTTCCTGAGTTTCGTCACTGGGGAAATTGGTGAAATTGCAACGCGTGAAGATCTTTTCGAATCTTTCTACCCAGCTGCGGTTGTATTGACAAGTGGAGTTTTCTCCTTTTCGCTGAACATCTCTTCCCTGATGGCGAACAAACTCACATCGCCCCTCACCTTATGTATCGCAGCGAATGTCAAACAAGTCATGATGATTGCCATTTCAACTATCATATTCGCGACACCTATCTCTCCCTTGAATGGGGCGGGTATTGTGGTTGTCCTATTGGGATCTGGTCGTTATTCCTACGTTTCCGTGCTGGAAAAAACTGCAGCCCAACGGAAAGATGAAGAGCCACTGGACAAGAAAGCCGACGATGTTGAGCGAGCCACTGAAGAGGAGCATGTTCAGCTCATGGCTTCAGAACCTGACACCTCTGCTGTTCGAAAGCGATAGGCATCGGACGCTACATCTCGTGCTTGCAGTTGTGCCAATGGGCCATTGCTCAAGATGTTTTTTCTCGTACTAATAGTTACTATCTCTATATATAACTTCTGTTCACCTGCCTGCTTGCATCATTGAATGATTGACTCATTCGACTAAACAAATTCGCGCCAAAAGTCTATCTCTGTCAAAAGCTCCAGTTTGAACTCTTCACAAATCATTGCATCTCGCGCCTGTACTGTGTCGCAGCCCATTTCCTTCCAAGATGTCTTCTGAGTCTACTGATCACTGTAATGAAGAAGCTATAATCCCTTCACCGTCATTTTTGTCAAACGAACAGACTTGTCACATACTACCATGCAACATTGACTATCAAGGAATGAGCCCTAGCCACCTCTTTTTTCGACCCGTGGAGTCGTCCAATGGTTGCTACAGCAGTACGCTTCGAGGACGAGGTCTCACGGCTCTCAAAGAAGAGGGAAAAAAGAAGTCGAATATCACTCTTCTATCTTACCAAAACGAAAGCCTTAGCGTGAAAGCATCGATTGAAAATATGCTGGAATGGCACCATGAGCACGATCCAGAGACCATCCAATCCGATGATGAGTGCAAATCTCGCGTCGCCGTTGCTCGAGGGTGGCTAGAGGTTAGTCATGCGGTAAGTTGGGTATTCTCGCCTCGCAATTACGTTTGTAAAAACGTCAACCAGAGAACAATACAGCAATACTAACTTTTATTTTCGTCATCACGACGACACAGTTGCACGATCCAATCCCTATTGAGGACTAGATGATCATGGAAAATTAATAAGTTTTCTGGAAGACGACGGCGGTCCGCATTGAGATCACCACACAATTCGGATTGCAAATGAGATATTGTCATCCTAAAAGAATCCTGAAAGTGTTTTTTTAATTTGAGGCACCAATTACTAAAAATGTATGCGTCATTTTCCCCGTTTTGTCAAGTCAACGACTGCTATAAGTTACATAGAAACTAGGTCTATCTGCCCGTGGTATTCATTTGTATTGCTCCTTGGATTAATAAAATACAATTCTTTGTTAGGCAAAAATCTGACTGCAAGTCTCTTGGCATATCCTATCGTCTTTCAGAAAGAAAAGCTGTTCATAAGCTTTTAACACGCTTATTTAAACACTATATACTTTATGAATCTGATGTCTTGCAAGAACTAAACATAGGGTTTGAGAGGAATTGGAATTACAAACCGCGTTTCTTGCGGCGCATGTCGATGCAGTGTTCTCCACAGCAAGTGCAACATGTATCGGAACATTCGACTTTGCCATCACAATCTGCTTCCATGATTTCAAGTCGTCCAAGAGGTCTTCGCTTCAAGCAAAGCTCCTCGGGAACCGTTCCTCCAATCTGGTTCTTTTGGATTTGGAACAGCTTTAGTTTCTTCAAGTTTCCAAGGGTAGAAGGCACAGATCCGGACAATTTATTGTCGTACAACCACATCTGTACCAAATCGCTCATTTGTCCAACCTCGGCTGGAATGCTGCCATCAAGCCCACAGCCGGTGGCGGAGAAACTGGCCAAGTTCGAGGCAGCTCCAATGGAGGCTGGGAGACTTCCAACAATTCCTGGATTGTCATCAAGCCAGAGTTCGTAAATCTTGGGCATCTGAGAAATGAAATCTAGACTGCCTTCCACAAAACTGTTTCCGGCGTACAAGTATTCCAAGTTTGGCAAGTCAATCAACTCTTGAGGGAGTGTGCTGTTGAAAGAGTTACCATCGATGACAAGGTAGTTCAAGTTGGACAATTTTGAAAATGTTTGTCCATCCAACTTTCCAAAGTAGAGAGTGTACGAACAGTCCAATTCCACGAGATTGGTAAGAAGTCCAATTTCGGTAGGAATTCCATCGTATTGGAACGATGTTTGTCCGAAGTAGAGGTACTTCAAGTTGGTCAATTCTCCGAGCCATGCGTTTCCCTTATCACCCTTGTTGTGAATGATATTGTTGAATAGATCAATGTATTGTAGACTTTCCTTCAGGTATGTAATCTCAGCTGGGATCGATCCTGTCAACCCATTGGTATCCAGTTCAATCTTGACAACTTGTCCCTTTGCGTTACAAGTAAGACCATACCAGTTACAGACATCCGAAGCGTCTTGGACCCATCCCTTGCTATCCAACCATCCAGGAAGCGCAACGTCGTTTCCATAGTGATGGTCAGTCCAGTCACTTTCGGTAGCATAAGTGGCGTAGAACAAACAAGCCAATCCATAAAGTTGCATGGTTTGTTCCTCTTGGTCCATGTCAGGAAAGTTGGTAAGAGGAATGTCTTGAGTCAAAACCCATTCGAGTGCTCTTGATTGATAACTGTTCGCATTGTCGAACTCGGTTCCTCCAAAGCGGGCATTGTTCAAGATGACTTGGCGAATGTTGGGAGCATTGGTAGGCGTGGGACCAGGAGTGGTGGGACGACCAACTGAAGGAGAAGGAACGTTGTCAATGGGTTCCTCATTTCCAGAAGTCACTGCAAGGCCGACTCCGGCCCCAATGGCACCCAATCCCACAACAATGGCCGCAATGACGGCATACTTGCGACGATTCCAACCACTTTTTCCTTGATTGCTGAATTCGTGTTGCTCGACTTCAACTCCCTCCATTTTGAACTGTGCTTCTTTTGATTTGGCTTGTTGATGGGGAAGTTCACAAAGTGTTGGAGTGAACAGAGCCTTCTCTTGATCGATGATTATTGATCCTTCCCTCTTTTTTTTCCTGACACATCCGTTGAGCGCGCCTTCTCCGCATTTCTGCACGACACACATACAAAAATATCCATGTACGTATACTAAATCGTATTAGGTGTGTCGTATCTTGTCGACGCGTTAAATAGAAGTTACGCCGGCCCGTAGTCGGACGATGCAAGACTGTTTGTAAAAGAACACGCCAGCCCCATTGCAAGATCCAATGCCGGCATAGATAGCGGCCAAAGACAGCCGGCCGAACGGAAAGGGACAGGTCCGTTTCTTCTGCACCCGACAAATTGAACGAGCATTGTTTTTCTTTGGCGACTGTGGCTGTTTTCTGTGAGAGAAAGATTGTTGAGCATTGCATTGCCACGAAAGACTTGTTTTACATAATATAAAACATAATATAACAACTTCGGTCGAGCAATCTCCAAAACAAAACAGACAAAGAACAAAAGAAAAATAGAGAATGATGAATGACCTTGTACTGAGTGAAGATGGACACGCCGTTCAGGCAGACGACTACCATGACGACGAAGATTGGTACCAGAATCGCCCCGGCGATGAAATTTCCAGTCCCAAGGGAGTTGGTTTCCGACCACGACGCGGAAGCAAGGCCAAGTACTTGATCATCCTTGGTGTTGTCCTCATTGTTGGAGGCTTTGCCATTGCCATGTCGGGAGGCAAGAGTGAAGATGCCGCAGGTTCCATGCCGGCCAACGGCTCTGGCGGTTCTTCTGGTGGTGGTTCCAATTCTGGTGGATCCAATTCTGGTGGATCCAATTCTGGAACTAACCCCCCAACCAGTCTTGAGGATGGGGTCTTTGATTATCTGACACAATTTGTCGACAAGAAGATTCTCTTGGATGACAAGTCTTACACTTTCTCGGCCTACAATTGGCTGATGAAGAACTCTGATATTCAAATCTATGGCGACTCCCGCATCCGACAACGCTTTGCCCTTGCGTCTATCTACTACGCTACAAATGAAGGACTGAATAGCTGGGTCCGCGACGATGGATGGATCAGCGACCAAGATGAATGCTCCTGGACCGGCGTCCGTTGCGATAATGGAAACATTGTTGGGTTGAACTTGACCTCCAATGGACTCAAGGGAGTATTCCCTATGGAAGTCACAATGCTCAAGAAGCATCTTCTAGCTTTGGAACTTGATGACAATGAACTTATCAATGAAGACCAAGAACTTCGATGGATCGGTCAAATGTCCAAGTTGCGACTTCTTGACTTTGAAGATACTGGTTTCACTGCTGAGGGAATTCCTTCCTATATTGGCCGCCTCACTGATCTCCGTAAGTTTACACTACATACAATCATATTCGATGAATGTTGACAAGGGCAGTGCTCTAACTGTTGGATTTTACACTTTACTGTACAGGCATTTTGGAAATGGCCAATTCGAACATTGTCGGTGACTTTGACGGAAGCATTTTCAAAAACTTGAAGCAATTGGTCTACCTCGATATAGGTGGCATTCTCTTCAACAATACCTTGCCTGATGAAATCACCCAGATTCCTCGACTTGAAGCTCTCTACGCTTACGATTGTGGCTTTGAAGGAGAACTCGAGTCCTTCTTACCAAAATTCAAAGAGATTCAAGAAATTTGGTTGGACGACAACAAATTTTCCGGCCAATTCCCAAAAGCATTGAGTCATGTGTCCACGTTGGCCAGTCTTTCCCTCAGTAACAATGCTTTGAGTGGATCGCTACCAACAGAGCTTGGTTTGCTGACCAACATGGAACAACTTTGGCTGTTTGGAAACGTCTTTTCGGGGGATATTCCGTCCGAAATTGGCGCCATGACATCTCTGCAGATTTTGGGTTTGGAAGACAACAACATGCAGAATGTTACCATGCCAAATGAAATCTGTGACTTGGGATTGGTTGCCCTTGGTGCTGACTGTAAAAGTGCTGTTGCTTGCAGCTCTGATTGCTGCACCTGCTGCGAACCACCTTGCCCTATTGCCAAGCTTCGAACTCCCGATCGCCGAGCGCTCCTTGGGTTCTAAGAAACTTTGACGCAACTCTAGCTGATGAATAGTTATTATAGCATGTGCATTTATATCATGACTTCGTCAATTCGTTGTGGATACTGTACCGCTATCAGGTAGTCTTCCCTTCCCTCTCTTTCCTCTACGAGCAAGCTTACTGTTAACTTGATATCAGGTCTCGTCAGGCTATACGTACCAAGTACGGACACAAGATCCAGATCGGAATATTGAATTGAGAATGGCATCAGCTAGTACGACCTGGTACCAGGCAGAAAGAATATTGATTGTACGGTACGAAATCATATCTTTCATCAAATGAAAGCCTCAGTTGTCGTCGTCTGGTTGTTGCAACTGTCAACTTCAGTTCTCGCTTTCACTTCGTCTTCAAGAACCAATCGAACTGACCGCTTGATCCTCAGCATGAACGAGTCGCAAAACGAACCACCTTGTGCTGGCACCCATCCATTCAACTCTTTACCCGGCGACCCTTCACTTCTTCTGGTCACAAATGTTGATTTGGGAGACAAGAAGATGGAGATCATGAAAGGTGAGGTTGTCTTGAAAGGCACGTAAAGTTTCGATACAATGGCAATCGCACTAACCGGACGATTTCGGTGGCTTCTTTTCAGCATGCTCCAAAATTATCTGCCAGCATACTGGAAAGCCAGAAAGTTACATAGCTGTCAGCATCAACGACAATGCAAGTGTAATCTTCGGAGGAACAGATGCACCAACAGCACTTGGAAACTTATACTCGGTACGTGCGCTATTGGGATCTGCGTAGTGACGATGATTTATTCAGGAGAATTTCAAGGACGATGCTCATGGCTGGATTCTCCTTTGTCTTTCTTGTTGTTCGATTAGATTGGATCTATTGCAATGGAATCTAATGGAAAGATTACATCTGACGTTACTGACTTGCTTGAGCCATGGGACATTTCTGAGGACCGCATATACATCAATTTTCATGGTAATTTTTTAAAATTTCAATTTGTGCCATTCTTGCTGGGAATTCTCTCTGACTTTTATTCTGTTCGTTAAGATATGCCAAGGGCTAATGTTGGTTGGAGCAGGCGAACGTTTGCTGGATAGGCAAATATCACAAGGTCACGATATGCCAAGGGCTAATTTTGGTAGGAGGAGGCGAATATCTATCGGATAGACTAATCAAAAAGTCATAGTTTAATCTTCTTCGTCAGTATCATCATCTTCATCTGTCTGGAAAAACGTGTAGCTCAGTGTGATATCTGTAATGTACGAAATCTGTGGATCGTCTAAGATTTCAGGGTCAACAAAGAAGAAAACTGGCATATCAACTGTCTCTCCAGGTAGCAATCGTTGCTCTTCAAAGCAAAAGCACTGGATTTTCTGAAAATATAGTCCAGCCTTTGGAGGGTGCACGTTGTACGTTGCAACACCGGTGATTGCCTTATCTGAATGATTGGTTACACGAAAAAAGCTTAAAGCTGTCTCTCCTGGGACCACCTTGACATCAAGCTGTACTGGCACAAAGGACCAAGGCATGACATCGCCTATAGTGGTGTCAAATCGAACTGTAATCAGATTCGCATCGCTAACAGGTCGTAGGGATGCAAGCCTAGACGCTGCTTCTTCATCCGTCCAAGTATGAACTTTGGCTGAAGACTTTGGCGCAATCTTCTGCAAAACAGATCGGAATGCTGATTCCAATGCATTGGGCTTTCCGTCATCACCAAAAACCACTCGTTGGGTTGTTCCTCCAAACCCCGTTGCCTGACAAAACATTTTATAAAGTGGAACGGAGGCATAAGTAGCTCCAATCGCACCAATAACAACTGCAGAGAGGTACCAGGCAACCTGGACGTTTCGTTCCTCTGGTGTTAGCTTTCTTAGCTTTCTTTCCCCTCGAAACCATGATTTGGATTGTCTTTTGCGATAGAACTCGAAGGATTTTGCCTGCGCACTTCGTTCAGCCTCTTTTGTCTTGGTGGCGAAACCTCTTTGTTTAGAAATACGACGTAGTTCATGTACCCGAGGCCTATGAACAAGGATACGGTTCATTTTGACTTGTTAGTAGTGTGTCCCATTAGTTGAAATGTGAATTCGGTGTTGGTTTTCTTGAAGAAAACGAGAGGACTTCTTGGAGTCGTCGTCAGGCTTCCTGGTGTAGACGGACAGACATGAAATCCAGAGTCCAGACCCTCTCCATCTCACCTTGGTACCTGGTACTGTAGATCCACAGAAACGCAGGTCTACCAGGGATGCAGACTTTCAGATTTATTTGATGATGATATTGAAATGATTTCCCCTATCACATTTTCTCCAGAAACATTTATCTTGGAAGTGCATTGTAACCGTTGCTCGATACAGTATTCAAACATAGATTTTAGAAAAGAGATAATGATTTCTTAGCTAAGTCGATTTCATTCATCTTTATGGAGAATCAGGTTTGGCATGGCCTTGCTGTATATTGTGGGCAGGATTTGAAGCATGCTCTTGTGTCGTTGCATACAGCGTTTGGTTCGCGTCGTATTGATGTGATGGTAAAGGTGGTGGAACTAGGGATAATTGTCCTTGCTGTGGTGTAGCATGCGACGGATACAAGCCTGCCTGGGAGAAATTTGCTGTAGGAGGAAGGACCATCTGTTGGTTGATCAAGTGTTGCGCAAAGCTGACGCTTTGTGACGTTGGCCCTCGAATGGTTACAATTCGATTCCTTGTTCCCGGCATGTACTCTCCACGTTGGCTGATCCGAATCCGAGTATTTGAATGCACTTGTAACTCGTTCAGAGTTCTGCCTCCTCGACCAAGGATTGATCCAATCATCGTGTCTGGAACCAAGATTTGAGCTGTGAAACCATGTGGAGTTTGCTGAGGCATTTGATGAGGAAACTGAGCGTAGCTGGCCGGGGTTTGAGGTAGACTGCTTGAAATTTGCAATGAGTCTCGCAGTTGCGAAGCAACGTCTGGGCTTGATGAGCTATGCTGTAATGCAGTATCATCTATTTGGTTCAACGCTGGAGGCGAAGGAAGATACATTGATGTTGAACCTGTATCCCCTGGAGGTCCGCGTATTTGAGGAGGCATTATAGGCGTCATCTCATGCGTGTAGGTCGGTGGGCCTTCGAAGAAAGAATTGTAATGTTGCAGAGGCTCCCCCCTAGGTGATTCGTTTGGTAACCGCTGGAGATGGCCTCGTTGATCCCATATCATCTGTCCCAACAGATCTGGTGACGAATTTGATCTCCCGGGAACGAACGGACCAAATTGTTCTGAACCTTCCCAAACAACACCCTCTCCAGGATTCAGCAGCACAGGTCGCCCTGCTGGAGTTGTCGGGTTGAACGAAGTAGGATGAACAACTCTTGTATAACTTGTCGTCATATTTGTGTAACGAGAAATGTCTTGGTGCATTGTCATGCAGTCGATAACGCTGCACAAACAGTCTAAGCAGCTCTCAAGTGAAGGCCCAGTCAGCGTGACAACGCGCTCCAATGTCCCTGCAACCACAGAGGCTGCGGAAGGACTTTGATCTGGGGTGTCTTTTGGTGATAGTCGTATGGATGAAACGCCGGATGTTTCCTCCATTCGCTTGATATTTGCTCCCCCTTTTCCTATTATCATCCCGCAACATGAGCTAGGCACTAGCAGTCGGACGATAAATTCAAACTCAGTTTTCTGGCCATCATCCTCTCCTTTCTGTGGAAAGCACGAGACCTGCTGGGAATGTTGCTGTTCCTGCAGCTTATGAAATCGTTTCAGGAGTATTCCAATAGCACTCTTCACAGTTTCCAGTTTCCCCTGCACTAGACAAACGCGATCTTGTGTCCCTGGATAGTAGTCACCAGTTTGACTCAGTTTTATCCGAGCAGATGACTGAGTTTGCATTTCAGAAATTGTTTGCCCTGCTCTGCCAATGATTGATCCTGCTACATTGTTTGACACCAACAGTTTGATAGCTGACGGATACGTGCTTGAACTGCATTTCTTGCCAGCAAGTTGCGGTAAATGTTCTAAAGGCGGTGGAGGATAGTCTGGAACTGCAGCTGACCACGTTTGGTCTGCTTGCGATGTATCTGTATGACGCGGCAGAGGTGGAGAGGGTGTTGTTCGTTTGATGTGCAAATAGTCTCCAGATGAAACTCCACCATAGCTTGAGGGCGTCCCAGTACTGGCTGAAGTGGTTCCTGAGTTTGATGGAGGCGACGCCTTACCCCTCTGCTTCATCGTATGATTCTGCAATGAAATTGATGAATCGTGACTTGTCGGTGCAACTTCGAAATACGATAGTTCATTTTCCATATGAGAAGGTCGATGAACTGGATTGGGCTGTTGATCATTGGCATCGTTATCCTGGAATATCCCGTTCCAAGAAATGTGAGAAAGTTTCTTCTTTCTCATCAAGCATCTCACCAACCATCCACTCGTATTCACTTACAGTTTTCATGATTTTTTAATTCGTTCGAATATCTTGGCCTCCCTATCACTCTCAATTCACAAAACAGCGGCAAAAGGTGTTTGAAAGCAAGAAACCATAGCGTGTTCCAACAAGAGCTGACAAAGAAAGGAGTTAGTACTAGCAGTAAGCCATTGAAAGAAAATGGTTTACAATGGGTAAAAATCCTTGAACATGGTCTCCCCAATGACGATGCAGTCAACATAGAATAAAAAGTGGCTAAAGTGAAGATACCTTCTTATGCCAAATTGGATTCCACTGTCGGCAGTCTCCATACTTCCCGCTACCATCCATGGGACGCATAGCCAACAAATCCGTCTTACCCAATCAACAGAAAGTTAGTTTGAAATAATAATATCCGCCCATAAGACCAAAGATATTGTTGGCACGATGAAGAGGAGTATCACAAAACAAATTTCATTGAACTCAACACGTATACGTACGTGTACGCATGTTGCTCGAACGCACTCTAAAATGGGAACCGCATGACGTAGATCACTGAACCTTCAAATTAGTGACGTCAAACTCAAAAAGAGTTTTGGAAAGAGAGGAAAAAGGAGGGCGCACATTATTGTCCCCCAAAACTACAGCGTATTATACCGATACCGGTAGAAAAGTTTATTTTCATGACTACAGAACAGATGAGGTGAGATGGGTCACTTTCGACTGAAAAAGCCAAGGACCTCAAGTAATATAGGAAAGAAACACATCAGGAAGTGATATCGCAAATTATATGATGATTAGCACCTTGTAAGTTACGAATGAACCACCTCAAAGGCAGCAATGGTGAAGCCAAACAAATAATTGATTTAGAAATCACAGTCTTCTCAAACTCTTCTTTTTCTTCATCTTTCCACTCGCACTCTTACTTGAACCCTTTGTTGCCATCTTATTAGCATTCTTGCTACTAAGTGGGTTTGCTGAATCGGGCTTTTTGGAGCTTTGTGCCGAGGAGCCAGAGCCGGAATTGCCATCGTCTGTTTCCAACTTCTCATCACTTGACTCTTTGGTATCAGTTTGGGCGCAAGAGTGAGATCGACCGTGTACATCTGCCATCAATAGAGCTCGCTTTGAATACTCATCGTAGCTTTCCATGAATAGTTTCCCGGCCTCGTCATTCAAACTACTTTCAGGGAATGGCACAATGAGGAGACATCTTATGACGCTCAAAACGTGTGTGAGTGTTGTCTCAGCAGTCCAATCCTTCTTGAGGGTGTTCACGCAGATTGCCCCTGTTGACATGTCAACATTTGGGTGATAGATTTTTGTCAAAAAGAAACCCCGAGGTGGAGACGATGGGAAATCAGCCCCCAAACAAAGTTTCAGATGAAAATATTTCTTTTCGTAAGGAGTCCCTTGTGGTCCTTCTAGTTCTGCCTGTTGAAATCGAGGGGAGAGTGGTTTAGTAATCGAACTTCATGGCAAAATTCATAGTCGGTGAGCTCAATCAGCGGTTGAAACTTATTCAAGAGTGACACCCTGTTGGACGGTTCGAAGTTGCGAATCCGAAAAGTTGTTGCAAGCATCACCATGAATCGGAAACACATCACTCACCACAACCTCTCCCAAATTGGCTGGTAGGCCAGTGTCATCATCAACGACGAGTCGGATGCCCTCCGGTGGGTTCTGTATCAGGTCTCGGACTTCCCTCGCAACTCTCGCTAAAGTACGAGGAGGCAAATTCTCGATGGATCCACCTGCAGTCGATCCACGACTATACTGACGATATAGACTTGCTCTTGGAGGTCCTGAAGTTGATGATGCCATTGTAATTCCTGTTGTCAATGAAAGGGCGTAATTGTTGGACAGTACCGCAGCAGTTGTTGTGATTTAGACAGGTTTGAGAGTTTGTTCTGAGACGTCGTTGAACGAAGAATTAAACAACAATTGCTTTCCGTTACAAACGGTTTAACGGGCTTCTTTGTGCAAGCGCGCGATGGATTGAGGCGCGAGGCAAGCATTTCGATGATCCAGAATCGAATCGAGCTGATTGATTCGATTCGATTGGTACGACTGTTTTGAAACCGTCTGTCCGCGCTTCAACAGAAAATGAACGTTCCACTGCCCGTCCGGTACTTTATTCTATTCTACCACAGAAACCTACGGAAATGGTACATGAATGACGTAAACACGTCAAGTTTCCACCCCACCTTCTTTCTGGCAAAACAGGTTTGGCGGTATCTTCACATACAATCATCAGAGTAACCAAACTCCACCCTTTGTCATTCTTGCGACTCTTGGGTACTGCGTTGGCTTTCTGATTCGATTCGATTCGATTGCATCACTCCATATCCTAGAAAAATCAACATCCTTGCAAATCATGAGCCAGGACGCCACCAATGCCGATGAAAAGATCCAAAAGGACTTGGCCAAGCTGAAAGGAGAAATGGAAAAATGCTCAACCTTGATGAAAGATGGATACTCTTCAGAAAACAAGGAATTGCTGGATGCTATTGGCTTCCTCGAGGCATGCGCACCACGGATGCAAGAACTGGTGGAGAAAGCATCAACCGGCGCTTTAAGCGCACCAGTTTTGGCGGAGACTACTCAATTGAACGATCAGTTGCAGAAAGCTCTTGCTCAGGTTGCTGAGGCTGCAAAGGGTTCTGCTACGGCTCCAAAGAAGGAGATTGATGATATGTTAGTAGTTGAAACAAACTCCAAACTGATTCCTAGAATGCAGTTCAGCTATGATAATATTCCACCCAAGCCTGCAACCGAGCCACCTCTCCCAGTGACTGATGCGGCCCGCAACCACGTTCCAAACCCCTACCTCAATGCCAATATCACACACCCCAAAATCATGGAATGCAGAGCGAAGTCTACTCACCCCAACAAAAACCTCAACATCGACCATTCTCAAGACACATCGCTGTACCCCCAATCGTTCCCTCACTTTGTCCGTGGACGTGACAGTCTCCGCGAGTACATCACTTCGTTGTTCACTAGCCAGATCGCGATCTACGATGGTGCTATGGGTACCATGATCCAAAACTATGCGAAGAAGAACAAGTTGGACGAAGAAGAATACCGTGGCGATCGCTTCAAGGAATGGTCTTGCAACGTCAAGGGTAACAACGATATGTTGAGCATCACACAACCTCACGTGATCGCTGGCATCTACAAGGAGTACCTGGAGGTTGGAGGATCCAACTTGATTGGAACCAACACATTTTCGTCCACAACCATCGCCATGGCTGACTACGAAATGGAACCGTATGTCTACGAGCTGAACTACGAATCTGCTCGCTTGGCACGCGAGGTGTGCGATGAAGTGACTGCAAAGGACCCTACTAAGCCTCGCTTCGTCGTGGGAGCGATCGGTCCTACGAACAGAACCGGTTCTATCTCTCCTTCTGTGGAAGATCCAGCAGCACGCAATGTGACTTTCGACGAGCTTGTTGAAGCTTATTTCGAACAAATAGTCGGTTTGGTTGATGGAGGTTCCGATATTTTGATGGTCGAGACAATCTTCGATACTTTGAACGCCAAGGCTGCTTTGTTTGCTGTTGGTGAATACCTTGAAATGACCGGCTTGGATATCCCAGTGTTTGTTTCTGGTACCTTGGTGGATCAATCTGGACGTACCTTGTCCGGTCAAACTGGAGAGGCCTTCTACGCTTCCATCCGTCACGCCAAGCCAATGTGTGTCGGGCTAAACTGTGCTCTAGGTGCACAGCATATGACACCATTCGTTGAGCGTCTGGCCAAGTGTGTGGAATGTTTCGTTCATGTATACTCTAATGCAGGTCTTCCAAACGCAATGGGAGGATACGATGAAAGTCCTGATGACATGGCGAAGGGAAATGAAGTTTTCTTCAAGAGCGGATGGTTGAACATGGTTGGTGGATGCTGCGGGTCCACTCCGCCACACATCAAGGCTATCAGAGAAATGGCGGAAAAGTACAAGCCGCGCAAGCTTCCTGATGTAGGACGTCCCAAAATGTGGTTGTCGGGTCTTGAAGATCTCGTAGTGGATGATGTGCACAATCACTTGGGTCTTCCATTCTTGAACGTGGGAGAACGTTGCAACATTGCTGGATCTTTGAAGTTCAAAAGATTGATGATGGCAGGAGATTACGCGGCTGCTATGGATATTGCCAAGCAACAGGTTGAAGATGGAGCACATGTGATCGATATCAATGTCGACGATGGTATGTTGGACGGTCTTGCCGCCATGCAGAAGTTCGTTAAGATTGCTGTGACAGAACCCGAAATTGCAAAGGTTCCCTTTATGTTGGATGCATCCAAGTTTGAGATCGTTGAAGCTGGTCTCAAGTGGTGCCAAGGAAAGCCAATTGTGAACTCGATTTCGTTGAAGGTTGGAGAAGAACTCTTCAAGGAGCACGCCACTTTATTGAGAAAGCATGGAGCAGCTGTTGTGGTGATGGCCTTCGACGAAGAAGGCCAAGCTGCTACGGAGGATGAGAAAGTCCGCATCTGTAAGCGCTCATATGATATTCTTGTGAACGAGGTTCGATTCCCACCAGAGGATATTGTTTTCGATCCAAATGTGTTGACTATTGGAACTGGTATGGAGGAGCACGCCAACTATGGTGTTGACTTTATCAACGCGACGAAGATAATCAAGGAGATCTGTCCGTATGTGAAGATCAGTGGTGGCATCTCTAACTTGTCATTTGGATTCCGTGGTGTTACCAAGATTCGCGAATCGATTCACGCTGTGTTCCTACACCATGCCATCACTGAGGCTGGTATGGATGTTGGTATTGTGAACGCTAAGGAAATGCTTGCAATCGATGACTTGGAAGGTGACATGCGTGTCCTTTGTGAAAACCTGGTTTTCAATAAGACACCGGATGCAACTGAAGATATGCTCACTCGCACCTCCTACGAAAGGGCTTGTATGGAAGCCCGAAAGAAGGGACTGCCGCTTCCCCACAAGCCAAGAGGACAGATGCCAAATCTCCCTCGCAAGAAATTCAGCTATGATAATATTCCACCCAAGCCTGCAACCGAGCCACCTCTCCCAGTAACTGACGCGGCCCGCAACCACGTTCCAAACCCTTACCTCAATGCCAATATCACACACCCCAAAATCATGGAATGCAGAGCGAAGTCTACTCACCCCAACAAAAACCTCAACATCGACCATTCTCAAGACACATCGCTGTACCCCCAATCGTTCCCTCACTTTGTCCGTGGACGTGACAGTCTCCGCGAGTACATCACTTCGTTGTTCACTAGCCAGATCGCGATCTACGATGGTGCTATGGGTACCATGATCCAAAACTATGCGAAGAAGAACAAGTTGGACGAAGAAGAATACCGTGGCGATCGCTTCAAGGAATGGTCTTGCAACGTCAAGGGTAACAACGATATGTTGAGCATCACACAACCTCACGTGATCGCTGGCATCTACAAGGAGTACCTGGAGGTTGGAGGATCCAACTTGATTGGAACCAACACATTTTCGTCCACAACCATCGCCATGGCTGACTACGAAATGGAACCGTATGTCTACGAGCTGAACTACGAATCTGCTCGCTTGGCACGCGAGGTGTGCGATGAAGTGACTGCAAAGGACCCTACTAAGCCTCGCTTCGTCGTGGGAGCGATCGGTCCTACGAACAGAACCGGTTCTATCTCTCCTTCTGTGGAAGATCCAGCAGCACGCAATGTGACTTTCGACGAGCTTGTTGAAGCTTATTTCGAACAAATAGTCGGTTTGGTTGATGGAGGTTCCGATATTTTGATGGTCGAGACAATCTTCGATACTTTGAACGCCAAGGCTGCTTTGTTTGCTGTTGGTGAATACCTTGAAATGACCGGCTTGGATATCCCAGTGTTTGTTTCTGGTACCTTGGTGGATCAATCTGGACGTACCTTGTCCGGTCAAACTGGAGAGGCCTTCTACGCTTCCATCCGTCACGCCAAGCCAATGTGTGTCGGGCTAAACTGTGCTCTAGGTGCACAGCATATGACACCATTCGTTGAGCGTCTGGCCAAGTGTGTGGAATGTTTCGTTCATGTATACTCTAATGCAGGTCTTCCAAACGCAATGGGAGGATACGATGAAAGTCCTGATGACATGGCGAAGGGAAATGAAGTTTTCTTCAAGAGCGGATGGTTGAACATGGTTGGTGGATGCTGCGGGTCCACTCCGCCACACATCAAGGCTATCAGAGAAATGGCGGAAAAGTACAAGCCGCGCAAGCTTCCTGATGTAGGACGTCCCAAAATGTGGTTGTCGGGTCTTGAAGATCTCGTAGTGGATGATGTGCACAATCACTTGGGTCTTCCATTCTTGAACGTGGGAGAACGTTGCAACATTGCTGGATCTTTGAAGTTCAAAAGATTGATGATGGCAGGAGATTACGCGGCTGCTATGGATATTGCCAAGCAACAGGTTGAAGATGGAGCACATGTGATCGATATCAATGTCGACGATGGTATGTTGGACGGTCTTGCCGCCATGCAGAAGTTCGTTAAGATTGCTGTGACAGAACCCGAAATTGCAAAGGTTCCCTTTATGTTGGATGCATCCAAGTTTGAGATCGTTGAAGCTGGTCTCAAGTGGTGCCAAGGAAAGCCAATTGTGAACTCGATTTCGTTGAAGGTTGGAGAAGAACTCTTCAAGGAGCACGCCACTTTATTGAGAAAGCATGGAGCAGCTGTTGTGGTGATGGCCTTCGACGAAGAAGGCCAAGCTGCTACGGAGGATGAGAAAGTCCGCATCTGTAAGCGCTCATATGATATTCTTGTGAACGAGGTTCGATTCCCACCAGAGGATATTGTTTTCGATCCAAATGTGTTGACTATTGGAACTGGTATGGAGGAGCACGCCAACTATGGTGTTGACTTTATCAACGCGACGAAGATAATCAAGGAGATCTGTCCGTATGTGAAGATCAGTGGTGGCATCTCTAACTTGTCGTTTGGATTCCGTGGTGTTACCAAGATTCGCGAATCGATTCACGCTGTGTTCCTTCGCAATGCAATCATGGAATCTGGTATGGATGTTGGTATTGTGAACGCTAAGGAAATGCTTGCAATCGATGAGGTTGAACCGGAGCTCAGAAAGGCATCGGAAGATCTCATCTTCAATAGGTCGCCTGATGCAACCGAGCTTATGTTGGAACTGACCCAGAAGGAGCGTGCAGCTGTCGAAGCCCGAAAGAAGGGCGGACAACAAGTCAAGATCAAAGAAAAATCTTGGAGAGACTTTGAGCCAAAGAAACGTCTTGAACATGCTCTTGTCAATGGTATCTCTGAGTTCGTGATTGAGGACGTTGAGGCTGCCCGCCAGGAATGTAGCAAGCCTCTGGATGTCATTGAAGGCCCTCTGATGGACGGTATGAACGTGGTTGGTGATCTCTTTGGAGCAGGAAAGATGTTCTTGCCACAAGTCATTAAGTCTGCCCGCGTGATGAAGAAAGCAGTTGCATATTTGCTTCCTTTCATGGAGGAAGAAAAGAAGCTTAAAATGGTTGAGGCAGGTCTCGATCCAGCCGATTTCGATGAAAACGACGACTCCAACTATGCTGGAAAGGTGTTGATGGCTACCGTCAAGGGTGATGTGCACGACATCGGAAAGAATATTGTCGCTGTCGTTCTTGGTTGCAATAATTACAAGGTGTATGATATCGGTGTCATGTGTTCTTGCGAGAAGATTCTTGAAAAGGCTAAGGAATACAACGTTGATGTAATTGGTCTTTCTGGTTTGATTACCCCATCTTTGGATGAGATGGTTGATGTTGCGAAGGAACTTGCAAAGGGCGGATTCAAACAACCGTTGTTGATCGGTGGAGCTACCACCTCCAAGATGCACACTGCGGTCAAGCTTGCTCCAAACTATTTCACATCCGAGCACCCAGTCATTCACGTCTTGGATGCGTCACGATCCGTGACTGTTGTCTCTTCTCTACTTGGTGAAGCGAAAGAAGACTTTGTCGAGGACATCCAGGAAGAGTACGAGGAAATGAGAGAAGATTACTACGCTGGATTGGAAGATCGACACTTCTTGTCTCATGAAGGAGCGCAAAAGCAAAGGATGGTTATTGACTTTGATAAGGCTCCACCTGCGCCAGTCCCAAACAAACTTGGGACCACTGTAATTGATTCCGTCAAGCTTGTAGATGTCATCCCATACATTGATTGGAACCCATTCTTCCAAACTTGGGAGCTCAGAGGGCGTTACCCAAACCGTGGATATCCAAAAATCTTCAATGACAAGACTGTTGGTGGAGAGGCAAAGAAGCTATTCGATGATGCCCAGACTATGTTGAATCAAATTGTGAAGGATGAAAGTATGTGGTTGAAGGGAATCGTCGGTCTATTCCCTGCCAATCGTAGCGAAGATGGCGAGGATGTCGATGTCTTTGCAACGGAAGCAGACAGAGAAGCCGGAAGCGCTGGTGCAAAATTCTGCATGTTGCGTCAACAAGCAGAAAAGGAATCTGATGATCCATATCTCTCTCAAGCCGACTTTATCGCACCAAACGGATACAAGGACCACGTTGGCTTCTTCGCAGTTTCTTGCTTTGGATGCGAAGCTCTCGTAAAGAAGTTCGAGGCGCAGAATGATGATTTTTCGAAGATCATGGCCCAAGCTCTTGCCGATCGTTTCGTAGAGGCTTTTGCTGAATACTTACACCGTGAAATCCGTATTAATATTTGGGGATATGCTAGTGGCGAGAGCTTAGACGAGGCTGATTTGCTCAAGATCAAGTACGATGGAATTCGTCCTGCTCCAGGTTACCCATCGCAACCTGACCACACCGAAAAGTCCACCATGTGGGACTTCGTGAAGGTCAAGGAACAAACTGGTATTGAATTGTCCGAATCTTTGAGCATGATGCCTGCTGCTTCGGTTTCTGCCTTGGTCTTTGCCCATCCCCAATCCGAATACTTTGCTGTTGGGCAAATTGGGAAGGACCAAGTCGAAAGCTATGCAAAACGCAAGAATATGGACCTAGAACGTTGCGAACGCTGGTTGTCTCCCATCTTGAACTACGAGCGGGCTTAGGATTTGTGACAGTGTGGTTTTATGGATTTTGCGCTACTAGACACTAACGAGTTATTTAGAGTAGGAAAAAACATAGTCGTGCTCATTCACAGTTCCGGGGTTCCCTCTTCTCACCCGTGGCGTTTGAAGTTGAAGATAGTTTACATCAAGAATCTAGTTCAAGCATCAACAGAGTAGAAAATCTCCATTTGTGACTCTGCTTGTGTAGTTGTGGCGCCACCGGATGGCATTCCATTGCAAGAGGTATTAGATCGACGAAACTCATCTTTGACTTCTTCGTAGCGCGCGCATTCGGATCCCAACTTTTGTTGAACAAGCTTCATTTGCTCTAGCTTGACCTTGCAGGATGTACTCATGGTGCTGTTGGACACGACTGCTTTCACAGAATCCACAGATACGTTTTTGACAATCTTGTCAATGAGCTGCTGGCCCAAAAGTCGAGCTGCTTCCCCGTTCGCTTTACCCATGTCAGAGGTGAATTTCTTAGTCATTTCTTTTTCTTGCTTGACAAGCTTGCTTGTGTGTGCGGCACAAGCTTCAAGCGCTTTTCTTTCGCTCTGCGTGACCATGCGAAGACGGTTTTCCTCTTGCTGGAGCATGGTCTGCTTTCGAGAAAGCGTCCCTAGGCACTCCTGACAAGCCTGATTCTTTGTAAGGAGGGCGACTTGCTCCTGCTTCAATCGTCGCAGACGCTCCTGGGCTCGTTTGGATTCGCGCTCGGCATCATCTTTTTCGTTTTGAAACTTGTCCCGGTCTTTCGTCAATGCCGCAAACTGGGACTGCACCGAGTTGGCCTGGACGTAGCCAGCGCTGTTGTTAGGGAAAGAAAGAGAAGTCATTGCGGAGTTTTGATTCAATTCAATACCTTTGACGATCAAAAGATTGGCAAATTCAAAATCAATGAATACACAGTTTCGAAGACTTGAAATTGTGTAGTGACTTTGGTTCGAAAACCTAGCGCGATCAGGACTAAAATAGTGTTTTGTAATATCTTTTAAAAATAGTTCGGGTCCGGTACTGCACAATCAGTCGCTGTTTCCTCTCATCTTTCTAGACAGTTCTCGACAATGACGCTCGCCAGTCTTTCATATTGACTTAGTTCATTGTAAATATGACAAGAGATCCGAACGTAAAGAACCCCGTTCACGCACTTTATGGGGACTTCAATTGCCCTATCAAAGAGCATGTCCTGTACGTACTTCGCATCATCAGATGTGGAAATTGCAGATTGGTAGGAATCAGGGAGTCGCACCAACGCCATGGTCGGTCCATGAAGACGCATGGGAACAAGTGTCACGGAATCGTCGCTGCGGCCGTGCCAAGCATTTCCTAGTGCGGACACTGCTAGTCGAAGCCTGTTTTGGTTCGATTCTTGAACGGATGCGACCCCTTTGGAACGCCAAAAGTCTAGAACGACTGGGAGCGCTATGATAATGTTGTTAGATGACATAGGAGCAACGCTTGAGAATCTGCAAGGGTAGTGGTAGAAATGAAACATTATCGTGCCTCGTTTCAAGACTTGATTCATCAATCGATTTCACTTACAAAGCGCCGCTGCATAATCTCTGCAGCCATCCCACAAGAATCTACTTTGGTATCCTTGCCCAAATCCATGCGAGATGACTGCTGGTCGTCTAAGTATGCTATCCCGTAGTTCTTCTTTGGGGCAGTATATCATTGCAACACCGCGCGGGCAGGATAGCCACTTGTGTCCATTCGACAGGTAAAAGTCTGGAGCGGAATCATCCAGAATGACTTCATTGGCAAGTAAACCATGAGCACCATCTACCATGACTAGCATGTCGCGTTCTTTAGCAATCCTCGTCAGGTTGCGAAGTGGCATGTTGATGGCTGTATTGGATGTCGTCTGATCTAAGATAAGCAAAGCGTGCTTTGTGGTATGATGACTCTTGGCCAGAGCATCTTCCAAAGCCATGGCAAATATTTCGGATGGCTCGTTGAGTTCATGCGCCTTATCAAAATAGGGGATCACTGAAACTTCCGTCACTTTATTACAGTATTCCTCTGCCATCTTCTTGAGACTTCCATATGTCGTGTCCCACAGTATGATGTGAGAGTCTTCTCGGAACTCTTCTACGTAGCCACTGATAATTGTGTTCAAGCCGTAGGTCACATTGGGTATCAGCGTCAACCCTTCTCGATGTGATACTTGGCAGAAATCCGCCAACTGTCGTGCTGAGTAGACCAGGTGAGGCAAGAGGTCGCGATCAAAATACCTTAGGGGTTGGCGTTCCAAGTGATATCTCCACTGCTCGGCCCGTTCGTATCCAACTTTCAATGATGCCCCAAAGGCACCATGATTCAGAAAAGTCCAGTTTGGGTCCAACAAGAAATCCGAACCCCCCGTTTGATGATTGAACGTCAGGTTGTTGTCTGAAGCGGGATCAAATGGAAGTTGCGGTGGCTTGTAGTCTCTATCACTTTGGCTCATCAGCAAATCAACATCATCGCTATGAAACGACCCCATGGCCTGATACCCCTTCGTATGCTGCAATCTAGCCGTAGATTTCATGATTTTCCTGTAACCTTTCGATATTTTGGATATTTGATTGTAGAGTAGTCTCTTGTTCATGATCTTTGAACCAAAGGTTGAATGAGGGTGGAGCAGATGAGTTTGAATCTTCAACGATCTGTGTGAATTGATCATTTGGCAAGACCACCTGGTAGAGATGATAATACTCTTTTTAAAACATCGTGGATTCAGATCGTTCTCGTTTTTGTTGTATTTCTTCTTTTCTACATATTACTACCGAAGGACTTGGAGAGGTCCAAATCCACTGTGCGGCGGCCGGTGAAAAGGGTGCAGCCCCCAAAATTGAAAATAATAAAATGCTTTTTGCCGGTATATGCAGTGAAAATACATTTCTTGTTGGGTTACGCGCGTGCAGGGCGGAGTTTCGTGTGATGCAAACTGCCGAAAGTGCAAAAAATCTTTCAGTTTTCGTAGGCTGGTAGTGCCGGCAGTACTGAAAGTGAAACTGGATGATTGATTCATTCATTCATTCCGACATCCAAATTATTTTCTGACACAAAATCAAGCTGTCATCTTCTAGCTAGTCTTGACATTAATGAGCACCGAAAACGACCAAAACCCTTCCGCCCTCAAGTCTCAAGTTGATAATATGTTACGGGCCAGTACTGCAGCCGTCAAATCCGTCCAAACCGTCGTCAAGACCGAAGTTGCCAAGAGGTTCGCATCAACTGTCGCCAAGAACGTCAAGAGTTTGGAAGGAAAGCACTTCATGTCCATTGACAAGTTGAGGTACGTCGCATAGGATCAAATAATTTCTTTATTTTTGCTTGGTGATACATAGATTTTCAAATGTACCAACTTCCCTTTTCTTCATGTTTTGACGATTTTGACAGTAACGACGAACTTGATGGCCTCTTGCAGCTTGCTCATCACTTCAAGGAAGTCTATGCTGAAAAGGGTCCCCATTTGCCAAAGCCTTTGCATGGACACTCCATGAGTATGATTTTCCAAAAGCGATCGACCAGAACACGCGTCTCCACTGAGACTGGAATGGCCCTTCTTGGTGGCCATGCCCTCTTTTTGGGCCCATCTGATATTCAATTGGGTGTCAACGAAAGCATGAAAGACACTGCTCTTGTTTTGAGTCGATTTAACTCTCTCGTATTGGCTCGCGTCCATGGACACAAGGATGTTGTTGAACTTGCCGAGTATTCTCAGGTTCCCATCATCAACGCCCTCAGTGATTTGCACCACCCACTGCAAACGTTGGCCGATTTGATGGCTCTGCAACAGCGGTTCGGAATGGACCTCTCTGGAAAAACTGTTGCATGGGTTGGAGACGGAAACAATGTCTTGCACGATTTGATGCTCGGAAGTGTCAAGATGGGAATGAACGTTCAAATTGCCACACCAAATGGATTCGAGCCAGATGCCGAAATTCTTGCCATCACCAAGACCTTGGCTGAAGAGAATGGTGTATCCGTCATGACTACCACTATCGCCGATGACGCTGTCAAGGGTGCTGATGTCGTTGTCACTGATACTTGGGTCAGTATGGGACAAGAAGAGGAATACGCCCAGAGAATGAAGGAATTCGACGGATACCAAGTGAACTCTGAGTTGATGGCCAAGGCTAACGACGGAGCCGTCTTTCTGCACTGTCTTCCCCGCCACCCAGAAGAGGTTACCGACGAAGTTTTCTACAGTGACGCATCCTTGGTTTTCCCTGAAGCCGAAAACCGCATGTGGACAGTTATGGCTGTCATGGCTGCACAACTTGGACGAGTTGAGTAGATGTATTTAGAAGCTATCCTTGTTAGAAGTGTACCATTGATAAAATCTGTTCCATTTGACTGTACCTATAAATTCCTCTGGTCGCTAGTAGTAGGTTTGTCCTCCCCTTCTGAAATAGTACTCTATACGAGTAGCGGTACTGCACCGCTGGTACGTTGCAATAAAATTTCCTGTGTACACCGGATAATGCATGTGACCGATGTAGTCTACCGGTACCACTGAGGACTTAGGTACCAGTACGTTTATTTTAATACCAGGCAGGTGTACCTACAATACAATTTCAAATTATTGGCTTGCGCTTGCATTATCATGACGATTACTTCGACTGAAACAGTGTCAAAAAAATTTAAAAGTTTCCCACACAGCAATCATCGCGAAGATGAATGCAGGAAGGAGGATGATACTGAAGCAATCTCGGATCCTCCGATTGTCTACGGGTCCCAAATTTGGTAGTTCTGCTCTTCGTTTCCCAATCCGGAGCCATTCCTCGTCGATGCCAAAAGATGATAGTGAATTGAAGGGATCAGGATCTGAAAACGGAACCACAATAAGAGAAGGTCGTGTTCGGCTCCGACTGCCAAAAGATGATAGTGAATTGAAGAGATCCGAATCCGCAAATGGGAAGACAATGAAAGAAGGTCGTGATGAGATTCGAGTACCGAGAGAAAATTCTGCCGCGGTGCATCACACAGATGAAGAAAGCCAGCATCAGCGAGTCTGGCTTCCGAGCTCGGCGGATGAACCTCTCTTTTGGAATGAAGATGTTGTCAAACGAAACACCCAAGACCCTCACAACTTGTCTCGGTTGCTCGACCGAATAGAAAAACAAGAGCTCGAAGGTGGCCGCTATCGAATGAAACAGTATGGCGTTTTGCATGAAGATCCAGCAGAAGATATGGTAAGCCAATGAAGAAGAAATGTAGATAGACTGCTTGCTCAGAGCTCAAACGAACACTTGTGACAGCGGCTCCTATCAGAAAATTACACGATTCCAGCTTTGGCCAGTGCACTTCGTGACCGGGAAGATGTCCTTCAATATTGTGCTCAGCTTGCTGATGAAGGTGACTTTGAAAAATTGCAGGATCATTTGCACAACTTTCACCCTAGCGTGGTGCTGAACCGGAGAAACGAACGACGTGTTCTAGATGTGAGAAAGCCTTTGAATGCGGCGTCATTGGAGACCATTCGAAAGGCTCTTATGCGCATGCCTCGCAGAGTGACTCAAGCACATTCCAAACGCGCTGGTGTAGTGATTGCTATCTGCCATGTGGACGGCGTGCCCTCGATTATCTTGGAACGACGAGCAGAAACCTTGAGAGCTCATCCCGATGAGGTCTGCCTTCCGGGGGGTATGGGAAGTGGAAATTTCAATGTGCTTGCCTGTTTGCCTTGGTGCTTGCTAACCTTCATGTTCCAAAACAAAAACAACAGGTGTGTTCAGTGGCGGACAAGACTATTGTTGAAACTTGTTTGCGGGAGATGAAAGAGGAAATCGGTGGTTTGAATTTTGACTATCATGGGGATGATGGAGGATATGGTATTAGTGTCTTAGGAGTGCTGCGATGCAACTGGTAAGCTCTTCTTCTTGGAATCCTTTTCGGACTCTAATTATCACACTCCAAATCTCACACTATTGGTTGCCATCGACTCTGCTGGTAGGGGGGAAGTTCACCATATGGTGGGGGTTGCAGTGACGCCTGTTGTCTGCTTCCTTGGGCAAGACCTTGCGGAAATCGACTTGAAGCCAAATCCAGATGAGGTCTCAGAAGTGTTTACGGTCCCTCTGGCAAGTGTCATGGATAAGTCACAATGGCTCTACAAAGATGATCATGCGCCAATATTCGTCGGAGGCCCATATCTTATTTTTGGGTTAACCGGCTATATAATGGATAGGTTCTTCAAGGACATCTTGCTACCTAACAATGTAAAAGAATAGTAGACTCTGTCCATATGGTTACACCGTTGAAGCAACCCAAGTCTTTTCAGCAGTGGTGGCAGCAGCCACAACAACTGGGCATGCATATCTGCTGTTTCTTCTCTATGTTGGGTACTGCTAAACCGTCGATCGAAGCTCTTGATCATGATGACAAATAAATAACTCCATCTACTTGCATACAAAATCGACAGATTGGTCTGATTCTGTTGCTTTCCTTTGCATTTTTGACCTTCATGCCTTCAGCCTGAACAGTTGACTGGATCCGGAATCCAATGATTCAACATTTTCAATTTGACTTCCGTCAGTCGACCGCTGCTCAGCATTCTTCTGAGGAGTGATTCTCGTAGTGAGTACACGTACACGTACGCGTACGTACATCATTTACACGTTCATGTACCGTCAATGATTCATTCGATTAATTTCCACATTTTCAAAAAACATCCATCTACTGTACATTTTCAACACAAAACTTCAACATCAACGCTCTGGTGATGGTGAGCTACCTTCAATGTTTACTTCTTGCGTTATATGCAACAAAAGCGAATTCAATTCAGGTGTCAAGGCGTTCTGCACTAGAAAGCATCTTTCTGAGTGTACCCGGAATTTTTAATGCTCCTCAAGTTGCCTTGTCAGAGGGAGAAAATGAGAAAGCATTCACTTCAGCAGCCTTTCCTAGAAGGGAGTTGACAAACTCCATCATTGCTTCTCGGGATACAAACATTTCCCCGATGGAGGTTTATGATATTATAAATTCAAAAATTCCACCAAACCTGAAAGGATCCGAAAAAATCGCACTAGACGTGGGAGCAGGTGCTGGTGCATCAACGCAAGTTCTCTATCAGCAATTAGGTTACCAAAATATTGATTGTGTAGATTGGAGCGGCGATTCATGGAGACTCAATGTAGAAGAAGGTGGATCTTGTCCCTCTTCGGTAGCCTTTTATGAACTTGACGATGAGCGTTTCTTCAAAGTGTGGAAGGAAAATCAAATGCCGAGATATGATGTGATAGTGATCAATTTTGGCGTTAACCCTGAGAAAGCTCGCTTTTTCTGTCAAAATTTGCTAAAGGAAGACGGTGTTCTGCTCGCACCAATCAACTCCCAAAAAGATTATTGGCTGAAGCAACAATTTTGCTTACTTGACAGTACTGGCACAATATCTTGGTCGGCATCTGATGTTGGGGCTTGGGCTGTTCAATTCCAGCCAGATGTTACCGCTGAAACTTGTCAGGGAATTTGGTGTGCTCCATACAATGGATTTGTTAAATTTAAGTCCTAGCAGTAGGGAAACACTGTGAAACGAAGAACACGTCCGCCTTCCTTCGGCATAGGCGCTGGAAAGAGTCATTACTCGTCTTCAACCTCAACCAACAAATCTCCGCCGTCAATTTGATCTCCAGCTGTCACAACGATTCTCGAAACGATTCCAGCGACAGGAGAAGCTACCATTGTTTCCATTTTCATTGCAGATAGAGACACTAGGGGTGTTCCCACCTCAACAGCATCTCCCTTCTTGACCTTTGTCTCAAGAACAACTCCAGGCATTGGTGCACCAATGCTACCGAGTACACCCTTCAGTGCCTTGGGGCGTTCAGCGGCGTCTTCGACACCCGCAGACTTGTCCTTTACTGCAACTGAACGGGGGGAGCCGTTTAGTTCGAATTGAAGGTTTACAATTCCGTCCTTGTCTGGCTCCGATTGTGAAACGAGCTTGATCACAAGCTGCTTTCCGGGTTCAAGATTTACCGCAACTTCTTCACCAACGCCAATGCCTGTCAAGAAGGTCCTTGTATCCATGCGACTCAAAGACCCAAATTCGGACTTGTGAAGCATGAAATCATCAAATACAGCCGGGTAAAGAGCATGAGACATGACGTCGACATCTCTGATTTGGTCCATGGTTGGAGCACCCAGACCAGAGTCAATAACCCACTTTTCTTCGAGCTTCTTTCGTGCTGTCTCGAAATCGTATGGAGGCAAATCGGCCCCAGGTCTTCCTTCGAATGCAATCATTTCATCAGTACCTTCGATAACTTTTCCCTTCAAAACTCGAGAACGTAGAGGCTCAGGAAAGCTAGATGAAACAACACGTGATGAGCCAACAAATATGAAACAGTAGCCAATGCGCAGCAGTAATACTCACCCGAAGGCGGGCTGCCCTAAATATCCTTGGAAGTACTCAATCACGGATTTTGGAAAGCTCAATGATTCGGCTTTATCGATGACTTCCTGTTCGGTCAAGTCGTTTGCTACGATAAACTGTGCAAGATCACCAGTAACCTTACTTGAAGGGGTTACCTTGACGATATCCCCTAAGAGACGGTTGGCAGTAGCATAGGCTGTCTTTACCTTGCTCCATTGACCAGTCAATCCAAGCTGAGTGCTTTGGAAGAGGAGATTGGTGTACTGCCCGCCGGGCATTTCGTGAATGTAGACGTCAGATGAACCTGTTTTTTGCCCACTCTCGAATGGCTGAACACACAGAGACGCAGTGTTAGGGCAATCCTTCCAATTTGATCCGTTGGTCTAGATGGAAACGAAGACTTACAGCGTAAAGACCGCGGCATTCTTCCCAATATTCGTTCAATGACTGAATGCTCTTCAGACTCAAGCCTGTTTCAAATTTAGTCCCTTGAGTCGAAGCAACGATTGCTCCTAGCGACGGTTGTGAGGTAGTACCGGACATGGCGTCAGAGCAAGCATCAACTGCATCAGCTCCAGCATTTGCACAGGCCAACATGCTCGCGACCCCGGTTCCCGCCGTGTCATGAGTGTGCACATGAATTGGGAGATTTGGAAACTCCTCGCGGATTGCGCCGACAAGCATAGTAGCAGCCTCGGGTTTCAGCAAACCTGCCATGTCCTTGATGGCAAGAACATGAATTCCAAGCGCTTCCAACTTAGTTACAAAATCCATATAGTACTCGAGGTTGTATTTTCCTCGTGTAGGATTGGAGACGTCCCCAGTGTAACACACTGTACCCTCAATGATTCCTCCGGCCTCACCGACGGCATCAATTCCAAGTCTCATATTCTCAATATAGTTGATGGAGTCAAAGACTCTGAAAACATCCATACCAGTCTCCTTTGCCATCTTACAGAATTCGTAGTTCACATTGTCGGGGTAACCGGTGTACCCCACTGCATTGGCTCCCCGAAGCAACATCTGAAACGGAATGTCTGGGACTGCCTCTCGCAAGTCGGCTGATCGTGTCATGAGGGAGGTTAGATAGGTTAGATAGAATAAATGAAGAAAAAGGTTTGTCACAAGAAAGAAGCCTCATAACAAAAGCACTCACCCAAACGATCCCAAGGGTCCTCTCTGAGGAACCTCATTGAAACATCAAAGGTCGCTCCTCCCCAGCATTCAAGAGAGTAAGCATTTGCAAGAGCCACTGAAGTGGCTGGAGCAATATTAAGCATATCTATAGTGCGGAGTCTTGTAGCCAGTAGAGATTGGTGGGCATCACGCCAAGTTGTATCCGTGATGAGCAAACCATCATTGTTTCGAACTGCATTGGCAAAAGCTTCGGGTCCTTCCTCGTCAAAGACTTTTTTCAATGACTTTGATCTCTTCCGGTCTGATTCTTCAATTGTTGGAATGTAAGGATCTACAGATGCTGGAGCGTCACCTATGGCACCAAGTTCTGCTGGAGTACCATTCACAATTATCTCGGCCATGTACTTGAGCACCTTCTGAGCGCGATCCTGTTCACGAAGTGGAGCCATTAAATACGGATTCGCAGAAATAAAACCCGTGTCGACAACTCCATCCAAAAACTGGTCGTTCTGTAGGACGTTGAGCAAAAATGACTTGTTTGTCTTCACACCTCTCACACGGAACTCGCGTAGAGCACGGATCAACTTTGCAGCAGCTTCACGACGAGTTCGAGCCCTGGAGGTGATTTTGACAAGAAGACTGTCATAGTGTGGGGTGATTTTTGCGCCTGGAAATCCAGGACCATCATCAAGCCTGATTCCCATGCCCGTAGGCATACGGAAGACACTGATAGTTCCTGTATCAGGACGGAAGTCGAGCGATGGGTCTTCTGTGGTGACACGGCACTGCATAGCGAAACCTGTTGGTTCTGGGATGTTCTCTTGAACTAGTCCCAACTCTGGGAGTGTTTTACCAGATGCAATTTTGATTTGCGACTACTCGTAGAGGAAGAGAAACGATGTTAGTCCAGGAGAAGATCACTATTTGGGTTTCTCTTAAGGAAACTTACTTGAACAATATCGAAACCTGTAACTTCTTCTGTGACGGTGTGTTCAACCTGTATGCGTGGGTTGACTTCCATGAAATAGTGTTGTCCATTTTTGTCAACCAGAAACTCAACAGTACCAGCATTGCGATAGTTTGCACTCTTTAATAGATTTACAGCATCCTCCAAAATGAGCTCCCTTGTGTTTCCAGGTAAGCCGAGTGCTGGAGCCGTCTCAATAACCTTTTGGTGACGCCTCTGAACTGAACGAAAGAAGTTAGCAATCTGATGCAGTGTACGGGCAGATATATGTCTTTGAATAATGCGTACCTGAACAGTCTCGATCCCACAAGTGGATGACGTTCCCAGTTCCATCACCTAAGCATTGAACCTCAATGTGTCTGGGATTTTCCACGTACTTCTCCACGAAGCATCTCCCGTCACCAAAGGCATTCAAAGCTTCATTCGAAGCTTGGGTAAACATTGCTTGAAGCTCTTCTTCGGTTAGGACAATACGAATACCTCGTCCACCACCACCCATTAAAGCCTTCACAATGACTGGATAAAAACACTTGTTTGCAGGGTCTTCAATCCACTCTTTCGCAGCTTGCACAGTCTCGAAGGCTTCTTCGGAACCTGGCACAACCGGAACATCTGCATGGACAGCCATTTGTCTAGCCGTAGCTTTGTTTCCAAAATCTCTAAGGTTTTGAACCGTGGGTCCAACAAAGGTGACTCCATTTTTAGTCAATGCTTCAGCAAAGTGCTCATTTTCACTCAGAAATCCGTAGCCTGGGTGCGTTTTTTTGTAGGAAAAATAAGTGGATGAGTAGCCTGAAATCGGACGAAAAATAAGGCAGATACGCGGTTGTCCTTACCTGGGTGAACCGCCTCGACTCCATTTGCAACACAAATATTGACGATTGTGTCAATGTCGAGGTACTGAGCAACAGGTGACTTGCTGCCATCAAGTGCGAAGGCCTGGTCCGCCTTGTACCGATGTTGAGTGAAACGATCTGTGACGAATATAGCAGCTGAGGTAATGCAATGATACCGTCCAGGAGCTTCAAGTTTTGGGACTCGTACCTTCGTGACTGTATATTCCGACAGTCTGGATGCCAAGCTCAGCAGCTCCACGGCAGATGCGTGTGGCGATTTCTCCTCGATTTCCGGCCATCAGCTTGCGAAATGGTGCTTCAGAAACGGTGACAGACCCAGAAGTCATCGATGGATGCAGGGTACCGACATTGTAAGGACGCTTCTGTTCACGGGAAGGTTCTTGTTTGAGCTTCCCATTTGGAACCAAGGAGGATAGAACCCTTGTACCAGAGACACGAAGAGCTCGATTCAAGGTAATGCGGCGTGTCGTTCGTCTTGCCCCATAGCGGATAGCTTGACGGAACATATTGTTTTGAGCAAAGTTATGTAGTTGTTCTTTGATTGATGGATGTATAATCGGTCAGTTGACGGCGGCGTTCGGAAACCTCACTGCGCGTCACAGATCTTTGAGTTGATGTGTTCGCATTTCTAAATGACTGACGCCGACAGACCGTAGTAATGATTTTTCGAACAGTTTTTAGTTTTTGAAAGGTTTGGTTTTGAAGTTTAAGTTTCGTTTCTCAATTTTGACGTCTTATTTCAAAAAAGTTCACGGTATCGCGAGGTGGTGGAGAAGTTTCAAGTGACGAAACATTCTGAACTTCACCGATACCTGCTGGTGCCACAGCGCTACCGGCACATTTTACATGCAGAGTGCAAGGGAATTGGTAGAACTATGTATACGAGCTCTTGCACTACTGGAAGTAGAACACCAACCGATGCGGGGATTGACCTTGTTGTTGAAAGCTGGTCTGGCCATCAAAGAAGGTTTGATAGTTTCTACTCTATCGTAGCAATCAAGTCTCATCAGATTGTCTTGGGGGAGTCTTGTTCATTGACGGTGAAAGTCGGACCAGAAATCTTTTCGTGATTTCAGAGTCAAACGGCAGTAGCATGCACCTTCAACAGTTCCCGAATATTACCAGCGCCATTGTCGAACACCATGAGAGTCTCAACATTGAACTCCACATTTGGCAAAGATACTGAAGACAAAGCAGCATTGAAGCTGCCCGATCCTCCGCCAACACCAAAATAGTATCGCTTGGTTGCAATGAAGGCGACACCGGTGTTCACCTTCAGATGCTTTGCCAGCAAAAATGCTGTGTCGGATGCTGCCTGGGACGAGTAAGTAGTCTCGGCTGCCAAAATCATGTCAAAAAGTCCATCTTGTGGAATGTTTGGAGGACATGCGGAAGACTTCGACAATAGTTGCTCCGACATTGCATTCCAATCCCCGAAGCCCATGGTAACATACTGAGAAAGGCTTTGTAACCTGGTTCTCTCCAAGCTATCCCGGACATTTAGGGCAATATTCGGAATGGTGACGTCTGTCAAAACAAACTCGTTGTAATCCGAAAATACTACGCCAAAGGGAGCTGTGCCGCCCACTAGAGATGTCTTTTCCTGATCCCCAGAAGACAGTCTTTCAGCTATTCGCTTTAACATGCAACATCCGGGAAGCCCTTGTCCGCAACCCAACTCCAAAACATGGCCTTCAATATCGATATCGTTCTCCACCAAATAGCGGCATAAATCAATACTGCACTCCCAGACCTTCAAGCCACCTTCGTAGATGCCAGGAACCAGGTCAGTCCCCTGAAGTTCTTTGCGAGACGAAATGCTTTCTCGAACACTGCGGACATATGCTTCGCCTGACAGCGGAACCTCCTCGTACTGGTACAGCGCCCATCCGCTATCAAACGCATTTAATATCCTAGATTCTATGTTTTCCACCCATGCAAACGATTTTACTGTCTCCTTGGGCACTGCACTATCCGCGCCATTTTGACCTGTGAGCGGGTTTGATGGGCCATTGTTGGCAGCGCCTTCTTTCTGTGCGAGGAAGTCAAAAGTAAATGCTGCTCCCTTCATTTGCTTTTGCGGTTCGCTATCTATCGTCAGTTTTGGAAATGTCAGCTGCGCACAATAGCGCGTTTTGACAACATTTGCATTACAGGTACCTAAAATACCAGGTGGTACTAGGTAGTACAGTACCAAGGGCTGGTATCGATAATTGTACCAGTTACTGGTACCGGTAGGTACATCATACTCCAAGATCCCAGGATTCGAGGAAGCCACCTCTTGTTTCGGACAGCTCCCCTTCCGAAGTGCATTCCTTGCATAGTGCCTTTTAGATTAAAAATCTTTTACAAGGCGGCAGCTATATATGCATCATGAATACTTGCTTGCGATGCCCTTTTAGAAGATGGATTTGGAAGGGAAATGCCTCAAAAGAAATCCAAAAGCAAGTGTAGTCTTTTTGGTCTAAAGGGACTTTTTGACGATCACAAAAAAAACACTGAAACTGTGCACAAGAACTAAAAATGTGTCTCATCCACCAACCTAAACGCGTTGGGTGAGACCTGCCAGGGTGCACTATTCGTAACACTCTCAAAAGTAGATCAGATTTAAGCTTTAGACTCTTATGCACCGCATGACACACACATTTGCATGATCCGATGCGTGGATCATATCGACGAATGTGTCATCTTTAGATATCCGAACCTCGATTTCCAAAACTCGAACTCAAAATGATGCCAGCAAAGCTTTTGCTATATAGCCCCCTTCATATCACGTATTTGGCCATCTAATTTACTCTTCCTTTGGCGTTTCTTCCTTATTTTCCTTCGTTTCCTTTTTCTCCTCTCCGGCGCCTTCATCATTGAAACTGTTAATGACTTGTCGGGTCATCTCAAGATCTTCTTCATAGCTCTTGGCACCTTCCAAAGCAGTGTTGAATCCTCTTGGTTGGGCAGGGCTGAAGGCAGCAGAAAGGGCCGGGAGGAGCATGACGGCGATAATGGACAACTTCATGATGGCTGCGTGTTTGTACGATGCTCGATACTGTAGCTTTATGTGATTTAAAATCGTTTTGGAATCATGCCGAATGTCAACTGAATCAAATAAAAGTGACGCACGTGAGTGGACATGGTCGTGCGAGTCGAAGTATATGGTATTTTAATATTCTCTTTTATTAAAATAGCAACTATTCTTCCCATCGCTACTCCATATTAGGCATACAAACGGTGCAGCAATCGAGATCTCCTGTACAAATGTTGCAGTTGGCGTATATTTGAATGTTCCTGCCACACATACTCTCGGGGATTCCAACTGTTGTGTCGAAATCATTTCCAAAAACAGAAAAGTATTGCAGCTTGTGCAAGTTGCCCAAATCCGGCAATGATCCAGTCAATTTGTTGTAGTCGACTTGAAAGAAAATCAACTGCTCCATTTTTTCCAACCCTAACAGGCTTCCGGAAAAATTGTTTCGATCCGCATCGAAAAATTTTAGAGACATTGAGTAGAGTGAAAAATCCAAAGATCCAGATAGATTGTTAGAGTCGACATCTAATCTTTCTAAATGCTGTAGATTGCCGAGCTCTGTTGGAATTGAACCTCCAATAGCATTACTATCCAGGTCAATCTCTTTCAGATGTTCCAGGAAAGAGAGCTCCATTGGAATTGAGCCCTTCAGGTTTGCTTCATCAAGGTTGATTCGGATAACTTGGCCGGTTTCGCTGCAAGTTATTCCACCCCATTCACACTCACTGTCCTCACTAAGAAAGTTTTGACCAGCACATGGAGCTAGACCATCCCTTCTGCATTTTATCCAGTTGTCTCCATCTGTTATGAAGTATAAGACTGCAAGAATATACCGCTGATGGAGGTTGCTGTCACCGGGACAAAGAGACCGTTTATCGCTGACCACCAGCCAAGAAAATGCTTGCCACTCTGGGCTCATGGTATTGCCAAACACATTTGCACCTGAGATGGAGGCAATTGCACGAGCAATTTGTCGTCGTCTATCTGCTGTATGCATCCCACGGCATGGGAGTGCAAGGGAGGAACTGCGGGACGGCATAGCAGTAGGTAGGTTTAGTGGCACCAAACCCGGTTCTGACATCCTGCTACTTGTTGGCATTGATGTTGCCAATTGAGCTAGGCCGGCACTTGGAGATAAACTAGAAGTCACTGATGTGATACTGGGCGTCTCCGAAGTCGGTTCTGAAGTTGGCCCAGCTGTATGTAATTCCGTTGGCTCGATACTAGCAGACACATTTGGAGAAGTGGTCGGAGAATCGCAAAGCTGCCACGTTGGGTCCAAAGTCGGTTCTGAAGTTGACACAGTAGCACGTATTCCTGTTGGCTCGATACTAGCAGCCAAAGTTGGAGTAGTGGTTGGGGAATCTGAAGGTTGCGGCGTAGGGTCCAAAGTCGGTCCTGAAGTTGGCACAAATGTAGGATTCATTGTTGGCCCTTTGCTTGGGGATACGCTAAAGGTCAGAGTTGGTACAACATAGTGTTCCATGGTCGTTTCGTGAGTTGGGGTCAGTGATAATGCTTGGGAAGGCTTGCTACTTGGTGGTGAGCTTTTTGCCAAACTGGGCATTTCCGAATCATCGATAGTTGGATGTGACGTCAGTGCCGAGCTTGGGTGCATTGTTGGTAATCGATTTGGCTTTGGGCTGGGCTGTTTACTTGGGAAGGCAGTTACTGCATCAGAGTTCTCCGTGCTTGGTTCTGACATTGGTTCTAGAGTCGGTGGTATGGTAATTGATGCTGAGTTCGGAGTCAAGGAAGGAATCCCAGAATTTTCCAAGCCTGGCTGTGATGCCCTATCGCTTGTCGGCATCCAAGTTGGGTCTTGAGATGGTGATAAGCTAGAGATCGCAGTTGGCTTGCTAGAGCCCTCCAAACTTAGCTCTGCAGATGGTGTGGAAGTTGATATAGCAGTAAGCACTTCCGTCGGCTCTGTGGTACGAGACAAAGTCGGGGATGCAATTGGAGTTGCAGAGGTTTCAACTGTCGGTTTCGACGTTGGTATTGAAGATGGAATGGACGTCGCTTCTTGTGTGGGCTTGATACTTGGAGGTGCGCTCAAAATTTGCGCTAGAATTTCCGATTGTTTTATAGATGGTTGATTTGTCGGTTCTTGAGTTGGTGGAGCTGTTGGCGATTGCGTCGGTTTGACAATTGGCGTTGAGCTGGAAACAAAGGTGGGGTCACTAGACTGATCCGTACTTGGTCGAAATGTGGGTCTAAAAATCAGCATGGATGTTGGTGATCGAGTTGGTACAGTGTTAGACGAAGTGCTTGGTATCTTGGTTGGCTCACTGGAACGTTTCACGCTTGGTTGTGACGTTGGGTTCAAGGTAGGCACTAACGACGATGCTCCGGCGAGATCGGTGTTAGGCATAGAAGAACTCGAAGTCATAGAAGGCTGACTAGGTTGTTGAGCAGTTACATTCGATACTAGTCTTGTACTTGGTCTACCAGACTGTGCATTAGTTGGTCTCAACGTCGGCTCTAAAGTCGGCATTGATGTGGGGGATCGGGTTGGTTTTCTATTTGTTGCGCTGGTTCGCGTGGTCGAAGGTGCTATTGTTGGCTTCGCGGAAGGGCCATTTGTTGCGGGTGTCAGATATGATGTGTTTGCAGGCCTTGATGAAGGCATGGATGATGTCTCTGATGTAGGTCTCTTGGATGGTACAATAGTTGGTGACTGAGATCCAATTGGAAGAAGAAAGTCGACTGGGCGCCGAGTGGGCGATGGTATACCGTCCGCTATTATATCGCCACAGTCTAATAAGTCTGAATCTGTCCATATGCCGAAGAAGGCTGCCAAACAGGGATCTAATGTACCGTCTCGATTCTCAAGATCCATCGACATTGACATTAGATCTTGTCCTCGAACCGTTGACTGCAGAACGCAGTACACGACCAAAAGTGTGGCAAATGGTCTTTCTATTGATATCATTTTGATTACGTTGTAGTTTTGGCACGATTGTTGCGTTTGTATTGTTGTTGTTGTCTTTCAATTTCGACATTGACGCAGTTTGGTTCAAATTTAAAGTGTGTGAATCGTTGGCGAGGTCGGAATAACGGTTTTTCGATTTTGATTGATCGACTAGTAATTTTATTACTAGCAATTTTTCGATATTACAGTACTGTACCTGGTAGTCCACAGCACCTACTGGTACCCTTTCCTTGTACCCACAAACCAAAGTTCTGCAGACCTTGCACGAAACAGCACAGTCAGTTACCCCTGGTCTCCAATGACTCCGGCCTCAGGTACTAATTAATGTGTTGAACAGTTCATATTTTTAAAAAGTTACCATGTCAAGATCGTTGTAACAGACGCCAGCACCATGGCACAGAGTCCCAGAAATGAAACAATGTTATTTGTGACCCTTCTTGATTTAGAAAGTGATGGATCAATGTTGTTGTGGATCATTGGAGGCAGTAGGAACGCGAGAGGACATCCAATGAGACTGCCCATGAGCGAAACAAGCTTATCCAGACTTTCCATCGTCATCGCAGCAATGACACCCAGCAAACAGACAAGGAGGGTGGCGATCACATTTCTCTGGCTACCAGAAGAGCTTCCTTCGCCGCAAGTACTTTCCAGGCAGGATGCAATAGAGCGACAGGCTATCTCCAATGATGGAAAGTTTTGCAACGGAAAAGTAAATATGACAGCAAAGCTATACGCCAGCTGTACTGTTGTTGCTAGTGTTCCAGAAGGCAACGATGTAGTCATGACAGTACGAACATCGTCCCCAAACGCCATCCAGCACGTTAGACCGAAAAAGGTGTAAAACGCAATGATACCAAGGATGACCCTCTGGTACACAACAGGGAACCTTTCGCGATCTTCCTCTCTATATACCGCTTCCTGAAGCGGAACCAATAGCGTGATTGAACCTGAGATTTGATTAGCAGAGATACACGAGTCAGTAAACGGCCATGTGCCTACAGAACGCAAAATACATAGACTCTTACCTTCAAACAAGAGAACCTGTGGGGTTATAATAAGTAATGAGGGACAAGAAATTCACGATTGTGAGTTTGGCTAAAAGCTGTCGTAGTGTTTTCCAATATCACTCACGCTAGTTCCAATGAACAAGAACCAACCCGAGTTGAAAGCGTCCAAATTGTGGAATTTGTATGCTATTTCTTCCAGTGGCGGCCGTCCCACTTTCGACGAGGCTGCTTCCTCAAATGCAAAGGAGAGACAGGCAATCAAACCGTAGAGGATCAAAACATTAGCAATTAGGTTTGTCAGAGTCAATTTGCGAATGTCGCGAATCCAACTGAGGGGAATCTGAAAGAGCAACATGATAATGGTAAAATAGGAAGCTGGAAGATCGGTACCCCATATCACGTTGGTGCAAGTTTGAAGATTTAGGCTGACAAAAATGATGTACGTAAGACAAACTCCACTTTGCATCAAGGCAATTCCAATCTTGACCGCAGTTTCTCCGTAATAACCCAAGCTATAAAATATAATCAAAAGGGTTTTGAGGAAACGGCAAAGATATATCATGTTGAGTGTGATGTTGCCAACATTATCTAACAGAATGGATGTGTGCTAACTACTTACCCCCGGTAGGCCAATTCTGGGTATGAAAGTATGATTCGGGAGGTATTTGAGCTGCGCTTTTCTTTCAAACTTTCATGTTTCCAGCTGTCCAACAGGCATGCGCTACTGCTCAGAAAGAGAATGGTGGCAATAATTAAAATTGGAATGGAAGCCACATACCCTGCATTCGCAAATCCATGAGGCAAATAAAGGATTGCAGGACCGACCATTCCCTTGATGATTCCCAAGACGGCCGAAGTCATGTCACCTCCCAATCCATGTGCATGAGGATCTGCAGCTTCTAGTGTTTCGCCTGCATCATCTTCCTTCCAAGTTGGCAATCGTCCCATGAGCATCTTGCCTTCATCGTCAAAGGATTGCTCCGAATGTGCACGTGCACTAAAGATTGCACGCATTCGAACATCAGCGAATCCTGGGTCCAACAAGCGCTCGTAATAAAAGCCAGTGAGGGTTGATAGAGGAGTATTCACTCTGGCTCTAACCTGGTTCCTCGGGAGGCGCTGATTCTCAAGACCAAATTGTTTCGCCATTTCCTTTAATCTACTATTATCTTCACCAGCCGTGTAGGTCTTCAAGTGCATGCCACCACTTCCATAGTTGGAAGATGAGGCTGAGACTAGCTTTTCCTTTTCGTCCACTGGCATTCTCACTTTATCTGTGATATCGCGAGGTGCAAATCCATGAACGGTGAACGGCACTAGATCAGATCTGGCTACATCCGGGGGGACGGTTGAATTGAAGGCGACGTCATAAAAAGACTTTGCCAGCCCGGACAGTCGCATTCGCCAATCTGGAAATTTGATGCCTGTTTTTTTCCATTTAATGCGCTTCAACAAATGTGCGTACCGAAGGAGGAAAAACCTCGCCATCACGAACAGAACATCTGGTAGGTATCTTTGCCTTTCAGCGCTTGATGTCTACGGCTGGTCCTACGACAATCTCCGTATCGTTTTTGATACCCAAGTGAAACTGTCACAGAATGACGATACTTTGATGTTCCATTCTCACGTTTCTGGAGTTTAAATTATGAGATACTCACACCATCATCCTTCCAAGAACATTAATCATCTCATGATGAGCCTCACGGATAAGGACAGTGCTCGTAGCAAGAGGGATGCGCCGGCCTCGTTTGCTGTGCCAGTCTCAGTATCATCGAGTACGATGCACACTCGAGGCTCGAGTACTCAACAAAATGATCCAATAGAGGAACATTCCGATAGCGCCGAAGATGTCGACAAGTCTATTTCCAAGGGAGGAGTCACGACTCCCTTTCCTTGGAAGCTACACGAGATGTTGGACGACATGGCCGAAAACAACGACAATGCAGTTGTGTGCTGGCAGCCTCACGGTAGGGCTTTTATGGTGCACAGTACCAAGGAATTTGTGAATCGCATCATGCCAAACTATTTCAATCAGACCAAGTACGCCTCCTTTCAGCGTCAACTGAACTTGTACGGCTTTTCTCGTCTCAGTCATGGCAAAGACAAGGGGGCTTATTTCCATCCCTGCTTTGTCAGGGGACAGCGAAACTTGTGCCGCAACATGATTCGCCAAAAGATCAAGGGCACCAAAGTTCGAAGGTCTCTCTCGGCAGATGAAGAGCCAAACTTTTACGATCCTCAACAATACCAGGATAAGAGCCGACCTACCACTATGTCAGCACCTCCTGTGACCCCCGAAGTGCAAAAGACAACCAAGTCTCGCACAAGTCCTTCCCGAGTCTGGTCTAACAAGATGAGAAAGAAGGAGGATATTCAACCGTCTACTGCTAGTTCTCCCGCAACACAACCAATACAAACATCGCTAGTATCACTTATGAGGGAAGGCGCTCCCGCTGATCGAACTGCTTTGCCAGTGTTGCCACCCCCACCAGTCATTCGGCAGCTCTATACCCTTCCTTCCGATCCCACCAAGTCTCTTCAACACTTATACCACGCTGGAGCATCCAGCGCAGTCAAGGGGGGCGATCTGCTCTACTTTGAAGGCCAGCCATTTCGATATCTAGAGCACATTGATGAAGTTCCATCGCTACCACCCGCCTCGAGTACTCTTCATGACATGATCTCTTCGATTGTCAAGATGGAGAACCAGTGGCCTCAAGCAGCGCCACGACGACAGACGGGACAAGAGCTGTACTCTCGATAGTGATGCAAGTTATGCGCAAACAAAGCGGCAAAGGGCAGGGAAGGAAATCGAAGATAGATCCTCTATCCTCCAAGAGGATCTCTGTAGCTATATATTATATTATACATGCGTATATTTTTAAAATTTGTAAAAACGCTTTCTACAACCGCCTGCATGCACCCTCTGTTTCTATTATATGGGTACGAGAGATGCTGCATTCAATCCATCCGTCTATCCACTCACACTTGACACAACCTCCCCCAACGCCAAGCAACTGCGACATGGATTATTTCGAACCAGTACCTCGTACCGTGACATTACAAGTGCCATACCGTACCCGGTACCTGGTACCGGCTTAGGGGGGGAAAGGAAGAGGAAGAAGAAAAAAAGAAGGAGGTTTTCAAGAGTTCTTTTGCGGTGATCGCGGTATCGCAAAACAAAATATCCAACCAATGAAACTAGTTACAGTTTTCAAATCTAGTTGTGATCTGGGGGGAGCCTTTATGGGTAAAAACCGTACCCACCAATCACAACACCGTCACTCTACAAGCCTGCATGTAGAGATCTCGACAGAAATAGATAGGGAAAGACAGCGAATTTGACAGAAATAGCAGTAGTCTTTCCACTGTTGCTCTTCTCACACATGGGTCCGACTAGTCAACAATATCGATATTGAATAAAAATAAATGAATGGACGCATCAACCAACACACCATACACACCATGAGACAAGAAGCCACTCCTTCTCGTCCCAGCTGGTCGAACTAACTGGGAAAAACTATCGCATGAGTAAAAAGCCTCTACAATTAAGTTGTGCTACGAATATCGGCTGCAATTGATAGAAAATAGTGAAGCGAAGCATGGATGTATTGCAAAACTTTCCATCAAGGATTTTTTCATTTACAAGCCATTCGACAGATGAAGTTGGCATCCAGGGCTACAGAACGTCCCCATATTTTTGATAGTATGTATAAGGAAGGAATTCGAACTGTGTATCTATTGGTTTATCTATGATGCGATGTTGTTATTCCTCTCATTGTGTTGTGTTCGTTGTCACTGTCGAGAAAAAACTTGCAAAATCCGTAATTTGAATAGTCGCGTTGTGTTTCCAACCCATCTCGGTTTACCGATACTTTGCTGAAATCCCTGTTGTGTTGTAGGTTTCTACTGTTTTGAGTATAAATTGGTAGAGATACGTAGAGATCTACGGTTGAGTACTATGTCATCTCTGTGAGTTCCCTAATTAAATACTTCAAATGCCACCTCCTCGACCAATTGAGTATCTGCCTTTTCCCCAATAAACCCTTATCAGAACCGGTACGAATCCATGTTTGATTTTACAATTTCAATTTGGTGTTCGCATGTGCCTGCGCGCAGTAGACCTCTGATGAATATTAAAAAGTAAAACTCCGGGTTTCTTAGAGTTGATTAATTCGACTTTTTGGCTTACCGCTTTACTTTTTTTGACAAATGTTTCCAACAGCTCGGAAATATAGCAATCTATACCAACAAGAAAGCTAGTTCAAGATGTGAGTCGACAACATGATGAACCAGATAAGAACAATGAAAGAGGAACATTATTAATAGATTTGACAGGAGGTCTGCAGTGAAAGCATCAACCGGAGCAATTCGCAGGAAAATTTCATTTTGTCTTGTCGCAGCGGCACGGAGATGTTTTTCGGGATGTTTTTGATTTTGCTGTGGATCGTTTGCTTACCAATCGTCCCCATTTTTCAGGTCTTCTTCTTTGATGCAAGGTGCTGAATTCCAGCACATTCTTCGTATTCTGAACACAAATGTTGAAGGAAAGCGTAATGTTGTCTTCGGCCTCACTAAAATCAAGGGTCTAGGACGACGATTTGCCGATCTTATCTGCAAAAAGGCCGAAGTTGATGTCAACAAAAGAGCTGGAGAACTTACTGCTGATGAAATTGAAAAACTTGTTGCTATCATCCAAAACCCCCGTCAATTTAAGATCCCTCTTTGGTTCCTTAACAGACAAAAGGATTTCAAGACCGGAAAGTACACTCAAGTCTTTGCACAAAACGTCGATGCTAAGCTTCGTGACGATATCGAACGCCTGAAGAAAATCCGTGCCCATCGTGGTCTTCGTCACTGGTGGGGAATCAGAGTCCGTGGACAGCACACTTGCTCTACTGGCCGCAGAAAGTAACTCTTTAATAAGTTAGTAGTAAAAAGCAAAATGAATACAGAAATAATATGTTTGTCCTGCCGTGAAGGCGAGACAAGCTGATGAATAACAGAAACGCTAGTTTTCGCTGCCTAAGAGTGCAACTAGGCTTTAGTTCATGTAGGTATCATCGAACAGGTACCGGTACAGCACAGCCAGTTTGAAGTTACAATTTTCCCTCCCTACGAATTCCACTTCAGGACAGACGGAAAGACATAAATATCCAGCCTGATCACTGATCACTGACTACTGACCGACGTATGCAGCAATCCAACTAAAAGTGGAAGAGCTATCAATTCAACAGCAACCTACACTACGGTAGTGGATAGTTCTTTGGCACCATGGTCTTCAATATGATATTTTCTCGCATAGAAAGTCTGGTGGACAGCACTGAAACCGTCGAGGATTCGATTCCTTGCAAGTCGAATATTCTCAGTCTTCGAGAATGTCGGAAGGGCGACAAGTCGGTAAGGATTGCTCGAATTCAAAAAGGAGATTCGGTTTTGGCCTTCTATTCTAACATCAAACTTTGTCGTGTGACATGTGAAGAAATGCAATGCTCTTGGCTTGGATTTGCTGAGCTGTATGGCTGAATTCAAGGTTGACGAGACAGCCAGAGTTCGTGCCAATATTGGAGTTGCAAAGTACAATGAGTATCTCAAGTTCCTAGAAGAAAAACATGGAGCAGAGGAAGCTGCTAAAATCGTCGCAGAGCCTGCTGAAAGCCTGAAGGATGTTAAGGCAATGAAGATGTTGCACAATTTGTCCCAAAACGTCCATCCGAAGGGAGCACCAAGCAATGAGGAAGAGAAGCAAAACTGGACTTATGCTGACCAAGTGCGATTGGAGATGGGAGAGCAAGAATGGTGGAGCTCAGTTGGCGTTGTTGCATCCGAATTCGGAATGGAAAAGACAGACAGCCTTTTTAATTTGACGCAAGAGACTTTGGTGCTCCAGGATGCTGCGGAGCGAGTCTTCCCAGGAACAAAGGATGCCCAAAGCAAACGCTTTGATAAGCTGAAGATGGTGATGGAACCAGTGTCCTCCGCTGCCAAAGGTGCATCGACCGTCGAAGAAGTTATGGCTGTCTTCAAGGAAGTATATCCCACTGAAGCCGACTTGAAGTCAAAATTCAACTAGATGCATCTTGTTTTACGCAATTTGTAACTTCATGAGTCAACTTGCTGCAAGTACAATTGTATTCTGCAACTGCTAAGCGGGATTTATTATAAATCCTATTCAATTATCATCTATGACAAATAATACCTAGAGCCGCTTCCAGTTGTCACCACTTCACCACTTGCATACTTTCCCTTGATGATAGGACTGGTTGTAACCTTTTCACCGTCACGGAAATTTGGTGACCCGCTTATCGAACCACTCACAGAACCGTCAGCATTTGCCTTCCAGCCAGAAAGAGCCGGAACCCCTCTTGGAGCACCCTTCTTTGGTTGGGGTGTCTTTTTCGTTGCTGGAGCTTTCTTGGGAGGAGGTGGCGTCGTCTTCTTTGCTGGAGCTTTCTTAGGGGGCGGTGGTGTCTCCTTTGCTGGAGCTTCGACGGGCTTGGGCTTCGCTACTTGGATTTTTGGCAACGAAAGAGTTGGTGCTTTCTTCACAGGGGCGGATTTTGCCTTTGGTGCACTAGTAGCTGGTGGTGCCTGTTTGGGCTTACCACCTGAATCGCCTCCTCCAAAAAGATCAAAGAGAGAAAACGTTGCCTTCGGCGGGGCATCAGCCTCGCTCTTGTCTTCAATTGCCTTTCTTTGGTTGGTAAGTGTAATGGTTGGAGACGATCCCAGTACCGCAGCAAATCTCGAAGCTACCTTGGTAGGTGGCTCTGCTGAAAGGAAATATCGGGAGCCTGTAGCTGTTGTGACAGTTCCTCCGTTTTCGATCTTGCCACCTGAAATGGTCGTTGTTTCCACGAAGTCTCCATCTTCAAAGTTTGGAGAGCCTGTTATAAAGGGATAAACCAGTTAACTTGATGTCGAATTGATATGCCCAACCTCAAAATGCTTACCATAGATCCGCCCGGAGATTCCGCCATCACGTCTTGATTTCCATCCACGAATGATTGGGACTCCTTTTGGTGGTCGCTCTACCTTTGGAGCAGCAGCTTTCTTCTGTGCAGTAGTTGCTTGCGTCTTCTTCATGGCAGCCGCCTTCTTCTCTTCAGCAATTCGCTTCTTCTTTTCTGCAGCAGAAGCAGCTTGTGCCTTCTTCTCCTCAGCTAGACGCTTCTTTTCTTCCGCTGCTGCAGCCGCTTGTGCCTTCTTCTCTTCCGCAATACGCATCTTTTCTGCTGCAGCAGCGGCAGCTTGAGCCTTGCGTTCCTCAGCTTGCTGCTTCTTTTCGGCAGCAAGTCGTCGCTTCTCCTCAGCAGCTGCAGCCACTGCTGCCTTGCGTTCCTCAGCAGCACGGCGCTTTGCTTCTGCAGCAGCGGCTAGTGCAGCCTTGCGATCGTTGCCACTAGAGCTTACAGGGCGCGTGCCAGATTGTGGTGATCCTCCAAAGCTTGGAATTCTAAATCCGCCAGTAGGTTTCGATGTAGCTACTGTTCCTTCCAAGAAATAACTGCAGAGATGAAAATAGAACGTAAGGTTTACAGAACGTAAGGTTTAAAAAAGTTCCATGTGAGGGAGATGTTGTCATGCTTACCTGCTTCCACTTGATGTCTTAACAACAGAACCGCCTTTCGCACCCATGGCGACAGGGCTAGTAGTTATCGTCTCGCCTTCTCGGAAGTTGGCAGAGCCACTAATCCTTCCGGTGATTGCACCACTCGATAATTGACGCCAAGCAGAAAGGACTGGAACACCGTTTGGCGCAGCAGTGGCTGGAGATTTTTTGACCGGAGCAGCTGGTTTGACTAGTTGTTCCTTCACTGGGGCCGCAAGTGGACTCAACGTCTCCTCGGATTTGGCGACGAAACCACCAAAGAGATCACCCAACGAGACAGTAGGTCGAGGAGGTTGGGATCGGGCTTTTTCTTGAGTCTTGGTAGCCTGTGCTTGTGCCGCAAGTCTCTTCTGCTCAGCCAGTTTCTTTCGCTCCTCTGCAGCAGCTGCAGCTTGGGCCTTCTTTTCTCCCGCGATACGCTTTCGTTCTTCAGCAGCCGCTGTGGCCTGTGCCTTCTTCTCCTCAGCAAGACGTTTTTTCTCCTCGGCAGCTGCTGCAGCTTGTGCCTTCTTCGCAGCAGCTTCGGCCTCCTTTTCCTCGGCGATTCGCTTGCGTTCCTCGGCGTCGGCCGCTGCCTGTGCCTCCTTAATTTCTGCGATGCGTTGCTTTTCCGCGGCGGCCTCTTGGCGGGCAGCTTCGGCCTTTTTCTTCTGTTGTTCCATGGCGGCCTTCTTGGCTTCCTGCTCACGTTTTTTATCTTCGGCACCGCGCTGCTTTTCGGTTAGGGCAGCTTGGCGAGCTTGTTCTTGTTCTATCTTATGACGTCTCAACTCTTCCTCGCGTTGCGCCTTGGCTCGAGCGGCAGCTTCCTTCGCTTTTTCTGCTTCTAGTTTCTTCTTAGCAGCTTCTTCTTGCTTTCGCTTTTGTTCGGCAGGATCTGGTTTAGGAATCTCAATCTTGGGAATGTCAACCTTGGGGACTTCAATCTTGGGTACCTCTAGTTTCGGTACCTCTAGTTTTGGTACCTCCAACTTTGGCACATCAAGTTTTGGAACCTCCAATTTAGTATCCGAGAGACCCTTGAGCGGTGGAGCTTTCTTGGGTGGCTCTGGTTTCTTGGCAGGTGGCTTGGGGGCTACCTTCGGTGCTGGTGGTGCTTCACTTGTGACTTCAGGTACGATGACGGATACCGAACCTTCAATACTCTTGACAGTAGAGGACACGGAATTTTCGACGCCCTTTACTGCTTTGGTAGGAATGGCTTTGACTACATCGATTGCGTTGTCTACGGCATCCAGAGTGTCATCAATGGCATCATCAATCGCTTTCTGTGTGGCTTCAGCAACCCGTCCAGGAGTTGCCTTGATCTCCCCCTTCACTTCCTCTACCTTTTCGATGGCTGCTGTTTGTATTTTAGAAGGAATGTTGACGATTCCTTGCTTTGTTTCAGCGACCTTTGCCTTGGCAGCATTGACAACATTGGAGGGAATAGCCTTGATTTCATTGGTCTTTCTCTCCACATAGTTCTTGAAGGTAGTGGTGATGAAGTTTACAATTAATCGAACTGGGCCTCCGAATGCGACACGAATAAACTTCCCAGTCGATCCAGTAGAAGCTCCACCCGCAATTCCGAAAATAGATAAAGCAACCGATCCCACAATGGGTGGAACAATGGGAGAAGTGATCAAATCGATATCTGGAATGTTCAGATCCGCGAATCCACCCAACAAGAGACCAAGAACGGCACCACCGATGCCAGCGGCTACAACACCAATTTGTTCCTCAGATGTCAACTGATTGGCGGCTGCTTTTTGCTTTGTTTGAAGTGCTTTTTGATTTGTTTGAACCTTGTCTGCTGAGAGTGCTTTCAACTGCTCTTGCGCTCGTTCAAGAACTTCGTTTTCCTCTGAATCTTCCTCCGAAGAAGCAAACATCGGTCTTCTAGCCTTTACTACGAAGGCACCCGGGATTTGTGGTAGTTGGGAAGCACGGCTACTGCTTGTTCTGGGAGGCACAGTGTAAGCATGATTGTACTCTGAGCAGAAAAGCGAAATCGCCAAAAGGAACAATGTGCAAGCTCTTGCCATCGTCACAATTTCCGATATTCCACCAAAAGTCGACAATAGATTGCTGGATTCAACCGCCGATGCTCTTCTTAATCTCAACGAGCAGTTCCTATTTGGCAATAGCAACCTCCAAATTCAAATACACTCGTGATGTTTTCGATTTTGTTGCCTTGAGTTTTCCAGAAAGATCCGATCTTCAAGTACGTAGAGTCAGTACCAAAAGATACGATATCGTACGAGCAGGCTGTCCCAACATACGACTACTGCGACTGCAATCACCTGGCCTTTGACCGTCGAAACAAACGGTAATCGTCAATGATTGAGTGATGTGAGCACATCTCGACCGACCATGGCGTCTAGTGCAGTCAAAAAATTGGTACAGAACAACCCTGCCTTCAAGCGAGGAGCAGAAATTGCGAGACAAGAGATCTTTGGACATGTTCCCCAACTGAATGTACGAAGTGGAAGCAAAATTGCAAAAAAACAATTCACAGGAACCTACCTCGCGAAATACTACCCCGAGTCAATAAACAAGTACGCTCGAATGGTAAGCCTTGGAGATGCAGAACGTTTGTAATGTTGATTTTCATGCGAACGCATAACTAACTTTACATGCCGCTCGATCCTTTCTATAGGTTCATGAGAATTGGGAGACGGAGGAAGAAGAGTATAGAAGAGTCAAGTTGACTCAACGAAGAAGGAAAGGAAAGGGTCCACCAAAGAAGGGCGCAGGAGCAAGAAGCAAAAAAAAATAGCTGCCTAGAAAAAATCCCAATAGTAGATACTAATGATAATCTCTACCGTCCTTCCTAAAATTGTTGTTGTGAAGCAGTAGAAGAGTCCAGTTGCAAAAAGAGAGATTGCGAGAGGCAAAGAAATGGAAAAGGATATGTGATACACCACTCTATATTCTAGATGCTTTTTTGTCTGCGGCAGGCTAAATGTTCTGGATGTGTTCTTCAAAGAAGTGGGACAGGATGTGTCATGGGCAAACTCTATATGTTAGATGCATTCTTAACTTAAATGATCCTAGTTTTCAAAGAAGTTATACTGCGTGACTTGCATTTGCTTAGAACAAAGTAACAACCAGACCGAGGGCAAAAATAGCAACGGCGGCGTAATGGGATTTGGCGCTTCCGGAATCAGCCTCAACGATGGTTCCCTTATCCGCAACATCCTCAGGCTTTCCGTAGACAAAGACCTTATTAGTAGTCTTGAAGCACTGACAACTATCGTCGAACTTGACTTGTCCACCAAAGGTGTAAATAACATCGTCTTCTTCGACACCAACGGCAGCGAAACGGAAGCGTTCCTCGGGAAAATCCTCAAGGATCTTCCATGCGGTCTCACCGTCGTTGAGAATTTCAATGCGATCGGTGGCCACAGTCTTCGTAGCGATGGTATAGTTATTGGAGGCGCAGACTCCTTCGTCGAGAGGACCCTCGCCACCAATGGCGTACAAGTGTCCCCTGTTTTCAACGAGCAGAATCTCACCACGAGCATCAACTAGGTCGGGAAGAGAGGTCCATGTTTCAGAGCTGAAGTCGTATTCTTCAGCAGAAGTCAAGGGCTTGCACCAGTTCGTATGGGTAAATCCCCCGGCGACGTAAGCCTTGGTTCCATCCTTGGTGGCAACACCGAAAACGTCTCCACGTTCTTCAAGCAAATCTCCGACCCTGGTGAAGGTCTGCCCATCACCACTAATCTTGACGACGCGGCTCATGGCAGTATAGTTTTGGTCGTAACCTCCAGCGATGTAGATATCGCTGCTCCCAAAACCTGCATGGTCAGAAACCGCGAATTCGGCAGGTAAGCTGCTGGGAGTGCTCCAGGTCTTGGTGGCAATGTCGTACATATCAATCTCAGGAATCAGATCATCGAACAAGGTACGTCCTCCCAACAGAAACACTTTACCGTCAACAATGGCGCTAGAGTGACGGTAGCGAGGACGGGGAAGGCTCTCCAACGTCTCAAAGGTCTTTGTGGCAGGGTCAAAGGCGAAGAAGGCATCAGTGATACTGTCACAAATGAAAGTTGCGAAATCGGCGTTCCAAACATTTCCGCTGGGGTGGTCTGCAAAAAAAAGTGAAAGACGCAGTTAGTCACCATTTTGAAGACTGCAACTATCTCATGAAAGAGGACCTCACTCACCGCAACCACCGGCAAGGTAGACGAGTCCATTATCTGGCGAGCGGACCCCAGAGTGATCGGAAACAGCGATGGGAACCTCCGCATCAACTTCAGCAAAAGTCCAACTCTCCAACGCTGTGGTGGCAGCTGGAACAAGAGCTGAGCACAAGAAGGCAAGTAGTTCAATCTTCATCTTTGAAAATGGATCGTTAGTTAAGAAAGGCTAGGTAGCTATTGGAAGGTTCTGGATGGATGGCGATAGGTTTGAAAGAACCTCAAAGGAAACACTATCGGATTTTATGAAGCGATCTCAGCAGCCATCGATCAGTGGATCACGTTGAAATCAAACCAATCAAAGATATTTCATTTGCGCGATCACGGCGCGAAGTGAAACTTCGTTAGTCCTTTCTGCAACTTGAATGCGCACTGAACCTTCATCCTTATATTATATTAGTAGTCACCGACTGGTTATGCTGCATACTAATCTCTTCCTCACTGTAGACGAAGTGTGAAGTACTATTACACGAATAGGAAGCTAGCCCTTTGTCACTTCCAACGCTGTCTGACTATGTTGCAGGATACGAACTCGAACTTTGGTTCAATTGAAACTTTAGAATACCTTTGAGAATTGGGACTTTGGAAGTGAAACAGGTTCCTTGCCTTCGAAAGCAATTTTAGCTGATCCATTGGAAAATATTTCCAAGACTGTTCCTGTGGCACCGTCGTTTGTTTTCACTTGGTCGCCGACACGTGCCCAAGCACTCCCCTTGGCAACCATCGATGCGGCATCTGATTCATCAGCTGCTGTTTTTACCTCGTATCCAAGACCTCCCAAGATTCCATAAGTGACCTTTTCCAAGTTGAGAGTGTAAAAGTGAAGGACGTCGACGCCAATCGCAGTTAGATCCTTGCACATCTCAATACCATATTCAACACCGAAAGCCTTAACAGCGTCGGGGTCATCCTTCATCGAATCCATCTTAGCTTGAAGCGATGCTGGAACACGGGTTTTGCAGAACTTGGTCATCTTGCAAAATCCGGCATATGCATTGATGCACATCAATCCAGGGACAACAGGGCACAAGATGCCCCACTTTCGGCAGTCTTCAACAAATGCTCCAAAAGCCTTGGTGTCGAAGAACATTTGTGTGATGATGAAATCTGCTCCGGCGTCCACCTTCTTTTTCAAGTAATCCATCTCCTTCTTGTAGTCTTCGTCCTTGCAGGTGAATACTTTTCCGTCGAAAGTCGAACTTCTTCCCTTTTCAGCCTCCGACATACTGGATGGATCGGCAATTTCAGAAATAGCATTTGGGTGACCTTCGGGGTATCCTGCAACAGAAATTCCAAACTCTTGTCCAAAATTCTCACGAATGTATTCGACAAGATCAAGGGCGCATGTGAAACCACCCTCGGCAGCCTTCCATTCCTCTTCACCAGCTGGTGGATCACCTCGCAACGCAACGATGTTGCGGATTCCATTGTTCTTTGCAGTTGTAAGAGCTTCGTGAACTGCCTTCTTTGGGTCACCATCTTTCTCCATGTTGGTACAGGTGAGGTGCATGTTTGCAACATGGCCATGTTCATGTGCATGTGTCGCCAGTTTGAGTGTCAATTCTGCGGTGGAGCCTCCAGCACCCCATGTCATATCGGTGAAAAGAGGATTAATTGCTTCTTTCATGCGGTCCATGCGTGCGAACAGATTCTACGAAGCGCAAAGATAGAGTGAGATTGGATTTGCCGAAAAATACGTACGTCAATTTCTCAATAGTTCATACCTTCACTCCGACCTCTGTTCTGGGTGGGAAGAACTCAATGGAAGCAAAGGGCTTGCTCCCATCTTCCTTGGCCTTCAAAAGGTCAATAATCTTTGGGTCTGGGCTGGTGGTGGTCATGATGGCAGCGAGATTCAACGACTTTGGTTTGTGTTGAAAACTGGGAAAAAGTGTTGACGATTAATCAATGACGATTTTATGTCGTCAGTCCTGCGATTGATTCCAGCTTGAATATTCAATATCCAGCAACGAAGTTAACTAATAGAACGTGCAAGGAAGGGTCGGGCAAAGTACAGGTTATTCGAGCGAGTCAAAATGATATTACAGAGAAGTGTTTTTTTAGATCTTTTCAATCTCTTCACCAGGGTCGTTGAGAGCACCTTCTTTCGTGTGCACTGCATCTTTATTATCGACACTCAAGGTCACAGAGGAATTTCCAACCATTGTGATACGTCCACAACGAAGTCCAGAGTCTTGATCGTCTATTTTCATTGTGATGAGAGCAGCCATCAAACTGCTCACTGTGCCAGCAAGGAAGCATGCTGCCAAACCTGCAATGGCATCATGACCGATGGAGTCACCAAAGTTATCGCCAATATAGGTATACAGAACACCACTTCCAATAGTACCAAACAATCTTCCCAAAGCGTTGCTCATGTAATAGAAACCAACACTCACAGCAACTTTATCTTTGTTTGCATAGTTCACTACCAGGAATGAATGGATCGATGAATTAATAGCGAAAATGATCGCAAACGTGACAATCACTGCAACCAACCAAGAAGTCATGCCGGTAACTTCGTAATCTGTAAAAGATGGGGACCATGTCATTGCAGCCCATATCACCAGAGTTGGAAGACAGTTGATTACTCCCCAAAGAACTTCCGTTAGCTTGTTAGGCGGGGTCTGGTTTAAGGGACCAGTGACAAGCTGTGGAGTCCAGGATTGTACCTGTCCATATAGAATGATGTAACCTCCCAAGAATGCGCCAACTACAACACGTTCCAGTGCAAGTCCTCCACACCCACCACCAGGATTGATATTCTCGCAAAACCCTTCAATACCACAAATGGCTCCAGTTCCACAATCAAACTCTGGGCAACGGGTTTCTCCCAATCCTTCGCAAGACGGCGATCGCAAGAAAAAAGGTAACGGAACTTCAAACCAGAAATCCCGAGATGCAAACAGAAACATACGCGCGAGACTTAACCAATTAAGTTTGGAATTGTCCATCTTGAAAACTTCTTTCCAGGATGCGTTTTTCTTTTTGGCAGTTCCCAAGTTTCGATCGAGTCCAAGAATGGCCCAAGGCATGGCCAAAACAACGAGCCCCATCATGACTCCGAGAGCTAGTTCATAACTGACTTGGACCAATGCACTTCCCATGAAATATCCAACTCCCTTTAGAGAATTCTTCCACCCAGTGATAAGAGAAACAAGTTTGAATAGTTTTGTTTCCTGCTCTTCTGGCGTCACAAGCTTTGTCACGGTTTTCCCTCCAAGCTTTGTCAAGTCTTTAGCGATTCCAGCAAACATCTGGGACATTGTTACATAGACAATTGCTTGCACCTGCGTCCAATCATCTTTCCATCCAAACAACAAACTGTATGAGAATAGTTGTAGCGTCAATCCCATAATCAAAGTAACCTTGATACCCCATTTCGCACCCATGAACCCGGCAGCCTTTTGGTTTTGCATACAGTAGGCACGTTGTGAGGAATTCTATAGGATAAAATATGACAGCAGAAATCTCTTCATTTTGCTTCGCTCACCAGGTTGGTAAAGACTCCAGCCAACTCATAAAGCGTAAACATGATAGCGACTTGCATGGCGGAAAAACTCTTGTTGTATGCGTGTTGCAATACGATCATTCGAATGGCACCATCAGTGATAGTATAAAGCAGATAACTGGAGCTGATAATCACAAAAGGACGAAGGGCTTGGCTTTGGGCAGCCTTCATGAAACCGTTTCCTTCCCCTCTATTAGAGTGCTTTCCTTTGTCCCCTTCGCTACCACTGTTTTCCGCAATCATTTGAAAGTCTCCACTTTCATTGCGTTTACATGGATCCACATAGGTTCCTTCTGGTTCTGTTTTAGACAATTCTTCGAGGTCGCCTGTTTTGCCGATGCGTTCGGAAGAGCTCGTTGGTGGGGCCGTTGATGAGTATTCTTCAGGATTTTCAATCGGCTTTGGTTCTAAATCCTTCTCCGATTTCCTTTTCGACTGCTTTTCTGTTTTGGATTTCCGTTTCATCGATGTCACGTCGATTTTTTCCTCGTCTGGCATCTTGCAAAGCGGTGGGAGGCTTGAGCTTGGATCTCGATGTTAAATTCACCTCCGCTAGCTAACAAAAAGAGTGTTCTGGTGATGCAAATGGGAGACCCTGATGCCGTGCTACGATGGTAATGATGATTCATTCGAAACGGAAGGTTGCGCCGAATGAATGGCCAGGTAGGTGGTATGAATCTCTGTGAATCTCTGTGAATTTTCAATTTCAAAGTTCTTTGTTCTCTAATCGATCTTGAACAAATTCAAAATGACTTTCCAAATTCCTGATTCCAAATGTGACGTCATGTTTCATGCCGACCGCAAAAGTGTGAAAGTGAGGGTTGGCGGGTCGTTTGAAAGACAGGAAAAAGATCATATTGTAACAGTGGATCCATCTTTCTGTTTGCTACAGTACGGTACAGTGGAATAATCGAATCATGCCTCCCAAAAAGAAGAATCAAGGAACAGATGATGACCTCGGTCCAATGCGTGCTGCTCGTTTTGGTCGTGTAAAGAACACATTGACCATGGGATTCGTCGGTCTTCCTAATGGTACGGGGAAAAAACACTCTGAAACACAACACAACACACTACAATCCAGTTCAGCTGTCTAACATTTTTCGCTCTTTGAATACTGACAGTTGGAAAATCCTCGCTTACCAACCTTTTGTCAGGTTCAACACATGCTGAAGCTGCGAATTATGTACGTTTTGGTTGTCATGGTGGGAGTCTCGATCATGTCTTTGACTGTCACAATTCACATCATTTTTCTTGTTTCCGATCCTTCAACAGCCTTTCTGTACCATTGACCCCAATGTTGTCCAATGCATTGTTCCAGATAAGAACTTCAAATACCTTGTAGATACCTGGAAGCCACCTTCCATTGTCCCAGCTGCCTTGAAGGTGACAGATATCGCCGGTTTGATCAAGGGTGCCAGTGAGGGAGCCGGTCTTGGTAATGCATTCTTGAGTCACATTGCTGCCGTCGACGGTATTTATCATTTGGTCCGTGCCTTCAACAGTGATGAAGTGATCCATGTCGATGATTCTGTGGATCCCATTCGGGATTTGGAAACCATCCAAGGCGAGTTGTGCGCCAAGGATGCCTCTAGTTTGCAAGCTGTGTATGACCGTGAATGTGAGCGGGTGAGGAAGGAAAAGGGATTGTCCCGACAAGCAACTAATTTCAAGCTTTCGGAGCCATTCACAGAGGCATATAACAAAGTCAAAGCGTTGGTGGAATCCAATACTCCCATTCGATCGGGAGAATTCACGGCTACGGAAGTCGACATTATTCGTGACTGGGCAATGATCACTACCAAGCCACAAATTTACGTGGTCAACTTGTCACAGAAGAGTTTCGTCCGCAAGGGTAGCAAGTGGCTGCCCAAGATTGGCGAATGGGTTAAGGAACACGGTGGCGGTCAAATTATTCCCGTCTCTTGTGAATTCGAACAAAACTATTTTGACTTGAAAGATGATCCAGAGAACCAGAAGGCTTTCCTTGAACAATGTAAGGAAGAGGCTATCGGTGCTGGCTTGAAGGGCCCACAAGCGGAGATTAGGTCGATGGTTCCCCGTTTGATCCGCGCCGGACGTCAAGCCTTGTGCTTGCAATCCTACTACACTGCCGGGCCCAAGGAAGTCCGTGCATGGACAATCATGAAGGGTACTTTGGCACCGCAAGCCGCTGGTGTTATCCACACCGATTTTGAAAGAGGTTTCATCAAGGCTGAGGTCTGCAATTTCACTGATTTCAAGGAACTCCACAAGGGTGAAGCCAGTATGGCCAAGGTCAAGGAAGCTGGAAAATACCGCCAAGAAGGGAAGCAATATGTTATGCAAGAAGGCGACATAGTGGTATTCATGCACAACACAACAACTGGCAAGAAGAAGTAAACAACACTATTAGATATTGATGAATTATCCAATGAATGACTGAGGTGCTGATGTGCTGATGTGCTGATGTACATGCTATTGGGTTGCAACTATGATTGACCACGAATTGATCTCCACCATCGTTTGTACCAAGCGTTCCGTGCCTCTCGCTCCTTTCGTCTGCGAGCAAGAATTTCTTCAGGTCGTTCTATTCTCTTGGTATTGTCAAAGTCTTTGGACATGACATGGTTCATTCTTTCGACCAAATCATCGTGCTCTTTAGTCATCATGGCTTGCCGTTCCGAGACTGACAACCGACCTTGGGAAGCATCTCGTTCCTTGTTCTTTCCGTCAATCCCGTTTGACACGACCCATACCCCAAGACCACAGAACAAAATCATTGGGGCACCTGCTCGGAACATGTGAAGACTACCCGCGTCTTGTTGTTTCCTCTTTGGCCGCGTTGAGAACGTTCGATTCGCAATTTTTGGTCTCAGAATACATAGCCTGTGTGAACAGTGTGATCTCGTTATGGCGGCAGTAGCAATCATTTTATCGGCTGTACTTCTGCCGATCACAGATGAAGACAGGTGTGAAGAAAAATTACAGTTCTACGGTACAGTATTGTGGGAAAGCAGAAATCTTTCGAATTATCATCACATTGTTGATGATTCAGACATCCGACGCCTTACAGACATCTTGATCCAGACTGGCAATGCTTGCGCACGGACACGGAACAGCTGGAGAACGTGTCGCAGCCAATCACTTTGTTACTGCCGAATACGTTTTCCCCAATTTGCAACTACAAGAAACCTCGAAACCTCAGCGGTTCATGACGTACGTCAGCCACGTGAAAGTACCAATTTCCTGTAGGCTCCACGCCTTTCGCTCATTCCCACTGCTCGCAGAAAAACACTCGACACCTCAGCTTCAACTACAGTACTTGTAGAAGCAGTAATTCCACAATATCTTTACTGTTGGTGGTCATTGCCTTTTAGCATTCCGTCCATCCATTGTAATACCAACACTCAAGCTTGCTTCCACGCTCACTTCTCAAATCCACTTTTTCCAATCGCCATAAAACAAATTCCACAAACGAAACCATGCTAATGACGAAAACAATTCTATCACTTATGGCACTTCTATTTGCTTTGGCGAATGGTCTCGTTGCCCCAGCTACTTCTTCTTCTTCCTCCTCCAACATGATGGCCTCTGCTGCCGCTCTTACCAGAGACAATCTGGTCATGATGCCCGCTACTTTGGAAAAGGAAAAAGTCCGAACTTCCGGACCTGCTGTTTTGGATCGACCAACGACGGACAAGAAGAGTGAAAATCCTAGAAAGGAACACAGCCGCACCGGTGGTGAAACTTGGGAAGTCCGCATCTACAACGATGGCATGAACACTCGCGAGCACGTTGCTCGCTCGTTGGTTCAAGTCACTGGGTTGTCTGAAATGTCGGCTTACCAAACCATGATGCGGGCCCACCAAGATGGAATTGCTACCGTCGGAAAGTGGTGCTTTGAGATTGCAGAACTATATAACGAGGGACTAGCGAAAAACGGAATCATTTCCGACATTGTTCCTGTCGATGAAGAGAGATAATGCTCTCCGGTGGGGGAAAAGATGAAATGTGACTCAGCATTCACAAATATGAAAAACACAGCACGAAAGGCTCTTGTGGAATATTTGGAGCCTTTGGTTTTCATTCCAGTGAATTCTTATTGTCGCGAATGGAAGGATTGGATTGAACTGATTATCACACGTCAGATTTCAATTCAATACCAGAATCGATTGCTAACAGTCAAATCAAAACAAAATGCGTATTCAGAGCGCATTGCTTGTTCATAGAGAAAGAATGTAATTGTTATTATTAGGCAAATATTTATCAGAATGAATGCGAAATGGTTTTTGTTAGATACAGTGATATGAAAATTGGTAATGCCATTATGGCGAAAGATGGCATGATATCGAATATCAAACAGCGGGGGGAGGTCTATTTTGGCGATCTGATCTGTGATCTTGATCTGATGGGCGGGGAAGACAACACTAACGTCTGTCATCGGCTCGTCTTTCAAGCTCCAAAATCACGAAACAAAAAAAAATTATTATCAGCTTGCCTGTAGAGTAAACTTCAAACTGCTGTCTTTGGGTTGACTTGTTGACTCTGTGTTCGACTAATACATTGCAAACAATACCACCAATAGCCTATCAACAGCCTACTTGAAAATATCTTCACTCGAAGCTGGTCAAAATGCGGTTTTCATTTCCACTATCAGCGGTAGCATTCCTGCTCATGCAACCTATTGCATCCGCTATCCACCAGGAGGATGCCGGGGTTTTGGATTTTCTAGTCTCTACTTCGGGCCATTCTGTCACTCAGTTCGTAGATGCGTCTCTGGAAGGAAGCATTGTGACCACAGATGTGCCTTCTGGCTCACCGACTTCGTGTTTCATCGCCAACCGTGCGGTAGAAGATGGCAGCTTGATGTGGCGGCGCAATGTGTGCTCTGCACCTGGAGATGAACAAAATCACGACATTGCTGCCACAGCAGATAATATTTATACAATCGACAATGATGGCTCAGTGCGGGCTTGGACGAAGGAGACTGGTCATTTGATTTGGGATGCTCGAGTGCAACCCTCCATGTCGCCCAAAGTTTGGCCCGTCTCCAAACAAGGCATGCAATTTGTTGTGGCTGCATCGAACGAAGAAGTTTCTATTTTTCATGCCGAATCTGGAAAGCTCTTTGACGATAGAATTAATGTAGCCAAAGTAGCGGGATCGGCCAAAGCGGGAGAGAGTCTAGCTTGGTTGGTTGCTCTTCCTGATACAATGGATTCGGGAAAGATCCAATCAATTTTTAGTTTCGTCAAGGAAGATGGTACCTCCAGCAAAATGATTATGGTAGAGCTAGAGGTCGGAAATGATACCATTGTTAGTCAGAAGTCTTTGGGACATGCCAAGGGAGCAATCATTGCCTCTTCGGTGAAACTCCAAAAGGTCCATGACTCGTGGCAGGCAGTCGCCGTGACTACAGACGGAAATCTTGTTTACTTTGGAGTGGAGGGTTCCAACTTTGCAAAGACTCTAAGCGCATCCGAATTGATGCCAGAATGGGAGGTTGTCTCAGCTGTCCGCTCCACTGAAGTTCCATCCATTATCAGTGTTCAATCAGGTGATCAATCGGCACTCTTCAACGTAGATGGCTCTGGAGGATTGACACCTTTTGAAATTGAGGGAGCTTCTTTTACTGCCATGGCACAATGTTACGAAGCACAACTTGATATTGGACTCACAGCAGATTCGCTCCGTGTCTATCGCGATGGAAAGCCAATGACTTTGGAAGGTGATTTGTTTGTCCCAGATGGCGATGTTATCGAGCAGCTTTCGATTGTTTCGTGCTCCGCAGACAAGGCATCTGCTCTCTTGAGCACTGCGAGTGGGACTACCACCATGCTTGGATTTGAACTGAAGGGGTCGTCCGTGGATATCAAGATTGGATGGTCCACTGAGGAAGGTCTCGGTAGTATTTCGTCCGCCGTGATGCTAGATGCAAGTCACCTAGGATCAGATGACTTGGTTGAGGAAGAAGCAGCCATCATGGAAAAACTCTCTTTACCTTCTCGTCTATCTGGTCAGGTGAGCAGCATTCTGTCCTTTGGCGGCAATGGAAACAACCGTCGGGACCACAATTTTGGATTCGTCAAGGTAGCAGCTCTCTTGTCGCAAAAGGCAGACCGTATTTGGGGCCTCAGCACATCTGGGGAGGATCGTGGAATGGTGCGATGGTCCTTGGACCTTCCGAAGAGTGCCGAATGGCATACAATGGTTCATGGAACAACAAATTCCAACAGTGCTATCCATGGTATCAATGGTGGAACGCACAGTCGAGAAATTTTGGTGCTCTCTGCTTTGGAGGGTTCTGTGGAATGGATGTGCATTGATGGAACCACTGGTGCTGTCAATGCCCAGGATACAGTTTCCATACCATCTCCAGTAGTTCAAGTGATTCCCATGTACGGTGGAGCTGGCGGATGCCGACAAGCATCTCTCCTACTGCATGATGACAAGACATTGACTCCAGTTCCAAGTGATGGTGCCACAATGGATCTAGTTGGGGAACAGTTGCAGAAGAGCCCCAATGGGTTGTTTACTCACTTTGTGGACAAAAAAGCCTCACGAGTGGTGTCGTACCAAGTCATTGAGGGGTCCAACAATGCACTAGGATCAATTCAAGTCGGACAAGCTACGTTTGCTGGAGAGAAGATCGTGAAGGTTGGCTACCCAACCCGTGATGAGATTGTTCAATCCATGTCGTCTGTCTTGGGAGACGACTCCCTATTGCTCAAATACATCAACCCACACATAGCGGTGGTTGTGACCGTGTCTGAAGCTAAAGAACAGACACCCACGGAGATTGCTACCACAATCCAGAAGGAGGAAACCAAGAAGAAAGGACGAAAACCAGCTGGTGCTGGTAGTGCTGCCGAGCAAACTGCTCCATCCATTGTTCCAAATATGTTCATCAATGTTGTCGATACAGTTTCGGGTCGAGTGGTGCACCGAGCAGGCCATTCCAATGTGGATCCTTCGAGAAAAGTGACAACCCTCATATCAGAGAATTGGATTGTATATTCGTTTGTTAATTCGGTGACGAGAAGAACGGAACTGGGTGTCCTAACCCTACATGAGGGTATAATCGACAAGAAAGGAATGACCATGTTCACGTCTCCACAACAAACCACTTCGTTCTCGAGTTTTGACGCAAGAGAGTCGAAGCCTGTCGTGTTGGCCAAGCTCTACATTTACCCGAGTGCTATCACGGCATTGGGTGCTACTGCTACGCGTGGAGGAATCAGTAACAGGAAGATATTGATTGCAAGTACCGATGGACGGGTCACTGCAATCGACAGATCGATGATTGAAACAAGACGACCCATGGGTGAAGCTAAAGAGACAGAAAAGAAGGAAGGTCTAGTGCCGTAAGTTTTGCAATATTGTTTCTATATTGCTCTTGTTTTCTCTAACCAATGAATTCAAATTAAAAATCTGCCAGGTACCGAGAACTTGTTCCAGAGGTTTCACTTTTTGCTCTATCGTACAATCAAACTGTGGAATCCCCAAGTTCCATTATCTCCACGCACACATCCCTCGAGTCTCAGTCCTTGGTGATGGCGTTTGGTGGTCCAGATCTTTTCTTTACGAGAACGTCTCCATCCAGAGGTTTCGATTTGCTGCCTGACACTTTCAGCCGCGTCTTGGTTTTTATTGTCACCACTGGGCTGATAGTTGTCCTTTTCGTTGTGAAGAATATAGGATCAAAGAAAGCATTGAAACAAGGCTGGCTATAAGCCAGATATGAATAGACGTAACAGTAGATTATAATGCTACTAGTAATCATCGTCGTTTTTGTTTGTTGGGCGTTGGTGCAGTTTTCGGTCCCAGGATCTTGTCAACGTCCAAGTTTATTTCAACTTTGTCATCTTCTTGTAGTAATTTCTCGCGGTATTCTTCCGCAGCATCGATACCAGCCTCTCTCATGGCTCTTGCATCGTCCTCTTTATCATTCGAGTACAGCGTACATTTCCCGCATGACTGGTGTTTGCAGTGTGGAGTGTTACAAAAGTGTGAGTAGGGATCATGGTTTGGTAGTGGTTGGCGACAAATATAGCACATTTTTAGACCACAGCGACAAGTCATCTTGTTGCATCCATCAGATTTTACAAAGGAAGTGTGGCACTTGGGACAGGTCCTGATCTTAGCACTGCTGATGGCCTCTTCAATCTTCAACCTGCCTTCATCTTCTCTCTTTTGTTTTACCACCTCGTCGCACTTGAGTGGAATATGAGGTGGTTTTCTACATTTTCGGCAAGAGGCAAATTTGCAACCTTCGATAGGGCATTGGAATATCATCTGCGTCTCGGGCACGTCAGCTTGGAAACCACATTTCGGACAAGTGCTGCAACATTATCAAATGGAAAAGTCAGTATTTCGCTAGTACAAGAAGTCGTAAATAAGCTCCGAACATACCACAGGGATTGAATAAGCCCAGCCTGCTCCATAACAGCCCTGAACTGAAGTTCATTATACTTTTCAAGAGTCTTCTTCGGTAACGCTTTCAACAGGTGGTCATCTTGAAATTGTGATTGACAGCCACTAGAGTGGCAACATAAGAGCGCTGAAGAAGGCTTTTTTGTCACATGATTGGTGCCCAAGCTGCCATTTCCAAAGATTTGGTTCTCGGCATATCCCTTGATGCAGTCAATGCAAAATAAATGCCCTTCGTCCATGCAAGCTACCATTTCCTCAATCGCGACCTGGTCAAAACAGCAGGAACATTCCAGTGCAGTTCCTGTAACTTGCGACTTTTTCCGAGCCTCACTTCTTTGACGACGCACCAGGATAGTGTCTACCCATTCTTTGTATCGAAGATTGTAGCTTCTGATTTCTTCTTGAAGAATCGGTTCTGATATGTTTGGACTTTTCCTGTTTCGACGCGGTTGCTGAAGAACGTGTTTAGCACCAATTCTTCTTGTTTGCCTTGGTGATGATAGTTTGTTTGCCTTGGCTTCACTGATCAAAAGGTACTGCTTGTATTCTACTTCCTCCGAAGAGGCCTTGTTCTCCTCCTTCCCTGATAGCGCATTTTCAATTTGCCGGCGAACGAGTGAGTAGTGGCCCTTGTGATCCTTCAACCAGGAATTAATTGAATCATGACGTATAAAGGGAAATTCAAATTCCAGAACGTTCGAGGCCTGTTGCAAGTATTCAGCACTGGGTTCGAATGAGGATTTTGAAAAGAAATCGAGTTTTGGGTTTGAATTTAGGTTGCTCTTCAATGTCAACGACAATGATCCAGCTGCCACACTACCCGGATCTTTACTTTTTGGATAACCTTTCTCTACAAGGATGGACAAAACCATCTCCACGTTGTCCCTTTGTTCAAACAACAGTTTTTGAGCGTGAACTAGATCAACATCTGGAATCACTTCATGAACTCTGTTCAGGGGCGTTTTTAGAGCTTCCTTTACTTGGCAAACTTCAATCTCATCGCTTACCCGAAACTTCGCCGCTGGTTTGACGTCTAAGCTTGAGCTGACACGTGCTTCTGGCCGTGGCCGCTTCCTCTTTCGCCGAAGGCTTGGATTGTTGTTTTGTTCATCGTCGCTTTCTACCAAATATACGACTGATGATGCTGAAGCCAATGGTTTTGCTTTTGCTACTCCAGGAATGGCTGAAATACCATCGATATCGATGATTGCATTCTCACTGTCATCTCGAGATATGTCGCACAGATCAATCACCTCCATGGTTCAGTGCGAATGGTTTTCTGGGGACTTCTCCTTGGCTACGATTTGTAACAGTCCTGCATATTTGAATATTGATGAACGCGCCATACCGGAAAGACTTTTTGGGCAATAAAGACTATTTCAGGCGAAAACTAGGAGCTAATTCAGGAGCTATTCTAGCACGAGTATTGGCGTGTCTCTGCAGTTGGCGACAGCGGATTGTGACTTCCGTATGTTTGCTTTCCAGAAATCAAAGAGGAGAATTCATTTGTTGTTCCGTTTGCCTTGTCCGATGTTGAATAACGGCCAGGTCGAGCAGTAAAGGAGGGACCCCAATTATTCATCCAAGTGGAATTCAGCATATGGGAAGCAACTGGCTGAGGAGTCCTCGTGTTGACATCTAAATTTTTTGAATCATCCTCTTGTGCGGCTAAAGCTGACAGGTTCAAATACGAGGTGGACAAGGTTTTGCGTTTTTGAACCATACCGGCAATGATGGACTTGCTGTTCAGCACACCATCATTATGAAGATCAAGCTTGCGAAATGCAGCAAACGTATGCTTTATATCTTCTTCAGCCACTTTCCCAAGCCGAACCAACATCGCCAAGCAAAACATCTCCCGAGTGCACTCATCAAGACCTGCACGGTGACTGGTTGCCAGCTTAAGACGCTTGATTAGAGGCCCAGTCGCCAATTCGCGCAAAGCGGCATCATCCAAAGAGTCCCCAAACTTGTTTTGCCACGACAATCCATGTTAGCGCAATGCTGTCAATTATTCACTAGCGTGTTTGATGTGGACATACCTGATTTAGGACAGCCATCTCTGTTCGCCGACGTCGTAACTCCAAAGGAATCATACTGATCATTGACATATTATTCAAGAGAATAGTACCGGCAACAAGAATGTATACCGTCGCAAAAAGTTTGCCACCCTTTGTGTGCGGAACGATGTCACCGTAACCGACTAAGAAAAAAGAGAGCGTTAGCAGTTGGTTTCAACAGCCAACTGGATTCAAAGTACACATACCTGTAGTGAGTAGTACAGTTGTAAAGTACCAACCTGGAATGACAAAGCTCAAATGTTAGGCTTTAGGTAGTGATGGAAGGCGTAGCGATTGACAGAAAACTTACTGTCAACAAAAGAGAAGCCTTCAATGAAGTAGAATCCCATACAGCCGAATGCAATAATTACCATCGAGTTAATCAGGGCCTCCCGCAGTGTGAGGAACACATATTTCGCATTCTTGACACTGCTATACTTGCCTTCAAGGGCAATATCATTGCTTTCTTCCGACGCGCTCGATTCTTCAGAATCCGAAAAGTCACCGTCCGATGCGTAATTGTTGAATGCCTCTGCACCCCATGATGTGTGAACTGGGGGTGACGGCATTCGTTTATCTCCGATGCCATGAGTGGTGGCACTGTACCTTCTTGGAGGCACTGGGGTTTCACGCAGAGAAAATTGAAGTTTGCCGCTTCCAATGTCGATGGATGAGTGTCTTGTGTGGCTCTGCCGGCCAAGAATAGCTCTCGTTCCGGGAGATCTAGCCACTACTTTGTTGCCGTCCAATACTGTCTCTTTCGCTGATGGATCTGGCTGGAGCGGAGAATTCTTGACGGAATCCCAATTTGTTGGAGATCTGTTTTCGTCGCTATCACTCTTTGGAGATCTCCTATAACGTTCGCTTGTGTGAGGCTGAGTCGTTTCAAAAATTGAAGGTCGTGCCACTGGACCTGTATGGCTTCCCCTTCTGAAGTTCTGATGCCGATGCTTCGCCTTTTTCGTGCTCGGTTCTATTAAAGGACGTTCCGACTGAAAGTCTCGTGCTTGGGGCAAATTATCACGCTGCAATGCATGAACATTTTTCCGAAATTCTTTTGCTCGATGTTGAGCTGCATCTTTGATATTCTGAATTCTGGTACAATTCGGACAAGCTTTAATCCGATTTGCCCTAGCCAATCGACTGGAACTTTCGTCGAGCATCCCAGCAATGTAAGATCCTAACAACAAACCGATGCAAGCGACTCCAAAATAAATGAAAATTGAGCACATTACTTTGGCACTGTCAGTTGTTGGAACAAAATCTCCCAAGCCAGCAGTTGTAAGGGTGATCACTGTTTCCACAGGAAGAGTGAGATTGGATTGGGGGATAATGCAACTACGGATCAATCATTCCTTACCTGCAAAATAGAAGCAATCCAGTCTTCCCCATCCTTCTTGTAGACCAAAAATATACAACGCAGCAACAACATAAATTGCAAAATACAACGCAATATACCCAGACGGGCTTTCAAACTGTCTTGGAGCGCTGGAAACAGTAAAGAATTCCCTTTGACGCGTTTTGCAACTGGGACAAACAAAGGTGGGATGACTCTTTTCGCTCGAAGCAGCACTGATCTGTGGTAGGAAACTCCGTCTGTCAGCTCTTTCAGCTTTCTTCGTTTCAACATTTTTTGCAAACGGTGACAACCCAGGTTGTAACATGGGACTTTCAAAACGTACTGCTCGTAGCCTGGCAGTGACAGAGGCAGAGGTTTCAGATTCCGAATCATTTTTCACTACAGCATCCCACTGGGAATCAAGAGACTTTCGATGCAACGAAAGGGGAGTATCACCACTGCAATCAGGGGGACCAAATACTGCAGTCCCAGAAGCCGAATGCGGATCAGAGCGGGGACTATGATTCCGTACACTCTGAAAACTGTTCCGGCTATCTATGATCGGGGTTGGACTATTCCACCAAGGTGGAAAAGCTGGACTGGCTGGACTTTCCCCACGACCAAAACGGAATCCTTGATCGTAAAACTCTCGACTGAACGAATGAGAGTGCCTGCGATTGTCGTTTCGTTCTGACCCAGGGTAGTATCCTGAAACATTTGAGGCTGTGCTTGGGGTGTCATGTGTGGTGAATCGTTTGTTGACACCTGCTTCCGGCTGAGTATAGAAGTTTGAGATACTGGCAGCTCGATCTTGCATTTCATCGATGAATGCACGGTCTCGAAACTGCTGCGGAGACATAGAAGTATTTGACGAGTCGTCATATTCATGTGCGCTGTATCTCTTTCGTCCCCTTGAGTCTCTCCGAAAACGCCGAGACTGTCGTCTGCTCTCTTCTTGTTCCGTTTGCCCGACCGAAAACCTTGAGAACTGATTGGCTTCTCCAGTCAAATCTGATCGCACTTCAGAATTCTTCACAGCATCTGAAAAATTATCCAAAGGAGGGACACTCCGAACGTTCTTCTGCCCATTGTCGCCTCCTGTTTCAAAACTGTCTTCATTATCCATGAATTCATTGTAGCTCACCAGCTCAGATGGTAGAGGAATGTTGTCCTGCTCCATACCCTTCCACTCGGTACTACCTGTAGAAAGAGCGACGGCAGCAGTGTCGCCGCTCCTCTGCCGGCGATGACTTCCACTTCCTTGTTTTCCACTCCTCGTTCTACGATGTCGATCTCCTTTCGGTTTTGTTTGCAGTGCTGTCATTGGACTTGGAAGGATAGGGCTTGTGGTTTCGTCTCCAAAGAACCATTCCGAAGAATCGTCCAAATTGTTAAGTATCGCATTCCCTTCAAAACTCTCGCCTTCAGATGCTGATAAAACCATATTCACCGAAGTATCTGCAAAGTTTGCTTGCTGCGAATTTGAAGATAGTATTGGAACGGAGAGCATGGACACAACCTCTAAATTGTTTTCCTGAATGGCAGTGTTGCCACCCAATGTATTTAGGTGCTGTGGCTGTGGCTGTGGCTGCGTATTCCATGATTGATCCATTCCACGAGTACCAGACACTCCATTGGAGATTCTTCCAGCTCCATTTGACCGCTGTTGCTTGCTTGGACCCGCAGCTTCTTGTCGTTGTTGATCGCTTGAAGCAGGTGGAACTGAATCTGATCTATTATGGTTCCCATTGTCAGTAGATTGATGTTTTGAGCTTGGATCTGTCTCTCCCTTCCGCCGAGGATCAAAATCGATATGAACTTGTCTATCACCCAGATGCCGACTCTCCCACGAACTTAAACTAGTGTTTCCTCCTGGAGAATGAGGGGCTGCATCCAATAACCTAGCAGGTGGTAAGGGTGCAGGGGGAAGGCAATCTGGATCACCGCTGCTAATGCTCGCGAAAGGTGACAGAACACCACCATGCTGCTCCGAAGAATCTGCTTCGCTCGTTGACGGCTCACTCATGAACAGATTGCCACTATCTTCACCAGTGGATTTGTCGTCATGACCATGAGCACTGGACCATCTTCTGGGAACTTGCTGAAAGTAGTCTTGCTTAACGTATTGCAGTTTGTCGTCGTCTGGTGAGTCTGCCATTTCTCTTTACCTTTTTTATTTACCCTCCCGTTGATCTATTACTAATTCTCTATGAAACAATTTCCCGCGGCTGTTGCAACAATTGCCGAGTCTATTTACAGTTGCGTGTCGTGTTCTCTACACGGTTCTATCAGGCTTCCGAAGACGACGTTTATCTCAACTTTTTCACGGCCGGATAATTGATAGAAACTTTTGGATGTAGAAGAGAGTCCTCGTCGAAGGACCTACGATGTTCCTGATATCGTATTTGTGTTTGGCTTGATTTTGTATTTGCAGTGACAGACTGGATTCGCGGTCAACAGGCCGTGGATGGATCTGTGTCAAAAACTTCATTCGAACACGTGCCGGCGCGCACCTTTGCATTTGTTCGTGGTAAAATCTCCGACCCACAAAATCGTTGTCAACGATCAAAACATATTTTATCAAAATTTGAGTTGAAGTCCAGTGAGAGAAATAGATCGTTTTATCATCTAAGATACTATTGCACAGATCGAGTGAGATATGAAGGGCTTAGTATATTCATAGGTTATGTCTTGATTCAAGATCCTGTTCACTCAAATACTCCAGCTTCGTAAATTTCACCTTTCGAGTTCTTCTTGTTCTTTGGCAAATTTGGGAATTTCCGAATACCACTGGTATCGTCGTCAGCTTCGATCATTCTTCTCGTTAGGAGCAATCTCCTGAGGTCAGTATGATCATGTGAAATACTGGAAGTGACTTCTTTCCACTCGCGAGCGACTTCTGAGCGCTCACGGATAATATCTTCAATCATCTTCATTGGATCAACGAAGGAGATATCGTCAGTACTTGTTCGTCTTGCTACTGGTGGCGATTCAATCAATTGCTTCAAAAAATCATCGGCTCGTCCATAGGCTTGGCCATGACCATCAAAAAACTCACTAACACGATCAGTGTAAAATTCCATCAACCAATCAAAGTTATCTTCGTCTTCCATCAGCGAATAATCTCGAAGCACCCGATGGATACTTTCTTGGGTAGAGAGTAATAGGAGCAAGTCAAAGTTCGATCTTCGGAAGGGCGATGAATCGCGATCTTGAGTCCCCAACGAATTCGTAAGGAAGAATAGTGCACTGGAGTTGAAGGAAGACTTGACTGAGTCCTCATGGTCTTCAATATGTTCTTCCTCTTGCTCTCGAGAGTCCATCTGCTGGTCCAAATATGAGGTTAGAATTTCATCGTTCGTCAGAAAAAGAGTTTCTAGATCTGTGGCCCATTCCTTTGATATCTGCTCTCGAACAGAGATTATACGGTTCACCAACGACGCTGGGTCAATATCAATCTCATATCCAACAGATTTCTGCAACGACATGACGGGTCACAAAGTAATCGTGAGATTCATGCACATCTTTCTTGAACATACGGTAGCACTACCAACGTGGCGACTTACTTCTTCGAGGTATGGATTTTCTTCTGCTGCTTTCTCCTTTTTCTCAGTTGGCAGTTCTGCATTCCCATTGCTCAAACCTTCCAGGTAGTTGGCGCTGCTGGCCCTTAGTTTAGGGGTCGTGCATGGTTTTGGTTTGGATGGTACCTTTGGAGTTGACGACTCTTCCTTGGAAGGTTCATCGTCTGGCTGGCTTCCACCAAGATTGTCCAAATAAGATCCAATGCGAAAACCACGAACTTTTTGTGTTGATTTCTGTTCGTCCTTCTTCTTGGCTGAAGACGACGACGAAGAAGAGGTCTTCTGAAAGCAGTCATCGAGCTGTTTCTTCTGGCTGAGGTTATCTAGGTATCCAGCTTTGTTCGACCATCCCCGACGACGATTCTGGCTTGCCGTTGGACTTGTTTCGACGACGACAACTTCCGAGTCCATGGTGATGAGTTCAAGAAATGGGGAATCCCAACCAGGGTACTTTGTGATGTTGAGCGCCCCAGTTCCATGGAAATTGTCAAGGTTCTTGAAATCGAATACTTTCTGAAAGATTGGATGGGAAAGGGTGAGCTTCTTATCGGCATTTTTTCAGCAGCATTTTACACTCTTCATAACATACCTCAAGCCATTTTGCTGTGTGGACATCTCGAACGCTGTTTAGAAGAAAAACAAAGGATTGTAAAGACCTCTGTGTCAACAGATTCCTAATATCAGTCCTCTCTTTATTACGCATGAAAGGATCATGACCGTGGTCATCATTGTGCTGATAGGGATCGTATGAATGGATTGCAATAGACCGTATCTTTCCTTGACTTCTTGGAACAAAGCTAAGAACAGATCCAACAAGATTGCCAATGGCAACAAGTTGGAGAATGTATATTTGATGGAAGGCTGATGTCTTCATGGTGCATTCGTTCTACAATGAAAAACGATTCTTTGGAGAGGTTGATGATTCAGATGATTCTTGTGGTCAAGGGTGATGTCTACTGTCAACTTCAGAATTCTGAAACGCGAATGTTTTGAAGTGGGTCTTGGCGTCTTTGGTAACGCAAAACGCATCGCGCGCCTCCAAATTCTATAGATAAAGTATGTCGTCTTTATGTCCTCAGAATTTTTGTTTTGTTGCATGCTGGCCAGAATTTTTGGATGCTTCGCCTTTTCTCGTACCATCAAAATAGGTCGGATTACTCGTTCAGTGAGTGTCAACCAGAACGCAGAACCAACACAATGAATGGTCCTGTACCGTATTGTACCATTAGCTACCATGGTCCAAGCAGCATCAAAAGCTGACTGACTCCTCACCCGAGTAAGGCGCTCATCACAATGGACAGGCAGATCTTTCTTTCTCAATTTCTGTCACGTGTTTCTCAACTCGATCCAAAAAGGCCATTGCTGATTCCAAATTTCTGTTCATCAATACAGTGTTCTTGCTATTCTTTCGCTTTTCAAAGGTTTCGGGCGTAGCTGATTTCCAAAACCGTCCAAGTAGAAAGCGGAAGTAGTCAGCACAAGCAAGTCGGTAATGGCGAAGGGCAACGTCTTTTGGATATGCCTTGTCTGGCCCCAATTGCATATTGAGTTGGTCTAGGTAGTGATCGAACAGCTCTTCTTCACCTCCCTTCGCCAAATCTTCCGTCTTTATCGCATGATGGATGTGCATTGCAACATCGCTCATTCCCAAACCAACTCCAGTGCTAGCAAAGTCAACTAAGATGACACCACGAGCCATACTTTCCCGTGGTAGGAAGCAATTCATTGCCTTGAAATCACCATGCGAAAGAGTCGCATACCTATCTGTTGGTCCTGGAGAGACTTCGTCACTAATGTACTCTGCAAGATCCTTGATTCGTTTCCCAATGTCAGAACATCGATCAAATAGAGCTGGATCAGACTCCCCAAAGTTGCTCCGAAAGTGCTCCCAAGATTGTTCCATACCAGCCAACTCCTTTACATTTCTCGTCTTGAGATGATAGCTTCCACGCGATAACCACTTGTCAGCTTTTGCCAGAAGTTCTTTATCTTCCCATGCAGCAGCATGTAGTCCAGCCACTGCAGAGAGAGTCGCCTTTGCTTGTTCCAATGTAATTGGAGAATCTTGATAGTAGGGATTGCCAATTGCCTCCATAATAATGTGCCCTCCTTTCCCTTCTACAATCCAGTTTTCTGGCTCAGGTTTACTTTGATCTGTTGCCTTTTCATCCTCATCAATTAATCCTTTCAAGTCAAAATCAGCTAGTAAGATGTCCGGTGTCGCATGAAAGCCTCGTTCTTTTAGATCTGGGAGCAGCTTTTTGTAGAACAAGACTTCAGTTCGTAGATACATCAAGGTTCGTCGAAAATCAGGCCAACTCTTGGAAGCATATGTACTTGCGTCTACTTTCTTGATGAATACATCATTGATGCCAACATGATCTTCTTCTTCGAACTGAACTCGAAATCCTTCTGCGTTTGCTTGAGTGACCGAGGAAAGTGTATCGTATGCGGATGCGGCAGGAAATACCTGTCTCAAAATGGGAAGGAGTTCGTGCATGGTTGGAAAGCAATCCACGGAGGAAAAGGGTGCGAGTACAGTTCCACCTGTGTAACCAACAGCGCGTTGTCAAAAGTTGGGTTTTGTGACGCAAACGCACTAAAGCGCGCCACGTGACTGACTCAGTCAACAACAAAAACAAAAAATGCAAAAACACAAGAATCGAAACCACGATGATGAATGGGTCAAACCTTGTAAGAGCACTGGTTTCGTGGCTGATACTACTGGTCTGTGTAGAAGGCTTTTCAAAGAGTACCGTTCAGTCGCAGTCTTCCCGCGTGGAAACAAGAAGGAATCTCTTCAATCTGCTGGAAAAGACTCAACCATCCTCGACCGAAAATGGACTTGATCCAGAGTATCCGTGGTCCTTTACAGGGAGACTGTGGTTTCGACCTGCACTTACCCGAGTGCCCTCTGGACCAAATGATCCTAGGCCCCCATCATCCGTTACTATATTGAATCTGTTTGGTTGGACCCTGGGAGGAACAGTTGCATTGGAATATGATGAGTCACCGGTCGGGCCATACAAAGAATACGTCACAATGGGAGCTGCTGTATTCAAACGTGGTGCGATTGGTCAGTGGGGATCAAAATTGTTTGTCAGTACCCAACCTGCGGAGGATGTTTGTCGGAAGACTTGGAGTGTTCCTGCAGCACTAGCTAACATCGATTTCGGTGAGGACTCCACCGATTCTTTGACGGTACAATCTGCACCTGGCATTCGAGCGCCGGAGAAACAAAACATTAGACTCTCTGGATGGAAGAATGCGAGAATATTAGGTGAAAATCCGACTTCGTCAAAGCGCTTTCCTGCGCAGGGTTTGCCTGTACTATGGACTCCAAGCATTAAAGCTCTTTGGACACCATTCGTTCCCTTACCGCTCACCAAGAGTGACACTTCCAAACTGCCGCTCCATCGGCTCCGGCTATCTGCTAGCGCCATTCGCCTAACTATATGCGCACAAAAGCCATCAGACGGTCTAGGGATTCCAATTCCTATAGGTCTTCTGGTTGACAATGTACTCATCGAGATATCAAGGCAACAAGAGGAACCGCTTTAAAATATGTATTACATTTCCAGTAACAATACCGGTATAGACGAACCAATTCCGTCCACCAGTCCAAAACGGACATTTTGAATGCTGGGTTTCTTTACGGACACAATAATCTTCAATTGTCCGACATCGTTCTGTGCGTCATCAGTGCCCTACCATATCTGCGCCCTCCAACTGGCCCTCAGCTTTCGATTTCTGAACGACAACGAGCATCAAGCTGAAGCATCCTAACTGAAGCATTTCAAACTGCGTCTTATTTCTACGGTTCCGCTTGAAATAAATTCCTCGCAGCTTTGAATCTCAGAAACAGCTCACAGTCCTTCTCCGATATTGACTGTGAACAACAATACTCAATTTTCTATTACTCGACAACATACTGATAGATGAAGTTGTCGGCACCAATATCCCTGTGTTTGGGAGTAGTAGTGTTTTCTACAGCTGCCTTCCAACCGTCTTTTTCATTCACCCCGTCACAAAGGGCACCAAGAACTAAGCTCTCTCCAGTTGTTCTGCATCAGGAAGGAAAGGGATCCTTTTCGTTGGCCAACTTATTTGGAGAAAGTGGAAGTGCAGGACCATCACTTCGAGGCAGCAAGAATTTGGAACCTCACCCGAGTGTTCGATCGCACATTTCGCCTCTGAACAGACTTGGGCCCGATGAAAAGAAAGAAGTAAAGTCAGAACCACTTCCATTCCACTCAAATGTCAAATCTGGAACCCTTCCCAATGGGCTTCCATATGTCATCTTGCCCAACAAAAGTCCTCCTGGCCGTTTCGAAGCACATTTGCAGGTTTTTTCTGGCTCTGGTATGTCCCTTGAGTGCAAGAAGATCAGTGATCCTTACGAATTATATGCTAATATTGTCTCTTCGCTTTAGCTGATGAACTGGAGTCACAACAGGGTATTGCACACTTGACTGAACACGTTGCATATATGGGATCTCGCAAACGTGAACTTTTGTTTGGAACTGGGTCACAAACCAATGCTTACACTGATTTTCATCACACTGTGTTTTACGCCATCTGTCCAAACACAACTCCGCGCACTAACATTCCAATGCTGCCCATGGCTTTGGATGCTCTTGTTGATGTTTTGGAGGCCCGCGTTGAGAGTTCTCGATTGGAAAAGGAAAGAGCAGCTGTCTTATCAGAAATGACAATGGTGAATACAATCGAATACCGTGTGGAATGTCAAATTCTGTCGACCTTGCATCGTGAGAACCGCCTAGCTAAGCGATTCCCAATCGGAAAAGAGTCTCTTATCCGAAGCTGGCAAACCGACGATGTCAAATCTTGGCATCGAACTCACTACCGCCCCGATAATGTTCTCTTGTACTTGGTTGGAGACGTTGATACCGAGGAGGCCGAGAGGGTTATCGCTGAAAAGTTTGGACGATTGAGTGCGGAAAAGCAAGGGGCGGATATTAAGATCCCCGAGATTAAAGAACAAGCAAAGGATCTTGCTGATGCTGTAGTTGGCGGAACCGTCAAGGCTGCAGGTAGTTGGCACTACCCTCCAGTCAGACACGACTGGAATATTGCCAAGGACATGGATGTTGATGGAAAGCTTATCATTCCAAAGGACCAGCTTGAATATGATATCAATCTTCAGAATTCCTACCCACTTGACGAAACTGTTTCTTTCTTGCAAACTGAGGAGGTGGCTCCTGGAAAAAAGATCAGACCACACATTTTTCGCCATGAGCTGTTGCAATCGTTCTCTATGCACCTGTTTGCAAAGCGCCCTGTCGAACCCATTATCGATCTTGATTCATTCCGCAAGAGTTTGGCACGCCGTGTTGCTCTTGCAGCACTTCAGATTCGTCTAAATGTTGGAGGACGTAGTGATGATCCTGCATTTACATTTGTTGAATTCAACCAATTAGACTCTGCCCGGGAAGGTTGCGCAGTCTGTAGTCTGGATCTGACAGCCGAGCCCCACAAGTGGAAAGAAGCAATCTGTAAGTCTCTTTCCGAGATCAGAAAGCTTGGTGTACATGGGGTCACGATGGGTGAAATGGAGCGTTATGCATCCTCTCTGATGACTGATGCTGAACAACTTGCGGCACAAGGTGACCGTATCGAGCACGGAGATCAGCTTTCGTACCTTATGGAAACAGTCGCAAATGGACACACTTTTATGTCCCCAGAACAGTCATACCTCATGACTGCCAAGGCTCTATCTTCCTTGACCCTCGAAGACGTCAATAGCGCAGCTGCAGAGCTATGTTCTCATGTTATGAGCTTTAAGGAAGGAGAGGATCCAGTTGATGGTAGCGTTGTTGCAGTCGCCTGTTTGCCAAAGGGACTCGAAAAGGATGATCCAGCTTATTGCGATGAGGATTCTTTGGTGAAGGCAATCTATGAAGCATGTCAACTAGAAGTCGAGCCAGAGGAAGATGTTGTCGTTCCATTTACATTGGTTCCAGAAGACGAATTGGTCAAAGCTATGGAGGAAAATCCCCCAGACTGGCTTGGAGGTCAATTCAGTGATGGTACCCCCAACACTGCACCAGACACCATCACTCGTCCATTCACGCTTCGACGACTAGGCAACGGCATCCGTATTGGAGTCAATCAAAATCCTCACGAGTCGCAACGTGGACACCTACGTCTGGTTGCCCCAGGTGGCCGTGATGCCGAAAAACGTCTTGGTTTCAAAAAGGGTTCCATGGCAATCGGTGCCCGCACCATGCAAGAGGGAGGAGCATTTGGTCCATGGACGCGTGAGCAAGTCGAACTCTTCTGCGTTGACCATCTGCTAATGGTCGAAATCACCTGTAACGAAGAATCCATCACTGTTGACTTTGTCTTCCCTACCACGAATGTTGGAAACGTTGGTTTCGGAGACGATGTGCAATTGGGCATTACCGGAACTGAATCTGTCATGCAAGTTGTCAGAGAAATTATTGTTGGATTCAAGTGGGAAGAAGACGCTCTTGGCCGCAGTAAGTCCAGCTTCCGCGGAACTCACGAGTCCATGCTGAAGAACCTTGAAAATCTCAGTACCGAAAAGATTATGGAGGCTATGACCGCAGACGATGAAAGGTATGTGCAAATTGTGTTTTCTTTCTGTTTTGCCACTATGCGCCCTCATCTCTCACCCTTAAATGTAGATTCCTTTCCATTGAGGTCGATGAGGTCAATGCTATTACTTTGGACGAGGCCAAAACAGCTGTCATGTCGCAAATGTCGCCAGAAAACCTTGAAATTTCAATTTCTGGAGACTTCGATGTTGCTGAGGTTTTGGAGATGATTTATAAATACATTGGTACTATCCCTGCCGATGCCAACAAGGAGTATTTGGTAGAGGAAGTTCCTGCTGATGTCAAGGGTGCCGTTGTCAGCAGTGTACCGAGCCTCCCACTTCCAGGTAAATTTGTTGAATTGGAGCTCCCTGATTCGGATCCACGAGCAGTGGCATATGTTTCCGGTTCTGCACCAAATGCTTGGGGATACCTTGCCGATGGAAGAACTGTGTCGGAGATCATTTTGGAAAAGGACAAACGCGCATCGGAGTATGATTTGGGTCGACGAAAGCACCCACTCTTTGCCCGAATCGCATTGCTATTGTTGTCCGAAATCTTCAACCGTCGACTCTTTAGCAACGTACGAGAACGGAAGCAATTGACGTATGATGCCAACTTTTCTTTTACCGGATTTGAGCGACTTATGGGCGGATGGTTCTTGGTGACCGTCACGGCTTCCAAGGAGAATGCACAAAAGGCTTTGGAAGCCTGCAAAGAAACCTTGCACAACTTGCGTAAGACCAACCCCATTACCCCGGACAATGCCGAATCCGCCAAGCGAGTAGTCCTGAACCGACACGAATTCTCCCTCCGCACCACCCAATACTGGACTGAGCAAATGTCGGGACTTCAAGAGGAATCAGTTCCACTGAAGGGTCCACTGTCCTTCACGGATTTCCAGGCAGTGGTCGAAGCCATCACCGTTAAGGATCTACAGTTGGTTTTGGAAACAATGGGACTCGATGACAATGAACTGTACACAGCCATTGGAAAGACTGTCAAGCCAGACGGGGTAGAAGAACCAGAAGAAGAGCTGGTTCGTCAAGCTCCTGTCATTGGAATGAGAAGAGGTGGGGCACTCACAGGCTAAGCAAAGAAACCTCAAGAAGATCTAGGTTAATATTTTAGAAAGTAGAAATCCTATTACCTTGATCTAGCATGTCATGTGTGCAAGTAGTATAAATTGATGCTCAGTTTCTCTGATATTGAACTTATAGGAACATAGCGATTCCACTGACGACAGTGGCACCTCCAATCAAAGCCCAAGATGACTTTTCAGCATCGACGTTAGTCAACATATCTGGTTTGTAATCCCAAGCGAAATGTCGAAGTGCGCCGCTGTAATGGTATACGACGGGAAATGCCACTGCAAATTTGGCAGGGGCAGCAATCAAGAAGCCCTGAGATCCAATGGTTTCCATCAAGGACAAGGCTGTACCCGAACCGCCCAAAATCTCGACCGTTCCAAGACCAGCAGCACCGAGTGCCATGGCAACTCCGGTGACGCGGTTGGTAATGGAGGAAATAGCAGTGACGGGGAAGGTGTAGATTGTGACATGGGGAGACACGGGACGCCCAGTTTGCTTCATTCGATTTGTGTAGTTCTACGAATGGAAAAGACGTGTTAGTACCAAGCTTTGCTTTGCGATCGATAAATGAATCATTCTGCACTTACCAATTTCTTGTATTCCTCACCACTCTCCTTGGACAAGACTGTCATAGATCTTGAGGCGGGAGTTTTCATGGCACGCTGGACTAGCGGCCTGAGTTTGGCATTTACACTATTCAAGCTCATCTTTCTGGTTTCCTTGTGCGTTTTTCAGATGATCTGGATGTCAAGCTTCGCATCGCTTTCTCGAATCCAAAGAAGCGTTTCTTTTCTTCTCTTCCCGAAGTCTGCTGGCGGACAGGCCGATATATAAATATACGGAACGAATAAGAATAAAAATGACTACAGCACGAAGCACGGACAGAAGTACGAAGGTGGTGGAGCGTGGTGTTCGTTTCCAACAGCAACAAGTCCTCTTGGTACAAACGTCGACTTTGTGAGTAAACTGCAATGCCATGACAGCGGGAAGATCAACATGCCAGTTTTATAATTTGAAGCGGGGATTGTGTTTACCATCAAGGCGTTTGATTTGCTTTTTTCGATTGGTCCATTGTAATGCCTGTTCCAAGTTTCTCATTAGCTTTTTCAACTGCTTTACCTCTCTCTTGCACACTCCAGAAACCATGTCCGGAAAGATCATCAACTACAACAAGAGGCTTTTTGGCCCTGGCCCAGTAGCTCGTGTCCCTGCCCCTGGAATCCGAGGATACTATGCTCGCATGCCTCCACTTCAAGGATTCACCATGTGTGCCGTTCACGGAGTCGCCATGGGATTGGGAGTCAGCCTTTACTACAAGTTCTTCATGGGTGATCCAGATACCAGAGCCATCAAACAATACTACGAGGAGAACCCCCCCCGCTAAACTGGCTTTGGTCTCGTGGATGCAATGATCGAACATGAATGCTGGACATTTGGTCAATCATTTGGGTCAACTAGGATAGGTCCTAATGAGAACTAATCTCACATTGAGAAAGCTTACAAAATATTTACATGTCATTTGGGTCAACTAGGATAGGTCCTAATGAGAACTAATCTCACATTGAGAAAGCTTACAAAATATTTACATGTCGTCGAGAAGTATTCTGTGCTAAGAGATATCGAAATGGTACCACTCCAATTAGAATTGATTCAAATGTACACAAATCCTCTCTATACGTTTATTTTATGCCGATTGCAGTGCAGAAAACCATCAGTCATCCAGTACAACCTCCTCCAAATCCGCGTTGGCAGGAGCAAGTGGAGCACCACCTCCACCATTGACTGCAGCTTCCACAGCACTTCCACGAAGTGCAATGGCACTGCCCAAAAGGACCAAGAGGACAAAAGAACCTCCAACGATGACAATGGCCTTTGTATTGGTACGGGGACTCTCATCAGGGAGAGCAGCAGTGATGCTTTCGGTAGTGCTGGTGGCATAGGTAGGCTCGTCAGATGGGTTTTCACTGGGACGAGAGCTTGGAGCCATTGAGGGCAAATCGGAAGGAACCATACTAGGCATGTCCGACGGCACCACACTCGGCATATCGGAAGGAACCATGCTAGGCATATCCGAGGGAACAGAGCTGGGTTTGACAGATGGCAGAGAGCTAGGAGCAGCGCTTGGAATGTCCGAGGGAACAGAGCTTGGTTTTGCAGAAGGTCGAGAGGTGGGAGCAGCACTTGGTTTGGCAGAAGGTCGAGAAGTAGGAGCAGCACTTGGTTTGGTAGAAGGCCGAGAGGTGGGAGCAGTGCTTGGTTTGGCAGAAGGTCGAGAGGTGGGAGTAGAGCTTGGGACTGGAGTAGGTGGAGGTGGTGGAGAGGATCGGGGGGCAGGACGTGGTGTTGATGGTTGAATGGCCGACTTCAAAGAAGATGCACTCTTCGAAGATGCAGAACTTTTCTTGGTGCCCTTGCTGGCGACCTTGGAAGATACAGAACCACTATTGATACTCTTGCTGGCGACCTTGGAAAACCCAGAGCTCTTCTTCGTGGCCTTGCTGGCACCCTTACTAGCACCTGTACCGCTTTTGCTCTTATTGAATGGTGGAAGCTTGATTTTTGCAGGTGTGCTACCACTGCCACCAGTCTTCTTGGTACGGCGCTCCAAAGGAAGGTGGTTGATGTGGCTGTTCTTTTCAATCGTAAGAAGCCTCATCCCACACTTTGGGCAATCGTCCATCGAATCCGGAGATGGAATCGCCATGGATGCAGCAGTAAGAATGCCGAATGAAAGCATGAAAAGGAAAATCTTGTTGAGGGAAAACATCGTCGTGACCTTGAATCAAACTTTGATAGCAGTTGTATTCGGATTGTTACTTTTAGAACTTGTGAGATGAAAGATGGAATACTTCGTGGTCGAGCCGTTGTTGGAAAGTTTGCATTATGTTTTGGTTTGGCCAAACTGGTTGACAACCGAAGCTGCGATCGAAAACCAATCCTGAAAGGTTTCGTGTGCCTTTGGATCAACTGCAATCATACTGAAAGTCTATCGCTCATTCATGGCTGAGTGTTTCAGGCAGGATCAGATAGAATCAGGAGTCACGAACCATCCTTCTTAGTTGCTTGTGCCATCATGGTCCGGTGTTTTCTCGTAAGGTTTGCATTTTGGAAAATTTGGAATGTAACCTAAATAAGTACCTTTCATTATTTGAATATTCTACACGTTTTTCCACGAGTCACTCTGTACTACAGTTGATTCAATTGATCAGTTATGTTGATTCAAACCAAAATTTCAAAATTTGAGTCTCGAAACTCGATCCAACCGACAATACAATTTCTTTGCAAGCGATAGGTTGCTCATCCATTGGAACTACCCGTCCCGCAAGTTTGGAACAAGAGCCACTACCAGTACATCTTAAGTTTTCATTGAGATCTCTACTACAATTTGTTCATTAGAATAGTCACGACCATGGTAAGACTTGAGAGGACGAACAAGCATCAATCGAAATCTTTTTCTTGTTGTTTGCTATGTGATAGTGTAGACGAATATGGTGCGCTAACTGCATACTGTCTATCGTACCTCAGATTCGAAACAAGCACAATAGTCTGCCACCAATTGGAAAGAAAGCTCTTTTTTTCAAGTCACCTAAGGCAAAATCTGGGGGTATCTCATCCGGCAAAGCAGTTTCGACGACAACTACAACCGCGCTCCATGAAGAGGATCCACAACCACTTTCGAACAATAACAATGGCTTCAGCCAAAGCGAGCTACAAGATTTCAAGGAATCGTTTGCGTTGATGGATACGGAAAATGAAGGGTCGATAACGGCTGGCGTTCTCAGAGACTTGCTCCTGGCCCTTCAAGATGCGGCAGGGGAGTCTGGCACGACGGTCTATCCCCATTTACGAAAGCTCTTGGCAGAACTGGAGTCAATCCCAGCGGAGCAAGATCTAGACTTGGATGACTACATAGAATTGATGGCCAAAACAAGTCTGCACCGAACGATGCAAGAAGAAGAGGGAACAAATTATGCACATGTCTTTGAGTTGTTCGACTTGGATGGCAAGGGCTACATCAACTTTGAAGACCTGGAGCGCATAGCAATGGAACTGGGAGAATCTGACATTCCACAGGAAGAACTAGAAGAGATGATTCGTAGGGCGCAGACAAAGCAGAAAGGACGTGTGTACCTCGATGAATTCGCGCGAATGATGAACTTGAATCTATTTCAGAACGCGGATCCTATCAACAGCTAAGACTTGGGCTCTAAAGTATTATTTTATAAAATTATTAATGAATTGCACAAGATTCATGTTATGATAATAGAATTGATCATTCATAGTGACATTCCGTACGAGAAGAACTTTCACCGATTGTAAAAAGAATGAATTAATCAAAAAGCATCATGCCCCGGTGTCTGGAAGCAGTTCAACTTGACTACGTTAGTGGATTTTCTTATGCTCTCCTCCCGAGAGTTTCTTTTTTTACACTATCTGTGATTTGCATCCTATTGGTCGCCAGGGCAAAGTCCCGATATTGCGATTGTCGATCGTTCCAGGGCGGGTTCTTATTTGCTCGTCATTTTTGCTTGATATTCCTGAACTAGCTTGATGACAAGATCCGGAGGAGCATGTGCAAACATAGTAGCTGGATACACAGCACTACCCCAACGTGGGTGTTGAAGGATCTATAGCAAGGTGAATCGGACACTGATGAGTGACGAAGATGTTGAATGTAGTTGGAGAGATGACGGTGCTTCGCTGTCGAATGTCGGAGCCACTTTGCGACCACCGGACTAATCACCGTGTCCATTTGAAAGGCTTACCTTACAGAACCCAGCGTTATGTGCCTTGTAATTTAAAAGGCACTCCATACCATCCACTGCAGAAAGTTGTGAGCAAAATCTTCGGAGGCCAGCTATTCAAGGATTTTATCAATATTTAAATTAAACATACCTTCAGAGTAGACCTTGTTGCAATTCGGCGTAATCATTGGAAGACCAGAGCATGGATCAATGTAGTCAGCCCAGAACCCATAAGATCGGATTCTTTTGCATAGCTCGTCTCCAAATTCCATGAACTGTGAAAATTACAACGACTTTGGTTAGTATAGTACTGGGCGCTCGCGTCCTCAACAATGCCGGTAGAGAAAAACTTACTACATTAAGCAATCTATCTTTTTCAAACTCAATGTCATCTCCAACAGCCACCAGGTCTTTTCGAGCTTGTTGGTTGGTCGGTATAGCAAGGAGCTCAAGCGATTTATTATTGTCTTTTACCATTTCTTCGAGGTATTCTTGGCCAAAAACATGTTGAAATTCTCGCAGCAGAGGCTTAGGAAGGCTATGTACACTACATTCTAGTGGATCATCTGGACGAGCTTCTCGCACTGCCAACTGAGGAGGAAGGAGGGTTGATTGGGACACCATTTTCCAACCGCATCAACTGTTGACTATTATTGTCTTCATGGTGGAGGCAGAATGAGTCACGCAAGAATGAGATTCTGACGTCATCCTACAGTATGCTCCATCAATAATCTCAATCTGCCGATCTTCCGGTACCAGGGTACTGGAGGTGTCAAACATCATTTTAACCAACCTACAGTACCAAATAACAATCACCATGAGGTCCAAAGTGTTTCCACTTTTCGTTATTCTCGTAGCATGTCTAACACCCGCGTCTATCGCGTTTGCACCAAACCAGGCGATGGCAGTGACAGCAACTTCCAAACCAAGCGTTTCTAGCTTGTACATTTTTGGGAATAACAAAAAGGGAGAGGCACCACCACCTCAAGAACCAAAAAAGACAATTTCCGGAAGCCGGAGACAACAACTAGGAATTGGCGACAACGAAGATGAATACGATCTTGGAGTGGCTCTTGCCAACAACACAGACCCTTTTATTTCCAAAGTCATCGCTGGATCCTTCATCGTAGTCGTGATCGCTCTCCTTGTTGCAGGAATCATCATTCCAGCCACTACAGATTATGGCGAAGGCGTATGCAGACCGTTGCTCACCGGCGGAAGGTGTTAGAGACTCCAGTCTACAAATTAACGGGTCGCCATACTGTTACAGAAACATATTCAGATTTCTCTGGGTTCTCCTTCAGCAAAACGTCATTCAAAAGGATTGATCAATACAGTAAACCGGGCAAGGTTGTACTGTTCTGTGAAATGTCCAACAGAGGCCTTCTGCGTTCACTAAATTGCAACAAGATTTCGTCAAATCTGCCATTATACGTCTACTACCTACTCGAGTCCACAGACATCTAAACTCGTCAGACCTCCACCAATCAAAGTGCTCGTCTTCACCTTTTGCCGTCGCTCCAAAAATTGATCGTATCCATTCATCGTATTCAGTTGGGTACTTGTCATTGGATTGCCATGTAGATTTAGATCAATCAGAGGAGTTTTGGTGAATAAATCTTCAGGTAGAGGCTGTGGATTTGTATCAGACCACTGTGCTGAATGAGCCGAGATCTGATTGCTCTTCAGAGAGAGGACCTTTAACTTCGATAACTGCCCAATGGATGAAGGTAAGCTCACGACTGAATTGAAATCCATTGTCAGTTCTAATAGGTTCTTCAGATTTCCGATTTCTTCAGGGATGGAAGCAATGTCGTTGTTGGAAAGGTCCAAACTTTCCAGCTTTACAAGCATCGATGTGAATATAGGCCTAGGAACAGAGGAGAGAAAATTCCCATGGACCTTCAGTTGCTTCATTCCTTGAGGCAACTTGTCTGGAAGAGGATCAACCATTTGTGGGTTTTCTTCCGTGGGTCTTCCCAGCAAGTTTCGACCGCAATTCAAAATCTGTAGATTAGGCAATTTTCCTAGAGGATTCAAACTTCCTGGAGGCAGCTCGTTGTTTTCAACGTTAAGAGACTTTAAGCTCTTTAGGTTAGCAACGTTTGGATTCAGTGCACTGATCTTGTTTGACGATAGATCCAACGTCCTCAACTTGGCTATTTGAAAAACTTGTGTAGGACATGATTCCAACTTGTGTTCTGCAAGCGAAAGAACCCCTGTTTTCTTTGCATGCTCCACCTTTTGCGCCACAACCTTCTTGCCGGTCTTATTCTTTGGTTGGGTATTGCCCATGTTCTCAGTTTTCAATTTCTGTCTTCGTCGTTATTGTAGGAATTCCCACTCGAGTCGCACGTGTCAAAGCTACCGGTGTACCAGTAGCAGTGTCAAACAAAATAAAATCAGGAAGCACAAAACCCCGACACATACTGTTTTATCGGAAGACAAAAGACGCCAATACTACCTGGTACATTTGAAGATGTCTTCAAACGATCAACAAAAAGCAGAAAGCAGCGAAGACAAAATCATCGACTCTATTTATGAGCATATAGTCAGATCCGTTTGCATCGATGTCGCCTGCAACATGCATGAACTCATCAAGACCGGGGCCCTGCCACCATCCGAACTGATTGCAACATCCTCTCGACACGAGATTTATCCAGAATTATACCACAGTAAAAGCCCATCCGAAGTCACTGCAATTTTAGAGAGCTTTGGAACTTACCAAACGCCTACGGTATCGCGGAAACGCAAGCTTCCCTCTGGAGAGACATCGGAAGACGACCCTGATGGCCAAGATGGTCCATCGAAATCTACTGACGAAGACAGCGAAGGGGACGAAGACTTTGTAGATCCATCGAATACTATCGAAGACAAACCCAGTACGAAACAAGCAATATCAAACCTTGATATATGGGGGAAATTCCCGCCAAAGGAACCGAAGAAAACTGTGAAGTGTGCAGTGTGCAGTCGATTTGTGAGCACGAGTCGCTTTGCTTCGCACTTGGACAAGTGCATGGGCTTATCGACTGCACGGGGCTCGTCAGGAAATCCTCCGAGGGCCAGTGCATATACTGCTATGAAATAGAGTTACGACACAGACGTCTTCTTGTGGAGATCATGGTGCTGTTCCAGCTCCTTGCCCCTTGAAATTACTGTGAAGGAAGTGCCAGATCAGCACCTTCCAATGTAGAGAATCATAATTTCCAGCTCTCGATTTTTGACGAATGCGCCGTCGCTACCGATAGACGAGTAGATAGCTTATGGAGATTTCGTCATCCCCAAAAGACAGGAGATTGTGGTGGATGTTATCATCCCTGTTCACAATGCCGGGAATACAATTAAAGGCCGAGGTGACGTAACACCTTGCGGCAAGAAAGCTAGCGGATGTTTCCGTCACCTTCCCAACCAACATGACTCGGCGCTGATTGACCGTTACAAGGAAGAACTGTCGCAACGGATGGAGGATACAGGCGTTAACTATACCTCTGAAGAAATCGAAGTGACTATCTTTTCAGAATCGCGATCCTACGAATCGTTTGATAATTTTAGACAACTTGGGCATCAGGAAATACTAAATGGACATCTTGCAACAGTTTGGAAACATATTATTTTCAGCTCAAATGTTGTCATCATCTCGCGTTCAAGCTATCCTTTCCCAAGCATTCTCTCCCAATCCAACAACCGTTGTTTTCACTCCATTCTGGCATCATCCTTTGGAACAGTTTGACAATGTGGGAGATTTATATCCTGAATTTGTAGAGTCTACTGCCGCGGAGCTGAATCGAATGAAGAGCGCATGCAAATGAGCGATTGCCTTATAACCAAGCATGGTAGCTACGGGATCATCACCAGAAACATGCGTGTGAGAAACTTTGTTATACAGTTGTTGATTGACCGGGTTATCCTCGTGGCCTACACACAGACTGGGATGTAACAAAAGGGCTGCCTTCGCGCCTTGGAATAATACGGCAAAATATCGAGTGTGGTTTTTATCAGTATGCCTACAGCAGTGGTGGAAGATGCAATGGAACATTCGCGACGCGCGCTGGAGATCGGTTCTTTTAAAATACTCTGCAACAAGTCGGAAGGACCAAGAACATTGGGCAATTAGAAAGCTGCCAATAGAAGTAATCACCTTGTAATAGATCTCTAAGCAAAGGAATCGAGCGGATAGCTATGACACATGTAGAGTATTTTGTGTTACGTACTGTAGTTACATATCGTCGAATTTTAAAAGGGCTGAAAAAGACCCAATCGGAAACTTCATTTGGTCACGACAAAAGTACGAGTACTGTCCCAGCAAACAACAACGACGAGGTATGGAACGAGGAGTGACACCTTGTACAAATTCTTGATTCTGGTAGCACTCTTTATCTGCGCCTTTCTCCTCCATTATGCTGGTCGCAAACGACCGATTGCCCAAGTTTCAACGACCACAGGCCGACGAAATACAATTGTACATCCGCTTAACAAGACAACGCACAAAGCAACTGCCCAAACTGCTCGGTGTGTAGTGGATCATGAAAACGTGGGCAAGCATTTCTACCATTTCCCCCATACACTCCAGGTTTTGTCTCGATGTTGGTCATACTTCGTGATGGAGAGAAGAAAATATGGCGTCACATCTTGCGGTTTCTTTTACAATATGACCCAAAAAAAAGACTTTAACTACAACAGAATCAGTCCCTGGGCGAGAGATCTGATCAAAACAATGGACTGCTCGAAGATTATCCGCAAGGCGCGCAGTACTCCTAAGCCCCCTAACACGGACGACTTTTATTATCTAAAGTGGATAAAGCGTTGGTTTGAAGAGATAGAGGCAGGAGCTAGTCTTGCAAAAAGGGAAGGACGGGTTCACCAGGCCCGATGACTTTGTCAACCGGACACTTGCAATCGACCTCATACAACGAACACCCAGGATCAAGCAATGTGACAAAGTACCAGTGCCGAAGAATTGTGGGCATTTTCGAGAATTCATAAATCTGAAGAAGATTCAGGATAGTTTGGCAAAAACATTTCCCTTCTGCTAAGGTCAGAAATACCAAACTCAAACAGATGAACTTGGTCCAACAGGCTTCCTGGTGGTAGACTAAGGATATTCTCATTGCTGCTCATGGAGCTGCGCTATCCAACGTCGTGTTTATGAGACCACACACCACAGTCATTGAAATCTTTCCTATCGGTTATGAACCTCGCATGATTCAAGCCTTGATGAAGGATTCAGGAGTCTATGGCTATCGCATGATCCAAGCTACCCAAAAGGCAAGAAGGGATTTAAGAATCGGAATGTACCGAGCCAAACGTAGGTGAGATTGTTAGACTAGTTCGTGAGGCAATAAAAAGGCGGCAAAACGCTACGAGTTCGTAGGTGGAAGATTACAGTTGGTTGGTCTATTCAACACTACGCATTGGAAAGAGTGGATGCTACGCTATCTGCGTTAACAATAATCGACATTCAATCAAGCGTTTCCTGTGCTTGGAGTTGCCGTCACAGCGCTGTTCATACTGCTCGCTTCATGACCCAAACTTTTGGTCGCTGCCATATTCAAGCGCTTTCTGCAAACTTTGAACCTCCAAAGCATCACGCTGGGATATGCCCCTGTGGGTATGATGAAACTACTTGGAAACATCGCAGGCACGTATTAAAAAACTATTGATGGGACGAAGCAATGAACAACTTGGCCGCAACGAGGATCTTTTGAAAAATGCTTGAAGAAATATGTGGAATATGAGGAAGAAAATCATGAAAAATCAAATTATGGACACCCAGCAGTCAATGCAAAGTAATTACAAAGCAAAAATTTTCTGGTATTAGAGTACCAGTTACTGAGCAGTGAGTAACAAGGATGGACGTATTTTGTGGAGCTGAGACGAAGTCCGATGAGTCGTCGTCAACAACAACGCACGCCTTTATTTTACACCATCACAATCACAACTTTTATCATCTTTCCAAGATTTTAGATCCTTTATCCATCCACGTTGCCTCATTGCAATTTTCCGACCATGAATATTCTTTGCCTTTTCCTGTTGACCACACTTCTAGCCTGCAGCAATGCTTTTGCTCCATCCATCGGAGGTTTGAAAGTTGTTACTCAACTTGAAATGGCTGGAGGTGAAGACGCCGCGGCGCCCCTCGTCTCCGGAGCGGACTTGGAGATGATGCTCACCGAATGGGATCAGCCTCTAGTTGTTGATGCTTACGCCACGTGAGTCCCACGGGGAAGGGTTCTCTATCTTTCATACCGTCTCAAGACTTACTTTTGTCATCCCTCTTCTAAATGTTTTGATGTCTCTCTACTATAGCTGGTGCGGCCCGTGTGTCTTGATGTAAGTGAAAGGGGCTGAATCATCTTTTTTTCAACTTGTTGGAACGGTTGGATTTAATGGTTTTGGTGTATGTTGGATGTCTTTGTAATTCTCATATAACAATCTGCTTTGTACTGTAGGGCACCCGAATTCGAAGCCGCCGCTCAAGAACTGAAGGGAAAGGTTCGCTTTGTGAAGATCGATACTGATAAGGATGAAGCCATGGCTGCCAGATTAAATATTATGGGGCTTCCAACTTTGTTGTTCTTGGACAAATTCACGGGCGGCGAAGGCAAAGATGAAGAATCTGAAGCCAAGGCGGTCCTCAAGGGAAGACTTGAGGGTGCCATAAGAAAAGAGCAAATTATGGAGTTCTGCGAACACTACTTCTTTGACGGTCCAGAGCCCAAGCCTTTATAGAGTGGAGAAAAGTCGGCAGTCTAATAGAAGCAAGACTACAAAATTGATCAAATCCAAGAGAGCAATCTTTTCAGGATACGTACGATTCAGCTGTATGGTAATACTTTTCAAATTGGCTACTTTTAATTCTTAGTCTTCTAACAGTACAGTTTGCGATTAATGGCAAGTGTTTGTTTTCCTCACTTGGATCCACCTCTTGGTTGTTGGTAGACATCACCCAGGAGAATGTTTGGATTGAATGCGTACTCGGCACGGGAATAGCTGTGATCCCACTTGCTTTTTTCCAGCTCATCCCAAGTGGAATCCCCAAAGCAATCATCCCCATCGCAGCACTTGTCGCAACAGGAGCATGCATCAGCGTTGCTACAGTCAGAGGCCAACCAATATAGATCGTTGGATCCAACGCAAATGGGTTCGAGGTCGCCTGTCAGTCCATTGTGATAGATTGAAAGGACTTCAAGTTGTGCCATAGTTGCCATGCCAGATGCTGTTCCACTGAATTGATTATCGTTCAGCAAAATATACTTCATAAGTGGGAACTTAGAAAAGTCAATTTGATCCAATGATCCTTCAAGCTGATTCTCACGAAGATCCAACAATGTCAAATGGCTGAGCCCCTCGATCCATGTTGGCATTTCTCCCTGCAAGTTGGCATTATCGAGTGAGAGTTCCTTTAAGTTGACCAACTCCTTAAGTTCACCAGGAATCGGTTGGGGTGCGTAGTCGTTCTTTCCCAAAAAGAGGTATTCCATGTTGGTTACTTTTGAAAGAGAATTTGGCAAATCACCAGTCAGCTTGTTGTTCTCCAAATCCAAATGTGTTAGTTTTCCAAAGTTGGAAATGCTGTCTGGAATTGAGGATGTGATATTGTTTCCACGGAAGGAAAGATATTCCAGAGCATTGTTGGGTGGAAGATCGCCCGGGAAACTGCCACTGATTTGATTGTTAGAGGCATCCAACAACCGAAGGTCAGGCAGGGTAAAAATATGCGATGGAATTTCGGTTGCCGTCAAATCGTTGCCACTCAAGTCAACTTCAACCAAACTGGGGAGCTGTGTCATGAGCAGACCATGGAATAAGTTTCCATGGAATGAGTTGTCTTGGGCATACAAGTATTTGAGATGGTTCATTTGACGAATAGAACTCAAATCCCCAGACAATTCGTTGCCGTCCACTGCCAAAGTCTTGAGCCGAGGATTAGAGAAAGTCGGCAATGACCCAGTCAATCTATTGTGACTAAGTCCCAAGACTTGAAGATGCGCCAATTTCCCAAGGAAATCAGGAATGCTTCCTTCAAATTTATTGAATTTGAAGTCCAAATATTCCAACAAAGTCAAATGCTGCAATGAGGATGGAATTTCCGAAATTGTATTATGTTTCAGGCTGATGAATTTGAGATGTTTCAAGTGACGAATTTCAACAGGAAGAGATCCCGACAGATTGTTCGAGGCTATTTTAAATGGAAAAATGGAATGAAAAGAAGAAGAACGATGATTGGAAGTGAGAAATTTTCACCTTGATGGAACAGCTCCGCCGTGTTGTTCTTCCATGCAATAGTACTTACGGATCAAAAGACTGTCCACCAAGAGCTCAGGGTTGCAAGAGACACCAACTGCAAATACTTCCTTGTTTTCATCTGGAATCTCCTCGTTCCAACCACATTCGTGGTCACTGGCCAAAAAGTTGAGTTGGGTCGACCAACTCTCTCCTCCCAAAGCATAGTACAAAACCGCAAGCGAGTATCGCTGAATCAAGCGGCCGGGATCCTCATCACGGGATGGAATGTCAACCCGCTCAGCATCATAGTTGGCAATCCAATGAGCAGCTCTGTTCTGGGGTGACCCTTTTTCGGCCAAATCATCGAGCGTGGACACATCATGCAACTCCAAAAAGTCATATACCTCATTCGTTCGGTCATCATGTTCATCCACATGCTTTTGCATCAAAACTCCAAAGGTTGTAAATAGGGCCACTACTGATAGGATGATACACACAGTATATCCAAGGCGCCGGCGGCGTACTCTACGCCACTTGTCCATCGCCGAATTGGGATAGTCTAGCCCCAAACCATTGCGCAAATAGTCTTCGTCACGATTGTATCGACTAGAACCAAACAAGTTCTTGACTGGGCTGTCTTTGGGAGCAGTAGGACGCTTGAACCCTCGCTTTTCTGATTCATTCAACATGGCCGCAGCAAAGAGCCTAGTTTGTTCCATGGTTGGGCTTGCTGGATTTGAGGTCGGACGGATTAGACCTTCGTTCTCGTAGCCACTTTCCGGATCCAGATCCACCCGAGAGAGCGGCTCACTGGTCGGTTCATCGTCAGCATCATCTTCGTAGTTTATCTTGATAGTCCTGGATAGTCCTGGCTTGAAAATGATGCGATCACTGTCGCTTTCGTTGGAAGAAATCGAGACGCGCGAAGAACCTCGATTTTCAAAGTCCTTTTGCAGGCTGCGTGAAGGAGTGGAAGGAACATTGTCGCCAGGATCAATGACATTGGGTGTCTCAAAATTCATTTGTCCCAACATGGTCGTTTGTTGGTGTTGCGCTTTGACGAGATGGAAGAATTTGGATTTTTGGC